TAACAAGAATGAGCAGACTCACATTGAAGCTTGCTGCTCCCTGGACCCTCCTGACAGTGTCCCAGTTTGCCGACCTTGATACCAAAGCACTGACCACCTCCCTCAAACTGACTGTGCAGATCCTTCCGCGAATGACTGTGGAGGCGGAGCACGCTCTTCCTCCGTGCTCCTGACCTACTTTCTCTCCCGGCCGCTCATAATTTGCAAGTCAAGTGCACAGCATTATGCACTTGACTTGCTCTGTACATGACTCAGGCCGAACTGTGAGTGACTGAGTGCGAGCTGTGTCAGCCGCCCGGCGCCCCTGTTGCCATGGCGCCCTGTGCGGCCGCACAGCTCGCACACCCCTAAGGCCGGCCCTGACTATAGGCACCCAGACCACTTCATATGGGTTAATCCAGCCTCTAGTGGCTGTCTCATTGACAGCCGCTAGAGGCGTTTCCGCACTTCTCACTGTGATTTTCACAGTGAGAAGATGCCAGCGTCCATAGGAAAGCATTGAGAATGCTTTCCTATGAGACTGGCTGAATGCCCGCGCAGCTCTTGCCGCGCATTCAGCCGATGACGTCCGAAGGAGGAGGAGAGTCCCCAGCGCCGAGGGATCCCAGCTCTGGAGAAAGGTAAGTGATTTAAGCCCTTCCTCCCCCTGCAGCCCGGTGGGAGGGGGGCCATGAGGGTGGGGGTGGGGGGGGGACCTATTAATACTATAGTGCCAGGAAAACAAGTTTGTAAATAGTGAGTGAGGTTTGCTATTTTTTAAGCCACTCCTTTCCCCATCAACCTTTGCACTTCACTTGACAATGTATTTGCATAGGGGTTTTATTTATGGCTTTTTTGTGTAAATCCTAAATCTGTTAATTCAAACTATAATTCCGATTTGTCTATTTCACCCATATTTCCAATATCAATCGCAAGGGCTGATTCAGTAAATTGTTCTTTTGTAGTGAACCAACTGCTAAATATTGGCCATCTTAGGTGAGTTGAAACAAGTTTTCCAACTGAGCTATAATTAGAAAATGAATATTTTAGACCAAAGTTTGCCAATCATATTTCAATTCACTGTTTAGTGAATATTCCCTCTTGTTAATAACTGCAATGGCTCTTGTAACTATGTTTTGCCAATGCCAGTGGCTGAAGTTGATGCAATAAACCAGGTCCCTGACTTTTACACCACACAGAGTGCATCAGGAGTGGAGATTTTACAGTGAATGATTAGGTGAGTGTTTAGCCTTCCATGCGTCATCATTGGAATTTTATATATATATATATATATAAATAATTCTAATCTGTATGGTTTAAAACTCTTTTTGCTTTTTATTTTCCGTTATGCAAGTAGTTTCGTAAGCATTTATTTCTATATTGTAACCAGAAGGCTTAATGGTTTGGAAACCACCAGAACTCTCAATGGATACTACAAAAAATGTATTGTATTTTTAAAAGGAAAACTGCCATCATTTTTTTTATTTGTGGATATGCTTACATGTACTTGTTATGTATTTTTCTGTAATAAATACACATTAGTTAATACCTCTTTTTAGTGCATTTCCTGTTTTAGCCTTAGGGGCCGCCATATTCAGTCCATCTTAGGCTGGTATCACCACTTATCTACTAAGACCTCACAGACGAAATGAAAGTCTGAAATTGTCCCAGAGTGTATTTTTGAGATGCTGGTCAGAGGCCTTTGGTGTGTGTTCTGCTCAAGATAAACACTTTAATCAGTGTTTAGGTATTGGTTAACTGTTAGAAATGTATTTTCACTGGTTGAGCTAGTTGTTCTTTCGTGTTGATTTTCCTGAATGCCCAGTAGTTTCATTATTATGTCAGTAACTCTTCTTCAGAAATATTCTGATAGTTGAACCGTGAGTGGTTAAAGGGACACTATAGGCACCCAGACCATTTCATATCATATGCAGTGTCCGTGTCCGTGTCCCCCTTAGTCCTGCAATGTAAAACCTTGCAGTGTTTGCAAAACTCTGTTTACATTTCAGTGCTATTATCTGCCTCTAGTGGCAGAGAGTCTACCAGACAGTCACTAAGGTGCTTCCTGGTGTTTTACAGAGTTTGACTCGGTGAAGCAAAACAGAATGTCCTCAAGTTCTCTATGAGATTATCCAGCTGAAATAATGCTTTCCTATGGTGAAGGCCTAATACGTGAAGTCCACTTGTCGCACATGCGCATTAGGTCCCCCCATTGGATGACTTCAAAGGAGGTGTACCGTTACCCTGGTCAAAGGGAGCTGAGCTACACGTTAGTGTTAGGAATACATCCTTGTATTCCTAACACTAAAGAGTTCCTTTAACATAAGATGTAGGGCTATTTTCAAAAGTATCAGTATGCTGAGATTGTGATTACATTGACCTTGTTAATGGCTCATTGACAGCTGTTAACATGTTGATAAATAGCACATTCTAGATTGTATCATGTACATATATTTCTGTTCGATTTTACCAAATTACCCTAATCTTTATCATTTACTCCAAAATTTGGGAGTTTAGTTAACTGATGATCCTTACTTAATTTTTATTATACTTTAGGTACTCCCAGACTTTTTCTCACCATAAATGTAGTTAGTATTATCTTAACTATGCCTCTTGCAGAAGCAGGCTGCATGTTAATGCAAATTCAAGCAATCATTTTGAATTAAAACACACAAAAAAACATTTTTAAATTAAATGTTTAAAAGTAAAGATTTTGCAATATTTCAACATATTGGCAATAACATAGCTATTTTTGTATCCCATTGCTAAAATATCATGTATTTATTTTGTATTGCTTTGGGGGTTCTATAAAACATTGAAAGGTGGGGGCGGGGCCTGACTGCCATCTCGGAATGATGCATGGTGACCTAGCTCCTCCAAATTGTTCCCTATAGATCTGCCATCTAGTGATTAATCGCAACAATATTACCAAGAGGTGTGAGCCCTAGATACAGCGCAATAGCTGGTGCCCTCAGACACGATTTTCCACTTGAGGTGGCCCCGATATCGATAAGTGATTGTGTCTCCTGGAGATTGAGGCCTAACTGGCAACTGAGAGAGGGAGGTGGACGCTCCCCAGCTCACCGGACCTTTAGAGCTCGCATCAGTGGTCCTGTCCCTCCTCCTATGGACCAGTGGAGGTCATCCCGTTCTACACAGGAGGTGCCTGAGGGACCCTAGAGATAAAGACCCTGTTCTTCAAGATGGCCGTGAGGCCTACTGACCAGACCCACAGCCCTCGGCAAGAGGAGATTCTGACAGCCTTCGACCAAATCTGCAACAATTTTTTGGCCCATGTGTCCCGGAGATCAGAGCAGCAACAGCATGAGTCTATCCTCACACAAAGAGATGATGGTTGCTATAGATTACCTTCACCAGGCCCTCCTGCTACACACAACACTGTGATTTACCAGCTCCTGAGAGCCATTCAAGGCAAGGCCTCACAACACCACACACGCCTGCGGAGGGGAAGCAAGGGGCTAAAGCAGAGGCACAGCAAACGTTCCTGGTACCCACGCAGACCTTGGAGGGGGATGGACTTGAGCATGATTACTAGCTGGGTCCGTGGAGAATTGGTGATGGCTGTAATTCCAGCTTATAGTCGGTGGACCTAATGAGAGTGCACCCTTGGAAGGTCCTGACATGCAGGCACTGCTCTTACCTAAATTGGGCATAGGATGAAGGCTTCATAATACTGAGACTTTAAGTGTTTTTGCCGGTTGTGACGTTTCTTGCTTACTCTAATTACTCATACGGATCTCCTGTATACTTACTCTGCTTGTTGTACTTGAAACTAGTGCTTAGATTTCTTTTTTAACTTGTTATACTCTACTAGCACTGTCATCCTTTCTACCTTCTTTAATATTAAAAAGAGGCCTCATGTGTGACATAATTGTAACATAATTGAAGCTTAGCACACACATTGATATGATTGTATACCTTTTGCAAGTTAATGTATTTAATTGTCACCATTGTACTGAAAAGTTTCTCTAATATGTGCCTCAATAAAAATACTAATTGACAAAAAAAGTTGAAATGTAAACATATTCAGGGTTATTCCCTAAAAAGAAACATTTCAGAAAACAACCAAAGAATTTAAAATTTTGCCCAAAACAGGAGAATTGTAAAAACACCAACACTGGAGATATTATTTAAAATTTGGCTAGTTTTGCCTAAAATTTGATTTGATTAATCCTGAGAATTACTGGGTCAGTAAAGAAGCACAAAATAAGTAGAAATACTTGATGTCCTGTTGCAAGGTAATTATGTATTTTTTGATAATTTTGTAAACGAACCACTTGGTGTAGATCTATGGTGTCCAGGAATTAATCATTAATTGTTTAGCTATGCTCTGCTATCACGGGGTGTATATGCCCCTAACCCTTGTCTTCTGATTAGGGAATGACAACCAATGACAGAAAACACTAGGGAGGTGTCAGGTCATTGGAGTGCAGTTTCTTGGCTGCCAAACAGGACAGAGGCCACTGCATGTATGGGAGTTATGGGGGGAGTTAGTCACAAGTTCTAAAAGCAGCAAAACGAGCCGCTAATGGGGACAAAGACCTCACATGTGACCTGAGTGATTTAAAATTCAAGGTCGGAATAGCTGAATTGAAAGCATAGCTGTCTTTATCAGATCAGAATTGTTTTTAGTTCAGCTATTTTGGAGTTAAAAAAAATAAAGGGACACTATAGTCACCAAAACAACTTTAGTATAATAAAGCAGTTTTTGTGTATAGGTTATGTCCCTGCAGTCTTGCTGCTCAGTCCCCTGCCATTTAGGAGTTAAATCACTTTGTTTTTGTTTATAAAGCCCTAGCCACACCTCCCCAGGCCGTGACTGACACAGCCTGCATGGAACAAGAGTTGTTTAAATTTCAAACAGATATAACTTACTTTAAACATGTTTATCTCCTTATACGTATATTGAACTATAATGACACAGGAGGCTCCTGCAGGGTCTATCAAGCTATTAACAACAGGAGAAAATAACATTTTCAGGAGAAAAGAAATTCTAATTTTTCTTTTTTATAATTCTTTATTTTTACCCAACCCACTGGTGTGAGAGGGTGAACTCAAGTAATACAGAAAGTGACACATAAAAATAAAAAGCATAGAAATTGACAGCACATATAATCATACAGTGTCTAACAGACATTAGACATTAGTATCTAACTCATTAGTGAGTTGAGGGTTTTATGTGTATAAAGAATGAGTCATCTCTATTTAGGCAATCTATTGGGTAAAGAAATTCTAAATTAAACAGAATTTGCAATAAAGGAAGTGTAAACATTAGATGACTTTACAGGAAGTGTTTAGGAAGGATGTGTGAGTCACATGCAGGGAGATGTGACTAGGGCAGCATAAACAAAGTTATTTAACTCCTAAATGGCAGGGAACTGAGCAGTGAGACTGCATGGGACATGATCTATACACCAAAACTGTTTCATTAAGCTAAAGTTGTTTTGGTGACTAGTGTCCCTATAAAAAAAAATTGAAATTCACTCTGAAAGCCAAACACCTCATACTTTATCAAACAATAGTTTTAATGTAATATGTAGCATCTAGTGAATACAGTATGAAGATGTGGAAGTTAATTCTCTAAACTCTGAATTGTAGCGAATTTAGAATCAAAATGACAAAGTTTAGCCGATTTCTCTGAGTTTTTTTTTTTTTCAGTTTGGCGATTTTATCTGAAAATTTTCCATTCACTTTTAATTTTTTACAATCAGAAATGTAATGTTTTAGTTCTGTTGCATAAAGGCTCTCTGACTCTTTGTAGCCTGTATTCAGAGAGAGGAGCTCCTGCTAGGAACCTATCTCACAGCCAATGAATCAAGCCCTCCACAGAGCCATGGTATTCCTGGTGCCATAGCACACTGTAGTGTTTGTGGTGCTTTCAGTGTCCCTTTATTATTATTATTATTGCCATTTATATAGCGCCAACAGATTCCGCAGCGCTTTAACTATAAATAGGACAATTACAAGAAAACTTACAGGAACAATATGTTGAAGAGGACCCTGCTCAAACGAGCTTACATTAATGACACTTTTAGGGTTTGAGGGCACATTTAGGCAGAGTGTACACAGGGTTTTGTTATCCCTATCCCCAAAGTTGTCATGGGACTATCCACATTGGTTATCTGGTACACCAACACTAACACAATTTACCCAGGAAATCCCTCCACGCACCTGCCACAGCCACACACAGCCCCCTGTGGGCAGCATCTGGGGGCTTCTATTATATACAATTATATTGACCCCCTGCCTCCATCCCCCCCAAACCATAGAATTACTAAATAGTCTTACAACCCCCCAACTCATGGATTTATGGTGAGGTCATTAATACAATAAGGGGAGGATTAAATTCTATTATTGGAAGCCAACTAATCAGAATGCTCTGATAGGTAACTCTCATTTCTCCATGGAAGATAATACCAGGCAAATTACATAGGGAAGTACAATAGCATATCCGTTCCCCCTTTTTTGTATTATTACCACCCACCTGAAGCCTATAGGTGGGGGATAGGTGGGGGGGACCGTAGCATGTTCACCTTCCCTGAATTAAGTAATAATCACTACCAGCTGCCCATGGGTGTAGGGAACACTTGCGTGTCCCTCCCTTAGTATATAAAAGTAGTCACACTCACTGCTCATTTGTGTGGGTTTTGGGGAAGTGGGAGGTTTGCCTATGGGTGGGGACTGAGGTGGACAATAGTCCCCCATGTTTTGTTCTAATGTCACCAACCTGTGGGCAAATGTAGGGGCAGAGGGGTAGATAGTGACTTTTCATCCCTGTTAGAGAAAGTAAGCCCTCACATAATGCCTACTGGTGGGGGTACATTGAGGGAGCCAGTACCAGTAACCCCGTCAGTTTTGTTAACTTGCAGTGACTTTGCAGAACTTTTTGCTGCAAGTTGTAAACATACTGTACTGTATAAGCATACATTTATCCACAATATAAAGATATACAGCCATATAAAATAAATACTATCAATATATAAATATGTAGCCTCACACAGTACAGAACAGAGTGGATTTTTAGCCTCGTGCTACCCATTATAAGAGCACAAGAACATGGCATTCTTTAACTTGTTGCTTTTCTTTTTAATGGAACACCATAACTAATATGGCCAACTGTATTGCTTAAGGTACCTGGAGTCCTGTAGTGCCAACCCAGTGTGATCTGTCAAACTAATTTAGCATGGATTGACAACTACCTGTGCAAGACTTCTGCACTACAATCAATCTTATCAGAGATTGAGTATCTCATTCATTGGGTGAACGCAGAGATAAAGCTCTTAGTCAATGGGTTCTCAGCATCTGTCTTCTCTAGTTCTGAGGATACCGGATTCAGCATGGGACCCTGATGGTCAATGTTAAACTGTGCTAAAAGGATGCTGGGAATGTTCCTTTAACCACAATCATTTCAAATGTTTTTGTGTCTCTCTATCTTATCACAAGATTATTACAATCTCTTGGCATGTATCACTTTTGATTTTTAAGCAGGGTTTTTAAAAAAACAAACAAAAAACTATTTTTTTAATGAATTGATTATTGTATCTACAATCAAATTTCAAAACTTGTATTAAGAATCCTCTTACATATGCCTGCTCTTTATCTCCATGTCAGAGACATATATTACATATATGTTTTTCTGTTCTTTGTTTTGTTTTTTCTTTTCAAGAAAAACTATGAAAAACTATAAAGGAACACATTGATATAACATTAATTAGGACACTATAAAAAATAGCACTTGCCACAATTTTCTTTTAATTTTCTCATATAAACAGTTCCCTTCTCCAAAAAAACAAACAAACAAACAAAACAAAATCCCACCTAATTTTGTCATAATTTAACACATACAGCCTACAAATAAACTAAACATTCATACCCATCCCCCTTTGTAGCTTTTGCGGTAAAGTGGGGTTCCTCATATTCTAATCTTTCATTATTACAAAGTAGTTACAAAATAGTAAAAACAGTATCACAAATCATAAATTAGGGATTAAACATTCTAATAAAAATGAGGTCATCAGCAAGCGCCCAGCCCTGAAATACATAAAAGGTTGGGGGAAGAAAGCTGTGCCCCATCTCCTATAATTTAGCTCACCTAGGTACAGATACAAGGAATTCAAGCCTTTTTTGTTGCGATATGTACCTTCACATAATGCTCTGCAATCATTAAAAAAGGCTCCCCCAGCAGCAAAACTATTAATATATGTCACAAGTAACCTTCCCTGATTCTCAACCGGTTACATAGGACAATTCTCTCCATACTCTAGGTAAGAAAAAAAAAAAAGGGGACGGCTGCGTATATATTCAAGGTTAAAGTTCCATGTGGGATTGTCAGTATCACAATATAAACCTGCAGTTAATGGGTTAAGGGCAGCCACCCAGTTGACACAACGAAGAGAGGTTTGTAAAAAGGAAAACGTCACATAGGAAGAAGCGCTGACTTGTTGCCCCTACAATTTTCCTTCCAGTGTGTATATGGGTACACTGCTAGGCTCTCTTCCCATGACTTTACTGTATTCACACCCCTTATCACGGGTGCGTGCAATAATGATTATGCCCTAGAAAAAAACTGAGGATTCTTCATGGGACATCGAAGGTGTTTGCACAGATTTCACTGTCTCCTGCTTCCGCTTGTTTATTATGTTGCCCCATTGTGTATTCTCCAATTCTACTGTTGGGCAGCGACGTAGGGAATATTAATTACTTGGAAAATAGTTTCCGTTTGTTCTGTTCTGTGAATTTCATTGAAGAGGTCCCTACGTGCGTCACCCACTGGCTCAGCAATTTAGGGAAACAGAACTGCAGAATAAATGACAAAGCCCTGTAGGAGACTGTCACCAAAAGTAGATGTGACTTGATTTAATATTTGCCAGGCTTTGTTCTACATTAAATGCTAACCAGCAGCCTTTTAACCCCTAGCTTTCCCAACGCTGTGTGATTCCTTCTTTTTAAATGAGCCCCATATTTCACATTTTCTGTTCACACATTCACTCTTTCTGCTTTTCTGCTTTTTCGATCTGAAATTTGACCTCCCCACTACATTTTTTCCATGTGGGATATTTCTCTCTGGTACTCAATACCACTATTTTGTTTAGCAGTTGTCTCTTATTTATCCGGTCTCCCTTCCTTTCAAAGATGAAAAATCACCACATTACTTAGTAGGAGGTACACACCATTAACCCCTTTGTTGTCATATTATTTGAGGGGTTTTCTTCATTTTTTAATACTAAAAACTAAACAGCTAAAACCTAATAGCATGGATTTTAGGAGACATACCTCAGGTAGATACTAATTCATGCAGGATGTTCCCCTTTAGTGTGTAACATTACATAAAAGTGCTAAACCACCCTGTTGTACAGAAAGACCAACACCCAACCATTCACGCACTGAAATTGAGGTGTCATTAGAAAGAAGAGACATGTGTCAACCTTTTATCCAACTCGTTGATTCCTATGAACTGTAGAGCAGCGGTGGTCACTGTTGGAGTGTGCCCCTTCTCCACTGCAGTTTAGCAATGGTTGGTAGGACACATGCCTCTCTAGCGAGCAGCTGGGTAGGCTACCTCTGTTTGCCACCACAGTAACGTCTACATGAGTACAGGGGTTACAGCACCCCTTATTCAGAACATAAATATTAGCCCCGTTCCAGAGGAACACAAGGAAAATGAAAAGTTGTGACATCCTGCATCTGGATTGTGATGTACAACAAACAGCAAAGTCACTTTACAGTGTGAAGTCCTGGTAAAATTAAAGGATGGAGGAATAGCTGGTGGTGGCAGGGGTGGCAGGGTGGGTTAGTGGCTCCCACCACTTTTAGATGTTCCGCTTGTCCAGTCAATGATGATAAAACTCAGACTCATGATCATAAATAGAACACCCAAAGCAGCAAAACAGGCAGCCTGTAATATAAGCAGAAAAAGAGGGTTATAGAACGTAGAGGCTTTTGTGTTTCTTGCAGCACGTTTAAAAGATATTGAACTCAGAATGAGAACCACACAAAAGAAAAAGAAATTGTGCTACTTAAATAGACACAAAAATATAGAGAAAGGTAAACAGTAATAAATATACCAAAAGAAACGAACAGAAATGAATACTAAGGAGACATTAAAAGAAGAACTTCTAACATTAAAGAAGGCTAAAACAGACCTAACGAAATGTGAAGAATAGGTTAAGAACAAAAAAAAATAATCGAGGGCTGAGTCTGACTGGCATGGCGAGTGGTCGTACACTACATGAGCTCCTGGAGATTTCACATGATTTAGCCTCTCCAGCTGATTTATTGGCTCATAAATCTGACTCCAGGGGATCCTGCTGAGCTAGTGTAAACCCTGGGCTATCAATCAACGATTCTGGTAACAATTACTTCAGTCAGCACCCAACTGGAGCAATTCTGCGGCCTACTCTGTAACACAGCAACGAGGGAGGCGGCCAATCCTTCTACCCAAGATCAGCCAAGGGATGCCTCAGTGGAATACACTGTTCCCCCCTCCCCCTGCCGGTGCGGGATAGCCTGGCTCCTTAAGCTCCACTAACCTCTACGGACTATAAGCAGCTACTACTGCATAGGTCCCGACCTTGGCGCTCTTCCACAAGATTGCGAGCACACACTCACCTCCTGAGCATCAGCCTACATAGTCTGAATCAGCTCTGAATGGCGCACTCGCGCAATCACTGACACATCTCGACGAGACCTTTGCAAGCTTCTGGACACAACTAGAGGCTCATACCCTGGCGGCACCAGTTCCAAACCAGGTTGGAGAGAGCGGGGAGAGGACAAGCGTGAGGTGCAGGGGCCCTCTATAGGCACAACTTAGCCACACCTATGCAACCCAGCTTTGGCCTACCCATATGGAGAGCCGATGGGGAGGTACTCCCGAACAATCAACCATAGCGACAGACGACTCCACCAGCGATTGAACAGCCTCTGTCAAATCCCAAGAGGGCAGGACTTGGACTCTGTCACAAGTCCCCAAGCTCATGGTACCATTATGCAGGCCCTCACTATGGCCTGGGGCTGGGGGGTTTGCCATGCCTCAATCCTGTTTAGATGTACCTCTTTGCTGCCTCTGGGAGTTTCCGAGTCTAGGTGTCGGCTGACTTTGCACATACCACACATGATGGATATCTGGCTCTCTGACGCCACATCCTGATGCCAGCTGATAATTTTGCATTTACAAGACTTTCTCTCTAAATATACGCAGTGAGCCTATGTTTTATTTTATTTTTATCTTCTTTTTCGCCATTTACATATGTGAAATGCAGCAAGGTATCAGAGGGCCAGATCTGAGTGGGAACCCTCATGTGTATAGGGTTAACCTAACGCAGTATTACCCCATGGTAGAAAGTGGAGTTTCTGATGTTCACATGCAGGGGTCAAGTCCTGGGGAAAAAAGTGTGGGAACTCACCCAAGATTCCTGCCCCTTAAAAAATAACACTCCTATGCATATAGTGCAGTGCAAGGTGTGTATAATGAATGTAGTGTGTTTGTAGTGAATGCAGAGTATGAATAATAAATGTAGTGTGTTTGTAGTGAGTGCAGTGTGAATAATAATTGTAGTGTATTTGTAGTGAGTGCAGTGTGTGTATAATGAATGTAATGTGTTTGTAGTTAAAGGACCACTATAGTGCCAGGAAAACATACTCGTTTTCCTGGCACTATAGTGCCCTGAGGGTGCCCCCACCCTCAGGGTCCCCCTCCCGCCCGGCTCTGGAAAGGGGAAAGGGTTAAAAACGTACCTTTTTCCAGCGCTGGGCGGAGAGCTCTCTGCCTCCGATCCTCCTCCTGGGCTGAATGCGCACGCGCATGGGTGTGTGAGTGCTGAATGATGTGTGTGTGAGTGCTGGATGATGTGTGTGTGAGTGCTGGATGATGGGTGTGTGTGTGTGTGCTGGATGATGTGTGGGGGGGGGGGAGCATTTTTTTCTTACTTTATGTGTATGTATATTTTTTTATTTTATTCCCCCCTCCCTGCTTCTTACCTTGTCAGGGAGGGGGGAGATCGCCTGGTGGTCCGGTGGAGGGAGGCAGCCGCTGCACACAGGGGCCATCACACGCAGTGTTCCCTATCCAGCTCTAACTCTCGCGAGACTCGCCTGTGCGGAGCGTTGCCATGGTAACAGCCGCGGGTCTCGCGAGATTTATAGCTGGAGAAGGAACACAGCGTGTGCTGGCCCCTGTGTGCAGGTAGCAGGGCCGGTCCTGCAGGACAGGAACGCCGTTCCCATGCGTTCCTGCAGGACTCGAGCCCTGTCATGTCTATAATACCTTTTATTGCCTTACTTAGTATAACACATCAACATTGTAGCCTGCCTATTTCATATGTCTAGATTATATTCATGTGTCGTTAAGCTTTGAGTAATTCCCTGTTAGCCATATCAAAATGTGCACATACTCTGAATGCCATGCCAAGGTTTAATTATGTACATTATTGTTTCGCTTGTCTTGCTGTTGTAGCTTTACAAGCTCCTATGTATCTTCATGCTCAACAAAAATAAAGATTGACAAAATAAGACCAAAAAATAAATAAGTAAATAACCATGTACCAGTATTTTTGGTGTGGATTTCATGGGCTCTTGGTCTTTGGGCATGATCCTGATGTAGAAAACAGCAGGAAAGATGAAGATCAAGCATGGAGCAGATGTAGCACCTAAAAGAATGATAACTGTTTTAAAATAGAGTTTGCATATTGGCAACTAATTGAAGACTAGTGAGTAGTTTGAAATGTAAGGTAATACAGTGCCCTGTGAGACATATGTGAAGCAGCAGAGATCAAAAGAGATCAAAAGAAAATTATGGCTAATAAGATCCTGCAAGAGTGACGAATAAAGACCATTCAGGAAAAGCAGATAGGACAGCATCTTCAGAAAAGATACATTCTTACCAATAATTCCAAAGATTCCAAGAATGGAAGGGGCAAAGATCACAAGCAAGTTAATAAACGTGAGAAGCACCACAGCAATGAGGATGTGTCTGATCCAATTGAACTCTTTGTTTGGAAACAGCATGTGCTGGATGGCACGTCGCACCTAAGTAATGAGAGCGGTTACACAGTCACTTCTAATGAAGTCGTGAGGCAGAATTAATAAATATGCCTTCTAAACCTCCAAAAAGAATACATGCACCTCCTAATCTTCCAAAAGGAAAACTTATAAAACGAATAAATACACCTACCAAACCTCAAAAGGGAATAAATATACCTCCTAAATTTGTTACCAAAAATGTTTTAATAGCTGGAAGAGCAGTCAACATCTCTAAAACTATTTGATTGATCAAGTAATTAATTAGTAATATGACAATATTACAGCCACTATCTGAACAAACAATGTTGTTTGCGATATTGCAAAAGCACATTTCATTGTAGTTACCTGTATACATGCACAACACTAATCAATAGCCTAATACAGAATACCGTATATACTCGAGTATAAGTTGAGTTTTTCGGCACATTTTTTGTGCTGAAAAAGCCCCCCTCGGCTTATACTCGAGTCACAGTCTGTATTATGGCAACTTACATTGCCATAATACAGACCAGGACCACCGGGCTCATTACAAGCCCGGCGGTTCTGTTGGGGACCGGCAGCGAGCTGTTTCTTACCTTTGCAGCAGCTCCCTTCATCTCCCCAGTGTAAATCTTGCGAGACCCGCCGCGGTCAGAGCGTTGCCACGGGTTACCGTGGCAACGCTCCGCGTGGCACGCAGACCACGAGATTTAGACAGGGAGATGAAGGGAGCTGCAGCAAAGGTAAGATACTGCCGCCCTCCCCCTGCTCAGTCCATGCCACTGGACCACCAGGGAATGACCTTGCCCCCCTACCTTGCCCCCCCTCCCTGGCCAGGTAACAAGCAAGGAGAGGGGACTAACAAATAAAATTAAACAATTAAAAAAATATATATATTTAAATAAAATAATAAAATTATTTAAATAATAAAAATGCCCTCCCCCACCCAGTTTATACACTCTACACAAACACACACACACTCTGCATCATATACACACACACTTCATTCACACAAACATACACTCTGCATTATATACACACACACTGCATTCATGCAAACACACTGCATTATATACACACTCTGCATTATATACACACACACTCCATTCACACAAACACACACTCTGCATTATACACACACTCTGCATTATATACACACACTGCATTCACACAAACACACACCCTGCATTATATACACACACTGCATTCACACAAACACACACTCTGCATTCATTATATACACACACTACAAACAAACACTGCATTCATTATATACACACACTATAAATAAATATTCAATTAATATAATTTTATTGGGATCTAATTTTATTTTAGAAATTTACCAGTAGCTTCAGACCAAAATGAGAAGTGTTGTCACTTCACGCAAAATCTCCTATTGTTATTCCTGGTTCAGAACTAGAACGTGTGATAAAAAGAAAATTCTACTAAACTTATGGAACTTGAATGTTTCAAGTATATGTGCTGCAACCATATAAAACGTCAGTTTGACTCTGTTGTTTCTATTTATACTTTGGGCCCTATCTGAGGATGTGTTGGAGACATCTATTGATAAAAAGAAAAAGGTTGGGAAAAAAGATAACACTAGCACTGAGGACAAAAAAGGGAAAAAGAGGTCAAAATAATGTGGTACATTATAAAATAGACTTGGGGGTAGGGTTACTACATCCATCATGTTTTGGGGGAGCCAGGTCTTTTACACATGCTATCAGATGGTACAGGATGCTGTGTTCTTACCGGGAACAGAACGATGGGCACAGTCAGTGTGACAGCTGTTAGTACAGCAACACGCACACACAGAATCAAAATGTCAAAAGGATCCACATAGCTGTATGTGTGCAGGAGCTCTGACTCTACATGGTCTGTGGGAAGTAACGAGAGATTATTAGGCAAGCAATAAGAAAACAGAGGTAAATGGGGAAGAAACACACTAATTGAGCATAAAAGAAACACACATAAAAAATGTAAGCCAGAGGTAAAGGATGAAGAGATCTACGAATCACATACATTTCTCCTCATCTCCAAAACCCCATTGGTCAGCCTGAAACGTACCATAAAAAGTGAGGTAGCCAAAAAGAGCGGCCAGGAAATACATGCAGTACATGACTGCAATGGAGATGTTCGACACTTGTTGCATCCTTCTCTTGGTGGGACTAGAAAGGAGAAAATGAACACCATGATGCACACACCAAACCCCATACAGAGCAAATGCTGTACACACCAAATACTACAGTCAGCAAATTCTTTACACAGCAAATATTGCCAGCAGCTAACACTGCTCAAAGCAAGTAATGCACAAGTTCGGCATTGCCCAGTATGCAGTTGGCGCTGATGAAAAAGGTTGGAGTTGCAGAACTCATCCACAGTCTCACACAACCACTGCCTATAATAAGTGCTGCATACAAATCAAACAATTTGTTTTGTTGACAGACAACTGAGATGAAAAATATAAGCAGATTTATACTGCTCGGCTAAGATGTTTGGTTATTAGCTTGGCTATTTAGGCTAAACCTTTTCAAATCAACACATGCAACTTATAAGGAAGAAATACCATTCATGCACAGATCCCAATACATTGTATACAGTCAGTGAGTAGCCAACATATAGAGCCAAAATACCAACCCAGTAAAACCACCCAATAGTATGGCTGAACGACAACACCATATACCACAAATCATCACCACTCAATATATCTATGGAATAAGAGTGCAAGAACTAGCAATGCTACTGTATAGGGACACATACCTCAATCACATTCCATGAGTTAGCACTGCTTCTGATTAAAACTATACACCACTATCATGCTCTGTAAACTAGCAGTACTTCCAAAATACAATTAAATACCACAGTCGCACACTGAATAGAAATACATTAACACACTGCACAAACTAGCACAGTTATTAATTAGAACAACTTATTACAAACTAGCACTGCTACTGAATACATCACACTGCACGCACTAACACTGCCACGGAATAGAACCACACATTACAAACTAGTACTGCTACTGAATATACTACAGTCACACTGCACACACTAACACCGTCACCTAACAGAACCACACATTACAAACTAGTACTGCTACTGAATATACTACAGTCACACTGCACACACTAACACTGTCACCTAACAGAACCACACATCACAAACTAGTACTGCTATTGAATACATCACACTGCACACACTAACACTGCCACGGAATAGAACCACACATTACAAACTAGTACTGCTACTGAATATACTACAGTCACACTGCACACACTAACACCGTCACCTAACAGAACTACACATTACAAACTAGTACTGCTACTGAATACATCACACTGCACACACTAACACTGCCACGGAATAGAACCACACATTACAAACTAGTACTGCTACTGAATATACTACAGTCACACTGAAAACACTAACACTGCCACGGAATAGAACCACACATTACAAACTAGTACTGCTATTGAATACATCACACTGCACACACTAACACTGCCACGGAATAGAACCACACATTACAAACTAGTACTGCTACTGAATACATCACACTGCACACACTAACACTGCCACTGAAAAGAACCACACATTACAAACTAGTACTGCTACTGAATATACTACAGTCACACTGCACACACTAACACCGTCACCTAACAGAACTACACATTACAAACTAGTACTGCTACTGAATACATCACACTGCACACACTAACACTGCCACTGAAAAGAACCACACATTACAAACTAGTACTGCTACTGAATATACTACAGTCACACTGAAAACACTAACACTGCCACTGAATAGAACAATACATTACAAACTAGCACTGCTACTGAATACATCACACTGCACACACTAACACTGCCACTGAAAAGAACCACACATTACAAACTAGTACTGCTACTGAATATACTACAGTCACACTGCACACACTAACACTGTCACCTAACAGAACTACAAATTACAAATTAGCACTGCTACTGAATATACCACATTCACACTAGACACGCTAACACTGCCACTGAATATAACTACACATTACAAACTAGCACTGTTACTGAACATCACACTGCACATACTAACACCGTCACCTAACAGAACTACACATAACAAACTAGCACAGCTACTGAATATACTACAGTCACACTGCACACACTAACCGTCACCTAACAAAACTACATACTACAATCCAACACTCCAACTAAATATAACTGCATACTACAAACTAGCACTGTCAATAAATGGAATTGTATGCTACAAACCAGCACTACCAATGAATACAACTACACATTACAAAGTAACACAACCACAAAATAGAATTACATACAATTTTAACACTGCCACTGAATAGGCGTACATCCCACAAATAAGCACTGACATTGAAAAGCACCATAATCAGAGCTTTAAATTCCAAGCCCTATGCTACTAGTCAGGTCTTAAAAGTTACTTGCCACTTCATGGATCTATGGAACACTCACCAGGGTTGAGCTTCTACTTGCCGAGTCTAAAGTTTCACTTGACAGTTTGTTGTGGTGAGCGGAAATTTGAGCTTTGCCATATACCACAAGCATATTGCACAAACTAGTCCTGTCATTGAATATAATTAATGCACACTGCACAGAGATTTGTACCCAACTTGCTGCCCCTGACATACTTACTTTCTCAGCTCAGTGTATATGGGGAGGACCTCTGGGTGACACACAAAGGCAAAAGCCATGATAGGGATTGTATATGCTGTCTGTAAAAAGATGGGAAATATTTTTTAATCTACCCTCATCGTTTCAGGATAAAATGTCATTATAAATATACCATTTTATACAGTGAACTTAAAATGTAATAGTATGTAAAATGTTAAAAATAATGATTGTTTATGGAGGCCTTCATGAAATTCTGAAAAACAGGTTTATTCAACACAGAATTTATAAACAACAGAACAGGGAAAAGCCAATAAGGAGGAGACAGAAATTAGTTTAGGTTTGAGAGACAGTGAATTCAGCAAAGGAGGGGAAGATGCAATGATATAAAATAAGGTGATGAATGTCTGCCCTGTTTGAATACTACTGTACCTGTGAGTTCAGTGTGAACATTTTTGGCCCGCATTGCTCAGTTGCAGACTCTACCACATCAGCGTGCCCATTCTGATATGCAAAACCTGAAGGCACCATGGTCATGTTCTCCAGCAGGGTCTGGTTAAAGCTATCCCATGGCAGAGGACATGGTATCTGAAACTTCTTGTATGTTACCTGGAAAAGAAGCAGGTCAGGTGAGTGGCAAACCGAGAGTGATGTAGAGAACCAGGAAAAGAAACAAGAATGAAAACCAAATTGATCTGTGCACAAAGAGAAAGCTCCTACATAGTGCAATACGGGCAACTTTCCTGTACTTTCCAACATAGGGAACTGATGAGCACAATTATAATAATAAAAGGGTTAGGCTCAAGACACCCAAGCCACACAAAGTGTTAATATGTTTATAAATACATATACACACTAATCAGCCACAACATAAAACCAGTTGCCTAATATTGTGTAGGTCCCCCTTGTGCTGCGAAAACAACTCTGATGCATCGAGGCATGTACTTCACAAGACCTCTGAACAGGGGCGGACCGACCACTCGGGCACATTGGCCATGGACCGAGGGCCAGTAGCAGTCAGGGGCCTGGAGCTGCTGTGGCCTGGCTGGGGAGATCAGTTGATCTCCTCAATCTGCCCAGCGTTAAGTAAGACAGTCAATTTAACAGTCTCTGAGACCGTCAGGACGCTCTACCTGCTTGGTCTCTAATTCAGTGCTTCGGAGGAAGCACTCTCTGTTAGATTAGAGGAGGGGGAATTTCCTCCTCCCTCAGTCCCTCCCCTCTGTGGGATTAAAGTTGAACCCCTACCAGCCCCTGTGAGATTCTCCCAAGAGCAGCACAAACTGCTACCATGAAGGGGTGTAAGTAGTCTGCCCCAACCTCTAGGTAGGTGGTACGTGTCAAACTAACATCCACATGAATACCAGGACCCAAGGTTTCCCAGCAGAACATTGCTCAGACTCTGTCAGCCTGCCTTCTTCCCATAGTGCATCCTGCTGCCATCTCTTCCACTGGCAAACTATGCACACACGAGGCCATCCACCTGATCTAAAAGAAAACGTGATTCATCAGACCAGGCAATATTTTCACATTGCTTCATGTTCCAGTTGTAACTCTCTCGTCACCATTTAAGGTACTTTCGGAAGTTGACAGGGGTTATCAAGAACACTCTTACTGGTCTGTGGCTGTGCAGCCAAATTCAAAGCAAACTGCACTGTGTGTTTTGACACCTTTCTATCATGGCCAGCCTTAAAGGGATTCTATAGTGCAAGTAAAACAAAGCAGTTAAAACCCCTTCAGTCACTTACCTGAATGGGTCAGGCTCCTCAGCCAGTGGTGGAGACCTAATGCGCATGCGCAGCAATGGGCACGCTCGCATTAGGATTTCCCCATAGGAAAGCATTAACCAATGCTTTCCTATGGGGATTCCGGTGACTCTGGAAGTTTTCATGCATAGCGTGAGGACGTCTAGCGTCATTTAGAGAACCAAAAGTCGTCTAAGCACCCGGAAGTCCTTCTAGTGGCTGTCTGGTAGACAGCCACTGGAGGTGGAGTTAACTCTAAGAGGTAATTATTGCAGTTTCTCAGAAACTGCAATAATTACAACTGTAGTGTTAAGGGACCTGGGACATTGCACCCAGACTCCTTCAATGAGCTGAAGTGGTCTGGGTGCCTATAGTGTCCCTTTAGGTATTTCAGCAGTTTGAGTTACAGTAGTTCTTCTGTGTAATTGAAACCACTGCATACTGCTAATACCCCACACAAGATTTGCCATTTTGGAGATGTTCTGACCAAGTTATCTAGCCATCACTATCTGGCCCTTGTCAAAGTCACTCAGATGTTTTGGTTGCCCATTTTCCTGCTTTCAACATATAAAATTCAAGAACTGCCTGTTCATTTGCTGCCCAATATATCCCACCCCTTGACAGCTACCATCGTAACAATATAATCAATGTTATTCACTTCACCTGTCAGTACAGTATATACTCGAGTATAAGTCTAGTTTTTCAGCACATTTTTTGTGCTTAAATACCCCCACTCGACTTATACTCGAGTCACTGTCTGTATTATGGCAACTTAGAGAGCCGCGGCCGTCAGAGCCATGGCAACGATCCGCGCGGCAACCAGACCGCGAGACTTACTGTGGAGCTGACCGGAACGGTGGAGAAGGGAGCTGACAGGAGCTGCAGGAAAGGTAAGTAAATGCTTCCTGCCGGCCCCCCCACTTCACAGCCCATGCCACTGGACCACCAGGGATTAAGATAGCCCCCCTCCCTGACCAGTTAACAAGCAGGGAGGGGGGACAAAAAAAATTAAAATAATAAAAAAATAATAATATTAAAATAAAAAAAATTAAAATAATAAAAATGCCCTCCCCCCACCTAGTTCACACACACTACACAAACACACACTCTGCATTATATACACAGAGTGTGTGTATATAATGCAGTGTGTGTTTGTATGAGTGTGTGTGTGTGTATATAATGCAGAGTGTGTGTTTGTATGAGTGTGTGTGTGTATATAATGCAGATTGTTTGTATGAGTGTGTGTATATATAATGCAGAGTGTTTGTTTGTATGAGTGTGTGTATATAATTATAAAAATCACAGAATTTCATAGCTCCAAGTTTTACCCTCGACTTATCCACGAGGCATATCATATTTCACAATTGTTGGTCACAAAACTGCACTCGACTTATACATGAGATCGACTTATACACGAGTATATACGGTAGTTTGAATGCTGTGGCTGATCAGTGTATGAGTAGAAATATTCAGTAAGGAACAAGAATTAGAAGCTCACATCTGACCCTGCTTAGAAGTCAAGGCAGAATAAACAGTTCTCTTGAACATGGACAATAGATATGAGTATTTTTGAGAAGAACAGTAAATGGATAAAGGGAACACCTTTTTCAAAAACTGCTAATGAGCTGAGATAATAAAAAGAAAGGGTTGATATAGATTTTAAATAGACTGTGAGATTGGCATAGACTTTAACGTGGGCACATGCAACATAGGTAGAAACAAATGATGAGCTTTGTGCACAGAGAAATAATGAGGTGGAAGCTGAGACAACAACATGGCAAAGTGACCACCAAGTGATAAGGATTTGTTAGGAATAAAATGGAAGTTGGTAACACTCACTGAACACAGAAAGAACACCATACAGCTGAGGGAGAATCCACTGGCATAGCCCAAGTACCCTGGAGAGAGAGGAGACACTCAGAGTCTATAGTGTTTAAAGCAGAGATTCCTGTGTCTTACAGTCAATGGTGAAATATTCACTGGCAATACATGTGATGCTATGCAGTTAGAAGCTGTAATGGATCCCAGTACTCCAGCTGAGTATATCCGTTATAAGTCTCCCATCTCCCAAAGTGATGCAGTGATTATAGCTCCCAGTTCCCCAAACATCAGCCTAGACTTGATGAAGGGTAAAACTAATCTGTTTAATCCAGGCTTAATGGCGTGTTTTTATACAATAGAGGTACACAGTAAACACACCCATGACACTCCCACAACACACCCACAAACACGCCTACAAAATGTCCCCAAAATTCCATTTTACCATGACTAAGCATAAAATGCCAAAATATGAGAACACACAAAAATATATATTTCCCACATAGGAACCCCCACAATCTTTACATCGACAGGTAGCCTGGATCTGAGTGCCCAACATTTCCATAAAGCGCTCAGATCCCACAAACACAGCCGAAACGTTCTGACCGGCCGCACACATGGTTCTATGTCTTAAACAGTTCTAGGGCGTTTTGTCCTTTTGCCAGTCAACTTCTGGATTTCAATGCGAACTAAATACTGAACGCACACTCTGGCTTCTTGGTAGCGTTTGTTCGTATGAACCATATGAACAAACCTACCGAATGGCGCTCTCCTGACGTGTGTGGGGAAGGAGCAGGCATTCGTCCAAGTTCAGCAGTGTTCAGGAGTTTCAGTGTCCAATTTTAATTCCACGTGATTGACGCCCAAACACAGCTGCCTGCTGGCCCATAGTCAGTGGGCAGGAGGCTAGTCTCCATACTCCTCCAGGAACCAGTGGCGAACGTCCATGTCACATAAGTTAACAAAGTTTATGTGATATCCAAGGCTGCTAGTTCTCCAATAGAGAGAAAAACTGCCTGGCATTTGTGATATGTTATGGCAATAGCCGGATATGTACATGGAAACTATTCTGTAGTCATTTATCAAGTAAACTACAACTGATACGTAAATGGAAATATCTCCTTTGTAATGCTACAAGCAAACTGAAACTAGTTTCTTATAGAACAGGGGTAGGCAACCTTTGGCACTCCAGATGTTGTGGACAACATTATGGCTGTAAGAGCATTATGGGAGTTGTAGTCCACAACATCTCGAGTGCTGAGTTGCCTTCTTGTGCTATACAACAAGCTCTATCATCAGAAATGTTCTTAGTACAATTGTGCAGTCCTTTAACCACTGCAAATATAAATAAAATGATTCATATATGCTGCTATCAACTGTACAAACTTGAATCATGTGAACTAATATTCTTTGATATAGAATTGTGTGTGCTATTTCAGGAAAACCACATACAAAATGTATACTTTTAGTCAATATGTAGTAATAAACTTACTATGGTTAGGTTGCACAAAATTAATATTAATATCTTTAGACTATTTGTTTTAAAAAATGTATGTACTGTACAAAGTGAATTTTAGGTATTAGATCTATGTTAAGAGTATATTTTCTGCTACATAATTGTAAATCAGCAGTAAATTTCAAGATAAGACACATGGAAGCTCTATACTTGTTGAACACTATGGGTACAGCAGCTGTTTTGTCAAACTTCACTAAGCCAACTGTTTCCTGTCCAGCTGCACCAGATTCCAAACTATAGTGTGCAATGTTTACTAAGCATTTTGGGTACTGCAGATCTATTTTTCCAAATCATTTTCCAAGTCTATGTAGGCACTGTAGTCATGACATGCATTCAAATGACCACTGCTCAAAGCATATACTGTGCTAAACACGTTGGTACTCTATTCCATGTCACACTTACCAAGTTGTTTCATCAGAGCCAGCGGTAGGATTATACATGCTGATACCATTATCACCAGATAATTCCCATTCATATACCAGTCTCTAGAATTATAAAATCACAATTAATACACAGGAAAGACTAAGCGAATATAAATGAGGCTGTGTGAAAGATGGGAAACACAAAATAAAACCAATTCAATTGGAAGCTGAGCAATGAGACAGGCCTGGGGGAAAGTGAAGGCACTATTTAATAATATTGGAGAGAAAACATCAAACAGGTATTATAAACTAAGACTTATGTTTTTAAATTATATGTGGTATTGACGTGGAATAGTAGGATGTGTGTTCATATGGGGAAAGGTGCCACTTTGTCAGGTCTATATATTGTTATTTGGGATCAGTCTGTGGATAGGTAAATAGTAGACGTCAGGGTGATGTATGTGAGTCTGCCCACTCTCCCCACCCCTACGAGTTCCTGACAAGCATGCTGTGTTTTTCCATTGCTCTCTTCTCATACTGCGTTATTTTTAGGTGCTGTGAGTTAACACACAGCTGGAAGGCCTAGCCATTTCTCAATAAGGAAAAGCAAGAGTCTGAGGATAGGAGACAGGGACCAGTGATGCCACCAGCAGGAAAACTAATGCTCAGGGTGACAAAATGCCGAGGGAGTAGGGAAGAATAGAAGATAGGAAAAAGTTATGAACATTAACGATGGGGACAAAGACAGGTTAGTCACCGAAAGGCTGGAATTTAAATACCACAACATTATAGACGTGGGGATAAAGAAACAAAATTAAAACGGCAGAAGGTTCCACAAGACTATAGAAAATGGAGGCGGCAATACATGGAACAAGGGGAAGTCAAGGATAAAGTAAAAACAGCGTGCAAGCTCTCTGAATCACAGATGCAATTTATAAACTCTATTGGACTTTTTTCATCTGTTGCTTTTTTGAACCCTAACCATTTTTTAATATATATGAAACTTTTCCAGAAATGCAACACATTTTACAACACTGTTTCCAAAAGAAAAATTTTGTTTGATTTTTTGAAGCCATGGTAAATTTGGCAGTCTTCTGAAATCTGAATTTCATCTGTTGCTATTCAGATCATAATTGTTATTGGAATTTAATCGGCATTTTTCAGAACACTTTGTTAAATATCCCCTAAACTATCTTTAATAAATCGGAAGAAAGAAGAGGCTCAGGCTACAGAGAGCTGGAGAGTTAGAGACACTGAAAAGAGACAGAGAGCAAACTGAACATGGATATTGATTATACCAGGCAGAGGACCAGGAGACAGGAAAGGGCATTGAAGAAGGGAAGGTGGTGACGGGAATTAGAAAGAAGGGGCAGAAAAGGAAAGGAAGTAACACAGAAGGGGCAGGAATGGGAAGAAGGAGCAAGGATAGAAAGGAAGTAGCAGAAAGTGACGATGAGCGAGAGGCCCTGATTGTGGGACTGCGTGTTTTTCTGACAATAAAACGTAAATAAAGCAATAGGAGAGAGACACTTGTATGATTTGACTGAAAAGGTGATTGGGGAATAAAATAGACCGTTTAGGAGACATGAGAAAGAGAGAATTGTAGGTCTTCATTTAATTTACAGATTAAAATGGGGAGGGGGGGGGAGAGATAGATTAAGAAGCATCAGAAAGGAATGTGTGTAGGATTTGATGGAGAGAGAGATTGTAGAACAAAAGAGAGAAAGGTTGAGAGGTATGAGAGAGGGAGGATGAGAGAGACATAAATTTCAGACACCCAGAGAGAGGGATAGATAAAAGGATAAGGAGAGGAGAGAGAATAGAATATTAGAGGGAGACAAAGATATGTATATTGAGAGAGTTTCAGGTCAGAGACCCACGTCACTTCCAATAAGGGAGCCTTTGAGAAAGGCGGACGTGCTAAGGGCTGTTTGTGTTGGAGGAGGGGAGAGAGCACTAGACAGGCTGTGCTTATAGCCTTCGAGAATTCTGCGGCTCTCTATTCTGAGTCAAGGTGTCCGGAGGACATAGGCCAGCCCATGGATCAGCCAATAACATGCAATCTAGGCAAGGGGAGCGGACTAGTCTAAGAAGTCCCTTAGTTGAGGTGGTCAAACATATAATTACCCCAGAAGCTGACACTCTGTTTCTGTGCAGCATAGTGGAAAAGTATGAGGAAAGAGGACATTTGCAGAATGCATGAGTGTGTGTCTTATGCAGAAACATAAACATAGTTTTCCTGAATGTCTGCCAAGTTTAAAAAAAATCCATCTCTGTTCAATATATCTATCTATATATATACCAGTTATCAGTAGTCGTTTGCACCTAAGCTCTCTGTAGCTGTGAGAAATAATAGGAGTGCCAAAGAGGTTTCTTTACTAAACAGCAGACATTGAATTGAAAACTGAGTCACAAAATTCAGGACATTTAAGCCAAGGTAGTTGATTTGGAAACTCTTTCTAGTTCGACTATAGTTGCGGCTTGGCTGATTTAGCCTGAATTTTGCAGTTTGGATTTTAATTCACCACAATTCACTGTTTAGTGAATACTTCCTAAATTAATGCCTTGCTTTGTTTCATGATCATTATTGTGTATTTCATTCAAATAAAGACAAAAAAGGCTTCTAAAGAGGCCTGAGGAGCATAGAATATTTTGTGGACTACATGTAGGCTACAACATCTGGAGTGGTTGCTTAGCTAGTGACTTGTGATGAGGTGAGATTTCTAAATTGCAGAATTATTGTTTAAAAATGTCCAGCTCAGGTATTATGGTCTAACACACTCAGGTAAATTGTCAAAGTACCAAAGCTTAAATCACCATATTCTTATCATATGCATTTTAACAGCCTTGCTCTCTATAGCAGGTGGTAGTACCATATAAAAACCTACAAAAAAGCCTGATCCTGATGGATTTTTGAAGGAGTGATGCAGAACTGCAGACTGCCTATAAAAATGTTGGCAATATTCCTGCCGTAACTGCATCTTAATTTTCTCCTGCTGTGTAAGGTTATGTATATGCATACTGACATCTAAACGCAGGGATGGCTGGGTACATCTGCCCTGGGGTCAACTACAAACAAATAGCACAACTTCAGACCTAACCAGCAAATCCCATTCTCTTTCTTCATTTTATATAAAATGTTTTATGTTAAGAGTGTAAGAACTAGATTATAATAATAAAAGGATAAGGTTGCATAACACTGTTTAATATTGTGTTGTGAGGCAGCCGCCCATAATAAACTCTATACTACTGGCTGGGGGGGTGGACGATACCTAGGGTCATATTTACTAAGCAGTGATTTATACTGCCCTGATGTAGCAAAATTGGATTAAATTGTTTTTTTTTATTCAAAGCAACCATTTTGTTACAAATATAGCAATTCGGTACCCAAAGTACCGTTTAGCAGATAAACCCCCAAGTCAATATATGTTAGATTGGTTTGTCACATAACGTACAGTGGCCTGATTTTTTTCTTGTAAATGTTGCTAGGCAACCGAGCAAAGTATTATGGGACAGAATGATAGCGACACAAGTGGACAGATAACAGAACTTACGAGGTTTTCTCTGAAACATTGAGGAATGTCTGGATGACAAGAGGCAGTTCAGACTTTATAATGTACAGATAGCTGGACATAGCTGTGATACAAAAATACCAAACAAGGGTGTTACACAAATAATAAAATATGATAATAAGGTAAAGAAAGTAGCAAAAATAAAACTGAACATCAATCGATGATAGCGCCAACTGGCACTGCAGAGTTACGTTTTCTCAGTTACCAACTGCTACAGCCAATATATTTCCATTGCATTAACACTGATTACTTTTGCTTGAATCTGCAGTTTTTAATACTATGTAATATCTGATTTTTGTTGAATCTATTTCACAGCTTTTAATCCTGGGTTTAGGAATGAAATTCCTGCATTTGCTGCAAGTACCCTGTATTTGCAGGTTCTGCAGAAATCTCTCAAGCCTTAGCATCAATCAGTCAAAGTAACTTTCTATTATTATTATTGCCATTTATATAGCGCCAACAGATTCCATAGTGCTTTACAATATTATAAGGGGGGGGCGTGAATAGCACTGTTGAACTGTTAGTGGGTACCAAACATCACATGGAATCTCTTACTAGAGGTTTTTAAGCACGTTATACTAGTATACCTAATTCCAATATATATTTTTGGAAATACATAAATGTTAATTTCCCCCCACTCACCTCCTATATTTTGTAGCGTTATGGCCAGAGCAGCAGCCAACTTTCCAGGGGTCCCAAAAGCCTTGTAGCCGAGCTGCTCATAGGCTCGAATTCCTGCATGATACAAGGAACGCTGTGTAAATATTACCATACAGACGCCATGACATTGATAGAATGATTTCATGCAGTAGAGCTGTGACTTGAGCAAATGGTGATACACAAGAGAGGGAAGGTGTCTGGTAACTTCTTGTTGTGAGACAAACAAAAGCTTATTTTGGGTCAGTGCTCACTGTGGGTCATAAACCACATGCTGTGCCAAAGGTGCATAGTGGAACAGTCGCACGGACAGGACTAAATAATGGAGTCTGTTTTGTCTGCTGTCTCAATGGTTGAGAATATACCGGGATATAAATCAGTCTGTTACAATATATTATTTTACTAACCTACTATTCCTGATGATTTCAATAATAAATGGATGGAGTAACCTGACAACAAAGCCACAGCAGTCAGAAGGAACCTGGACAAAAGAGAAATACATCACAAATAGTATCTATGAAACAAAACAACTGCTCAGTTACCCAGGAGTATAAACAGAGTTAGGAATGAAGTGTACTCACAGCGAAACCACATCAGAATGCAGGAGTAAACAGTCCAAATAGTAATATATCATTGGTGAAAGCAGGCTTTATACTATAAAGGTGATTTATTTAGACTACTTGGCAAAACCTTCCCAATTTTACAGGTATACAAAACATATACACATCACATATATTTTGCACAGACACAAACTGTACAGAATATACAGTGGGTGTGTTCACTAAATTGGGTATTTTGGAGTACTGACGAGAGTGTTGTAAATTTTAGGCCAAATAAGTCAAGCAAGAAAAATTCCCCAAGTCAGCTATGTTTTTAGTTTGTCCTAAAAAATAAATTCATTTTGAATTCTACAAAATGTACACTTCAGTGAATAACTCTATTAGTGAGCAAACCCGTTTTGACATCAGTGGCCACAAAAAAGCTTAGTGCAAGGAACAATCAGCAAAGCATGCTGGGTCAGATTCAGGCATACACACATATGCTCTGTGGCCCAGTCTGAAAGAGGCAGGGTATTTTATAATAAAGCTATACGTGACTGCACATATAAATTTGGAGTAATATAATATATATAATGATATAAGTGAAAAAAGTGTGGAGGGGAACAGGTCTCACAGGTCTCACAGTACCGTTAAAGCTATTTATACTTTTTATGTTTTTCGAACACACAGGGAGGGATTGAGTTTTACCTTGAGAACAACAATCTGCAATTTTCTTTCTACCTTTGCTTTGGCAGATGACCAGTCTATGCAGGAGAGATCCCACAAACAGAGAAAGGAATTGGGGGAGAGGGGGGTGGGGGTCAGCAACACATGGGGGAGCTACGTGGATTCTTCTGATAGCTCGAATGCTGGGCAAGGAAGAGGCACAGTTTTTGTATTTTACACCCTTGTTTGTGACACATTGCACCTGCTTTGTAAAGGAATTGGGAAGGTTATACTTCATTCTCCGTACATCCTCCCAAACCCAGCTGCAGCCGTTCCCATTGCTCAGGGACACACTATAGTGCAGTAGTAGCTGACATATGTCACTCTTCCTGTTGTGGATGCAGTTTACCATAATGCCTTTAGCTTTTAAAGTATCATAGGAAGTGTGGTCCATGACAACTGGATTGTTAGAGGTTAGTTATTACTTGTATGATGTGCAAGCTAATATGTTAAACACAAATGGGGAGATTTCCAATTTTAAGAAAGGCAGCACTGGAGTTGTAGTTCACAACAGTTAGAGTTCTACACCTATGCACTGTACACGTATTCATTTGCTAGATATTAATGCAATAGATTAATAAAATAAGCAATGTAACAGCAAGAGTTCATTGTGTCCCTATGGGCCTAAACTATACAATTAAAACTATTCCCACTACAAATACTCGATACAATTTATTATTGCCTTCAGAATTAGCCAGCTTGTCATGTCGGGCATTAATGCAGTATGGCACACTAGTTTTTGTGCATAGCTAACATTGCCAGTGTTTCATGGCACCTCTCCAGTCATTTGTTCACAAGTGTATTACCGTATAGTCAACAGTCATGTTTTACTTGGAGAAAGGTTACAAGGAGACTCTCTGCCTATTGCTAATTGCCAGTTCAATCCAACCAATTTAGATCTCTCTGATAGAACGGGAAGAACAACATGTACCCAGTTAATATAGCCCAGTGTGGGTCAGCAGCATCATGACTATCATAGGTTATTCGGTTCAGTGTTCAGCATTACTGGGTATTTACATAACACACATGTCCCCACTATGCTTATGGTACTTTAAATGTCTGTATTAATTAATTAGGTGACAAGTTAACAAGCACGTGTGGAGTCATTAACTTATCCCCTATACAGAGCTGCACCAAGGTGAAGAGAAATATATGTTTGCAGTATAGGGCAGTGGTTCCCAACCAAGTCCTTAAGGTACCCCAGCAGTCCAGGATTTATCAGTATAGCCACCGGAACAGAATTTGGGAATGCTTGAAGGAACTCTTATTGAAGTTGTTTTAGACTTACTGCCCCCCTCCCCTCGTCCTATGCCTCTAGATTTTATTTTTTTTAATACTTTGAAGGCTTGAAAAAGCCCCTTTAGGCTATGAGTCCAAGCCTCCTGGGTAGCAGGATCAAGATTGTTACATCCCGGCTCTCATACCCTAGCATACTGTAATGCCAACTGCACACTCCTAACACTATAGTGTCCCTTTAAACCTTGACCTGTTTGTGTGCCTTGAGAAACGAGTTGGGAATAACTGGTGTATGGAGCAAGTGAGAGATTGGTCTTTCTATGAAATGTTGCAGGATTGGGATATAGGTGTGTAAAACCAGGACTCAGGGCAGAAATCTGCATTGCTGAGGGAAGACAGAGAATGCTATCATGGAATACACAAATAACGTGACTAATAGAGAGATAGAGGGAGAGCTGCTTGATTTTAAATGGGGGGTGGGGGATGAGAGATGACTGTTTTGCTGTAAATGGAGGAGGGAGTGTAAGAGTTGGCTATTTTTACTAAAGGAAGAGAATTGGAGATAGTTGGTAACTGGCAATGGTGTGCTGTCGACTTTTAAAAAAAGATTAAACGCATATCACAATATCATCAACATGCGCCCCCTGCCCCACGCATTTTGTCAACTTTGTCAGGGTCTCTCAACAAGAAGATGCCATGCAGTAATACCATTAATTGCATTATTTCCTCTGCCTATGTGGAATGGTGAAATCCTAGCCCAACTCCCAGAACAATTTGCCAGCTCTAATTTCTGCAAAAACTGAGATTCTACCTTTCGTCTGTAATTGTGCTAAAATGTTATAAGTCTACAGGGAGATTTTCATAAATTAAGTCACAGGGACAGAATGATTAGGAGTTGTACAGATTAATGTTACAAGCCTATGCACTACAGTACACATATACATTTGCTAGCTATGTATGCATAGATGAGTACAATAAGCAATGTAACAGCAAGAGTTCTTTAATTCCCTAAACTATATATTAAGACCTATCCCCACTAAAAGTACTCAATACAATATATTATTGCCATTAAAATTAGCCAGCTTGCCACACTAGTTTTCATGCGTTTCTAGCAATGCCAGTCTATCTTGACACCTCTCCAGTCATTTGATCACAAGTGTATTACCATATACTTAAAGTCTGCCAGCTTTCTCCAGCCCAACCTTGCCGATGCTCTGGCTGGTCAAATAGGCACATAGTCCTGATTTACATGGATAGAGGTTACAGAGAGACTTTCTGTCTATTGCCAATTATCAGTTCAATCCAATTAATTTAGATCTCTCTGATAGAACAGAAGAACAACATGTACCCAGTTAATATAGCCCAATGTGGATCAGCATTATTTTTATCATAGGTTATTGGGTGCAGTGTTCAACATTACTGAGTATTTACACAACACACATGTCCTCACTATGCTTACGGTACTTTAAATTGCTGCATTATTACGTAACAAGTTAACAAGCAGATGTGGTGTCATTAACTTATCCCCTATACAGAGAGCTGCACCAAGGTGAAGATAGATATATGTTTGTAGTATATGGCAGTGGTTTTAGCAGTATCATCAAACTTAATTAGGGAATGCTTAAATGCTTAAAGGACCGCTGGCACTATTACATATTATTGAAGTTCTTATAGTGCCTTTAGTCTTTCGTCTTACCTCCCCCATATACATACCCCATGTCCTACCCCTCTGCATTAAATTTCTCATCACTTTGAAGGTTTGGAAGTGTATCTTCAAGCCACGAGTCCAAGCATTCCTGGTAGGAGAACCAGGATTGTTGCATCCCAACTCCCATTCCCTGGCATACACTGATGTCTACTGCACATGCGCAGTGATATCACAGTATGTCATGGTGTCAGTATGGCAAAATGATTGGCGCATCACGCTGAGCACCTAGGGTCCCCAATGTTCCTCTATGAGGACCATTGGATTTGACCTTCATCCTGAAGACATCAAGGAGCACACGCAGCGCCAAGGAAGACTCAACACTGTAGAAAAGGTGAGTAAATCACTTTTACTTTACAGCACACTGGGGTAGGGGGCAAAACCAAACTAGGGACAGGCTGATGTAAGAAAAACTGATTAGTTTTCCTAATGCTATAGTGTCCCTTTAAACCTTGTTCTGTTTGTGTGCTTTGAGAAATGAGTTGGGAAAAACTGGTATAGGGAGCAAGTGAAGATTGGTCTTTTCATGGAACGTGGAAGTATTGTGAGCTGCTGGTGTTTTTAAAACCAGCAGACGCTCTGGCAGGTTAAATAGTCAGCAGTCCTGACTTACTGGGAAAGAGGGCACAGGGAAACTCTCTATCCATTGCTAATTACCAGTTCGATCCAACCAATATAGATCTCTCTGATAGAATAGAGGAACAACATATAGTTAATATAGCCCAGTGTGGGTCAGCATTATTACTATCATAGGTTATTGGGTGCAGTGTTCAGCATTACTGGGTATTTACACAACACACATGTCCTCACAATGCTTACGGTACTTTAAATGGCTGCATTAATTAGGTAACAAGTTAATAAGCAGGTGTGGAGTCATTAACTTATCCCCTATACAGAGTTGCATAAACATTGGAAAGAAACATATGTTTGTAGAATTGAGCAGTGGTTCTTAACCCAGTCTTTAAAACACATCAGCAGTCCAGGGTTTGTCAGTATTACCAATGTAACAGAATTACGGAATGATTAAACCATAAACAGGTTGTGTGCTTTGTGGAATGAGTTGGGAAAAACTGGTATAGGGAGCAAGTGAGACATTGGCCTCTTTATGGCATGGAAGTTTTGGGAGATCCTTAGGATTGGGAATTGGGGGTTGTGGTTTTTATATTGGGGACTGGGGACAGAAAGCCATATTGCTGGCGGGAGACAGAGAATGCCATCAGGAAATGTACGAATAATGTGTCAAATAGAGGGATGGAGAGTAAGCTCTTATACTAGAAATGAGGAGCGGGGGTGAGAAATTGCTGTTTTGCTGTAAATGGAGGAGGGAGTGTAAGAGTTGGCTATTTTTACTAAAGGAAGAGAATTGGAGATAGTTGGTAACTGGCAATGGTGGGCTGTTGACTTTAAAAAAAAGATTAAACGCATATCACAATATCATCAACATGCGCCCCCTGCCCCACGCATTTTGTCAACTTTGTCAGGGTCTCTCAACAAGAAGATGCCATGCAGTAATACCACTAATTGCATTATTTTCTCTGCCTATGTGGAATGGTGAAATCCTAGCCCAACTCCCAGAAGAATTTGCCAGCTCTAAATTCTGCAAAAACTGAGATTCTACCTTTCGTCTGTAATTGTGCTAAAATGTTATAAGTCTACAGGGAGATTTTCATAAATTAAGTCACAGGGACAGAATGATTAGGAGTTGTACAGATTAATGTTACAAGCCTATGCACTACAGTACACATATACATTTGCTAGCTATGTATGCATAGATGAGTACAATAAGCAATGTAACAGCAAGAGTTCTTTAATTCCCTAAACTATATATTAAGACCTATTCCCACTAAAAGTACTCAATACAATATATTATTGCCATTAAAATTAGCCAGCTTGCCACACTAGTTTTCGAGCATTTCTAGCAATGCCAGTCTATCTTGACACCTCTCCAGTCATTTGATCACAAGTGTATTACCATATACTTAAAGTCTGCCAGCTTTCTCCAGCCCAACCTTGCCGATGCTCTGGCTGGTCAAATAGGCACATAGTCCTGATTTACATGGATAGAGGTTACAGAGAGACTCTCTGTCTATTGCCAGTTACCAGTTCAATCCAATTAATTTAGATCTCTCTGATAGAAGAGAAGAACAACATGTACCCAGTTAATATAGCCCAATGTGGATCAGCATTATTTTTATCATAGGTTATTGGGTGCAGTGTTCAACATTACTGAGTATTTACACAACACACATGTCCTCACTATGCTTACGGTACTTTAAATTGCTGCATTATTACGTAACAAGTTAACAAGCAGATGTGGTGTCATTAACTTATCCCCTATACAGAGAGCTACACCAAGGTGAAGATAGATATATGTTTGTAGTATATGGCAGTGGTTTTATCAGTATCATCAAACTTAATTAGGGAATGCTTAAATGCTTAAAGGACCGCAGGCACTATTACATATTATTGAAGTTCTTATAGTGCCTTTAGTCTTTCGTCTTACCTCCCCCATATACATACCCCATGTCCTACCCCTCTGCATTAAATTTCTCATCACTTTGAAGGTTTGGAAGTGTATTTTCAAGCCACGAGTCCAAGCATTCCTGGTAGGAGAACCAGGATTGTTGCATCCCAACTCCCATTCCCTGGCATACACTGACGTCTACTGCACATGCGCAGTGATATCACAGTATGTCACGGTGTCAGTATGGCAAAATGATTGGCGCATCACGCTGAGCACCTAGGGTCCCCAATGTTCCTCTATGAGGACCATTGGATTTGACCTTCATCCTGAAGACATCAAGGAGCACACGCAGCGCCAAGGAAGACTCAACACTGTAGAAAAGGTGAGTAAATCACTTTTACTTTACAGCACACTGGGGTAGGGGGCAAAACCAAACTAGGGACAGGCTGATGTAAGAAAAACTGATTAGTATTCCTAATGCTATAGTGTCCCTTTAAACCTTGTTCTGTTTGTGTGCTTTGAGAAATGAGTTGGGAAAAACTGGTATAGGGAGCAAGTGAAGATTGGTCTTTTCATGGAACGTGGAAGTATTGTGATCTGCTGGTGTTTTTAAAACCAGCAGGCACTCTGGCAGGTTAAATAGTCAGCAGTCCTGACTAACTGGGAAAGAGGTTACAGGAAAACTCTCTATCCATTGCTAATTACCAGTTCGATCCAACCAATATAGATCTCTCTGATAGAACAGAGGAACAACATATAGTTAATATAGCCCAGTGTGGGTCAGCATTATTACTATCACAGGTTATTGGGTGCAGTGTTCAGCATTACTGAGTATTTACACAACACACATGTCCTCGCAATGCTTACGGTACTTTAAATGGCTGCATTAATTAGGTAACAAGTTAATAAGCAGGTGTGGAGTCATTAACTTATCCCCTATACAGAGTTGCATAAACATTGGAAAGAAACATATGTTTGTAGAATTGAGCAGTGGTTCTTAACCCAGTCTTTAAAACACATCAGCAGTCCAGGGTTTGTCAGTATTACCAATGTAACAGAATTACGGAATGATTAAACCATAAACAGGTTGTGTGCTTTGTGGAATGAGTTGGGAAAAACTGGTATAGGGAGCAAGTGAGACATTGGCCTCTTTATGGCATGGAAGTTTTGGGAGATCCTTAGGATTGGCAATTGGGGGTTGTGGTTTTTATATTGGGGACTGGGGACAGAAAGCCATATTGCTGGTGGGAGACAGAGAATGCCATCAGGAAATGTACGAATAATGTGTCAAATAGAGGGATGGAGAGTAAGCTCTTATACTAGAAATGAGGGGGTGAGAAATTGCTGTTAAGTTGTAAATGAGGAGAAAGAAATGGCTTATTTGTAAAAGGGGGGGGAGGGTTAGAGATGGCAATTTTTTTTTACTAAAAGAAGAGAAGCTGAGATAGTTGATCGCTGGCAATTGTGGGCTATTTTGCTGCTGGAAACCATAAAATGCTTTAGTAGCAATTATTTTCCTAGTTCATGATAACCCTATTACTGTACCAAGTCCCACAGCTACTTACAGGAACAGAAGAACTCCAGTGTTAGCCATGGCATATGCCAATCCAAGGATACCACTTCCCATGATGGCATTACTGAGGTTAAATACCGACATGCCGAAAGAAGTCTTGCCCTCGAACTGCAAACATACAAAAACACTGTGACACAAGCAGCTAATTCCTATTCATCGTGACAAGAATCATGCTTCCATAATGTATCAATAAACACTGGTATTTTTTAACTAATCCCCGTCACCAGTTTGTGTGGCTCATCTACTCACATCTGTGAATCTTGTTTTTTCCTTTACAGATGAATGAGGCAGGAATTCTTCTAACTCCGGACTCTCTGCTCCAGGAAAACTGTAGGGTAGAAACCATAGAGGTAAGAAGTATTAGACAATCCACGGGCAATCAAAGGGTAAGACCTGAGAGGGAAATGAGAGCGAGAATACACCCCAAGATTAATAATAAAACATGTTAACCGTATACCTTGGTTCTGGGGTCTCAGTTCCAAAAGTCCCCACTTGTTTCTCATTAAGATTCATGTTCACCATCTCTGTCTGAGCAGGAAACGCCATGATAATGTGATTAACCTCCACTTACTGCAAGAGAAAAGCACAGGGCACATTAGTTAAGGGAAGCAGAAAGTAGGGGGTAACAGTAAACTGCAATTTACCAAGTTACAGTTTAAATATAAAGCAAATTGTGCACTGCATGAGACATGTTTAATACAGAATTTACACAACCTACAGACAAATAATTTATATTATAAATTGCAACAAAAACAGAGAATGAGAGAAATCTGAGAACGGACAAAAGCTTAGAGAAGTTCATTAGCTTGTACTTCAGTAACTTCCCGCTCAGGTCTCAAAATACTTTTTGTTCACTTGTGCCATTACAGAGAGAACCAGTTCCAAGGCATTTCAGACTGAACCCACCCATAAGGGCAGTCCAGAACGAAAATGCCAGCAAATACTCTCTGAACAAGAGCTACAGCAAACCTGTTTTAGCCTTCTCGGGGCCTCGTCAGCGAGGTGTAGCTAATACCACTCTAGGCACAGTGAGCATGGGATCCACATCTGGATTACCCTTTAAACTTGGGGACAGCCAAGTTAATGCATTCCAACAAAAACAGAAAATATGTTTAATCTATATTATTATTATTTATAAAGCACCAACAAGTTCCGTAGCGCTGTACAATGGGTGGACTAACAGACTAACAGATATTATAAACTGGCAAAGAGAAGTATGAGACAGATCAAATAATTCTGCAGGAGACACTGTATAGTGGATCAATCATATACCAGCCTTATGGCAGCCTTATATAAGCACAATTGTCCCTGGTTGGAAGCATTATGGATAATAGGTTGCTATATCAAAAACAAACATCAATAGCTAAGCTGCTTTTTAACATTGTCATGTAAAACGCACATGGGTTGCTTAATGTCTAATTTAATATAATAAAGAAAAAAGGGAATAAGTAGCGACTATATTTTTATGTGTGCACTACTCTTTAATCTGTATACTTTAATATAATGTCTGTTTGTTGTGAACCTATAAGGTCCCTTTAACATGGCTATGTCTGAGTGAACTTAATATCTAACCTCTCTCCACCTCCTGCTCTTTCCTGCTCCCTGAAAATAAACAGATAAGTTGTGCAAACTGAGGGAGGGATAGGTACATACACACTCCCTTAACCCCTTTTAGGACCAATGCTATATCAGGACTGCCACAATAGCAAGAGATTTGCCTACCTTTGGTCCTGAATGGGTTAAAAAGGTAAAGGAGGGAAGGTGAATAAAACAGGTACATTTCCATGAGTGATTTTCTGTTGCAATCTGTTTATTAAGAGTAGACATGTAACTCTGTGTGGGGTTTTATGCACGTGAATCTGTTACAACTGTGTTGTTTTTTTATCCGTGTCTGTGTGTGTGAAATGGGGGAGGTACGTTTAGACTTTGCCCTCCTGTTAAAAAAATACAAACTGAAAAATAAGAAAACAAATTCTCAACTGAAAAACAATTTGTATAGATTTCCCAGAACTATTCAGTTTGCATAAATGGCTAATTCAGCAATACATCATGTATTATACTATGTGTGTGTGTGTGTATTTGTGTGTGAGTGCGTGTGTATTTGTGTGTGCGAGTGCGTATGTATTTTTGTGTGTCAGCACTGTATGCACCATAAACATGATTGCATTGTTACTTTGAAGGTCTTTCGAATATAATAGTTTATTATGGCATTATTTTTGTTCATTCTTTTAAAACTGTGATTGCTCTTTTTATGGCGTTGACGTTGGCATTCCATACTTAAAGTGCGCTTTTCATGAGAAATGTGGATTGATATCACTGTACATAGAGTACAGCTTGAGTTATACATTGTGCTAGTCAGTGGCAGTAACTGATTTATTTCAACTTGCCTGAGGGGATGGAGAGTTTGTTCATCCAACTGCTGAGTGGGTGGGCGCTTGACTCCTTTACATGTTAGACATGGAGACAATGCTTGTGCTGATTTAAGTGACACCTTGTGTGTTTAGGATGAAATACACAGCCAAAGGAACCATGTATTGTGGAAGAAAATACAAAAATTAGGCATAAAAAGATGAAATTAAGAACATAGCATGTCATCACTCGAAAACTGAATCGCTGGAGCAGCCCAGTTATATAATAATAACAAAGTATTTAACCAGGAAACGCACATTCAGATTACTCTGGTTTTCAAGTACGTCCTGGGAATGTTACTTTAGCCCAACATCCAGGGGTTGTTACTCATTTTATCTAACTCAGAAGGATGAAGGGCTGATTCAACCCTGCCAGGATTCAAACCTGCGACCCAAGGGTTGAACAGATTCTACTGATGATGCATTAGCTTTCTCACTGGCCTAGTGGAAAATTAATATGACTCTCCCACATTCAAAGCACTAGTGTTATTCAAATATTACGTATTATTTTCTCTGCCTATGTGGAGTGGTGGAATCTCAACCCAACTCCCAGAACAATTTGCCACCAAGTTCTAGAACAGCTGAAGTTCTACTTTTTGGCTGTAACTGTGCTAAAATGTCACAAGACTACAGGGAAATTATAGTACCATGTGTCACAGAGACAGAATGATTAGCCAGTAGTTGTACAGATCAATGCTACGATGATAATAGGTGCTTTAAAAATCCTTTATACAGATCTGTTAAGAGAAGCCCTGGTACATGTTATTATAGAACAGTAAGACTCATCACAGACATATCTACCCAGAATAGTTCTAAAAATAAATTGGATGTATTTAAATAGGATAATGCGTGCATATGTTTATGTATTTATTTGCAAAGTATTCATATATGCCAGCTTCCAATGCTAATGTCACTTAAAGCGAATCAATTTTGCCAATTTGTGAAATGGTGTTTATGGATTGTAAGTATAGAGTTCCATAAACTTTTACTAACAAGCAATGCACCATATATTTGGTAAGACAAATAGATCGGTAAAATTGAACAAAATGGGTAGAATTATGAACAATAGATCAATAGAATTATGGACAGCAAGTGTTCCAGACACTTACTATAATCATGCTGATGGTTTTTGTTGTTTTATGTTAAGTGGAACTATTATATCTATGTAATAGGTGGAATTATTATGTAATAGATGGAATTATTAACAACACTCCATATGATCAGAGTCATTTTAAAAGGCAATTACAATAATCACGCCTGTTCTGCAGTCGTTCGTAAACACTATGACAGTGATGTCACTCTCAACGCAAGAACGCAGTGTCCCAACGACTGACACAACAGCATGGGATTGTGAAACCTGTGCTTGCGCGCCCCTGAACTTACCCTGACCCTTTTCCTCCCACCGAGCCCTCATGTTTTCTGTTTGACAAGAGGAGTCAGTTATCTGATAAAAAAAAAAAAATCCTACTGAATCCGGAAAACCAAGCGTCACCAAAATCGCCAATTATGTGAATCCAACATAATCACTCGTGACTCATTGTGTCCATGTACCTGACCAGTAACTATTTAAGTTCAATATGTGCTAGGCATTAAACTGAGCATCTGTCCAGAACATTGACAACTGAAAAAAAAAAAGATTGGTTTTGAATTGCATTGCCCATGAGACATCTGGGGTGCCATAGTTAGTGAACACTGATACAGCATGTGTACTGCTGAAGCTCTGTCATGCCAACCTTTAGTGTGTGTTTCTTAAATACCTTGAAAGATTTACATACTATTAAATCTCTTTACTATTTAAAAATCGGCATTGTTGGAAACCCATTTGATCTTTTAATTAAACACATGGTAACCCTATTTTGAACACACATAACTTGTATCCAAGAGAATGTATTACTAAGATTATCTATAATAGTATGTACTTCTAATTACAAGAAGTGAGGCTTACTGTGTCACGTATCCGTAATTTTCGGAAAATTGTGAATTCCTGGAATGTTCTTCCTTGAGAGACTAAGACCTCGATTTAATTCCTTTGTATAAGCCTTTCAAATAATCACAATCTGTTAGAAAAACTTTTCAAGTTATTTACCTACAAACATTCCGTAGACTTTACAGTGACTTTCTCAGATAAATAATTTGAAAAGTTTATCTGAAAATATTTAATTATTGGAAATCTTATCCAAAAATATTAAAGGAATATTTTTGCGTTAGTAATACAAACATGTATTCCTAACGCTATTGGAGTCCTGTTACCTAGCCACTCACCATTTGAGTGTTTGAAAGGTGACTATTACCTACCTTTCAGTCCACGCCATGCTGTCCTCGCTGTCGTTGCTCCATCTCTTTGGCTGAGATCATCAATGTTTATAATCTCAGCTAATCCAATGCTACCCCATAGAGAAGCTAGTGCAAATGTGTGGCAAGACGCCAGGCAGCACCAATCAAATGCTGCTCTACGAAAGTACTTGTATATAGCAGAGGAAGTCCCTCTAGTGGCTGTCAGGAAGACAGTGATTAGAGGCATGTTAAACCTGCAATGCAAACATTGCAGTTCTGAAAGAATTGAATGTTTAATACTGCAGGCTTGAACAGGCAGACATTGCACCCAATTAACGTATTTGAAATGAAGTGGTCTGGGTGCCTTTAGTGTCCCTTTAAATCAAGGCCTAAGTAGTTAAATGGACAGAACAACCCTTATTACAACTTCATATTAAGTAAAATGCTATGGGGTCTTTATATCCTGGGCTCCGTCTTACACTAAGTGTATATTAAGTACATAATACACATAGCTGTATAAATGTGAAAGATAACATGTATGATCTCAATGCAGGATTGCAGTGTATTTTACACAGACTGGTTTCATTACTTGCCACAGAGGAGAATGTTTAAATCAACAGGTTTCCTCTGCCCTAGTAATGCCATTAGAGATTAAGGATTTGATGAATACAAGCTCCACCATGCAATAACCATATCTGACTGCAGCTAAAGATCTTTTAAAGGCTTACTCTAAGCACTATAACCAATTCAGCTCACTGATGTGGTCAAAGCGGAATGACTCAGTCTTCACATCTTTTCAGAAAGAAACATTGTCAGATTCAACATGTCAATTATCCAGCTCAGATCGAGAGTTTTGGTCTGACTATATCGATTTTGTCCAGGTATTGTGTCTCCTGGGAGAAAAGACAGCCAAGAAACAGACTGGCTAAACCTGGAGTGGGCAACCTTGGGCACTCCAGATGTTGTGGACTACATCTTTGTCAGCATCATGGTTGTAAGAGCATTATGGGAGATGTAGTCCACACCATCTGGAGTGCTGAAGGTTGCCTACCCCTGGCCTAAACAGTGAAACGGGCTAAATGTCAACTAAGAGCACCCTCAGTACAGCACATACCAGTTAACAAAGCAGGTCCACTTATTCTAAGTGATGAATGAAACTGGTCTTTGTGGATAAACTACTTATTCCATTCAGAGATTTGTGGGATACAAGTTTCTTCCTGGTGCGGAAGTGTCTACCTGGATTGGCAGACAGATTTACTAAGCAATGCATCGAGTAAGCCTATCAAGGTGAGTAAACTTTTTATTTTTTACTTTTAAATGTATTTTGTTGCTTTTAAAGCATTGCATCGCATTTATAATGCACTAAAAAGACAAAAAGTGCATTATACCTCATGGTTTTCCTTTAACAGGATTATTCACTAAAGAGAGAATTGTCAAGAATTTAATGTTAATTTAAAATTAAAGACCAAAATAGCTGAACTGGAAAAATTCTCTAAGTTAGCTAAGCTTCAGGTTTGGCTACTTTGGCCTTACAATTGAATTTGACTTTGAATTATGTTTGAATTCCTGACATTTCTGACTTTGGTGATCCGTTACAGTGTGAGTCTTTACAATGACCACAGCAAAGGAAATGACATGAACAGAGCCGCAGAGTTTCCTGAGGAATGCAGACGGTTGGATGAGATTGGAAGGGGAGTGCCTAACAGTTATATAAAAAAGTTTTATATTTCAGCAGGATAGTAATTCAAAGAGCCACTCTTTCCATAGCTTCTATGAGGATCTCAGGGGAACGCTTATGGATTCAGATTTAAAATTCAAAGACTTTATGGAGAAATAAAATGAACTCTTAAAATTTTGAAAAACATACTCAAATGTTAAACACAGATAATATGCATTTTAACAAATGTATTTAGAAATATTCATAAACCCTGTACTTAGGGTTATTCAATAACTCTGTAGTGTAGCAAAGTAAAATCTAAACAGCAAAATGTATGCTCAAATAGCCAAACTGTGACTATAGTCATATTACAACACTTTTCTACATCAGCTATTTTAGCCTGTATTTTGCTATTCCGATTTGAAGTTGTAAGTTTGAAGCTCAATGAATAACATTAATAGGTATCCATTTAACCCATATTGGACTAAGACATTGTGAACTTTTTACGGATCAAGTTACAAGACAAGTTTAAAATGCCTGGGGATACCGGGTCAAGGATCTACAACAAGGTTATTTACGAACGCGTGAATTGTCAGGATTTCTAAATGAATTTCCATCAGTATAAAGAAATGATACATATGCAGGAAAACACAGTGAATCTGGGAAGACTGGAAGGGCTAAGAAGCTTTCAAAGCAGAAGACAATAAAAGAGGAGATAGTTGTCGACATAAACAGATTTTATTTAAAGTTGTGCGCTATAAAAGATGGTAAAATATAATATGGATGATTTGAAAGCCAATGTCTAACGCACAACTGTATAACGGGTATACAATACTATTGAATAAACAACAAAGAAAAATTGCTAGCAAGGTACAGTGAAAAGAACAGAAAGTTAAAGAGTGCCTGTTTAATAGATTTTACATCTCAGCTCATCCAGAAGAGATCAATGTATCCAGAAAATGAGAGTGATTGTCAGATGTGCAGTCTGTATCTTCCCAAACAAACACACACAAGTAAAGGGAGTTTACAATGTGTTGGGAGGGATATGGGGGTGACAAGGGCAAAGAAAGCGATTGGATACTGGATACCGGGTGCAAGCAATCTAAATAAAATATAAATATAGGATGGGAACTGTGCCAGTGACAAAACTAGCAGCTGAGATAAATTTAGGGAGATATTAATAGATGTCTATATGTTTGTGTTCATAAGTTAGTACATATCCTCTGTGCAGCCCTCCTAAACCCCCCCCCCCCCTCCCATCTCAGTCACAGACACTGTGACCTGATTTAACCCCGGTGTGCCTGTAGGTGGGTGGGGAGTGGAATGTGAGCTCTTAGTCCTGACCCCATTCTTTATTTATAGGACGCAGGCTGAGGGAAGAGAAAGAAACCCCCCGAACCACTGATGACGCACTGTAACCAGAGTATAGAGTATAATGTACACTTACAGCAGCCAACAGTATATATGGAAATATATATACTGTCTTCCACACACAAGTGTGTGTGTGTCTCTCTCTCTCCATTTTCCTCTCTATCTGTCTGGATAAATACAGTATATGTGTTTGTATATAAATAAGACCTTTGAATTTCCAATAGTTCAATTATCAGTAGTAAGTAACAAAGTTTGGTATAAACATAAACATACCTGACAATACAAATGAGCTATGACTTGCAGAGCATAGACAAAATAACAGTAACACCAGAGCAATATAGTTACTGTCATAGAGCCATTCATGGAGTGTATTGTAAGGGATAGCAGGCACCATTCTTCAAGGAAAGATTCCAGTTCATTGAAGGAAGGTAGATATGGAAATCTAAATCCCTTTATGGACCACATCTATTTCCCTTTAAAGGGACACTATAGTCACCAAACCAACTTTAGGTTAATGAAGCAGTTTGGATGTATATATAATGCCTCTGTAGTTTTACTACTCAGTTATCTGCCATTTAGGAGTTAAATCACTTTTGTTTCTGTTTATGCAGCCCTAGCCACACCTCCCCTGGCTGTGATTGACACAGCCTGCATGAAAACAAAATAGTTTCATTTTCAATCCGATTGCAACTAACTTTAAAAGTTTTTATCTCCTACTTTGTAAATTTAATTTTAACTACATACAAGAGGCTCCTGCTGGATCTAGCAAGCTAGTAACAGAGCTGGAGATGAGAAATTCTAAGTTAAACAGAATTTAAAATAAAGGAAGTGTAAACAGTAGATGACTCTTTACAGGAAGTGTTTAGGAAGGCTGTGCAAGTCACATGCAGGGAGGTGTGACTAGGATTGTATAAACAAGTGATTTAACTCCTAAATTGCAGGGAATTGAGCAATGAGACTGCAGGGGCATGATCTACACATCAAAACTGCTTTATTAAGATAAAGTTGTTCTGCTGACTATAGTGTCCCTTTAAGGATTACAATATAAAGACAGATATGCTAATACTGAATGTCCTGTTTATTTTACATTAGCAGCTTTGTACAGTTGGGGTTTCTTTAAAAGTGTGGAACATTGCATTTTGGATGGTTTGTAATGAGAAACTATTATATCATTGGTTCAAAAGGACAGCGATGTTTAGATTGACGGGGCTGATTCTAGGTAGGCACATATGGCTCAGCTCTGTCAGGTGCCAGAAGAGGGGGTGCATAGAGGAGCAAGCCAAAAGCCAGTCATAGGGGGCCCAGGTGGTAGCCAGCTTAGAGTGCCACCCAAAGTGGGCAGTTATTCACTAAGGCAAAGTAGGCAACTGCTTACCTGGATGGAAGGTGTCTACTTGGGCAATATATACCAGGGTTCAGGAGAAAGAAGGTAGGCAGTGGTGAGGGAGCCCTGATGTTCTTCTGTTTCCCTGTGGTGATGCGCGCACTGCAGTGATGATGGAAGTTGGAACATGACGTCACTCTGGCCCCAGCAACACTAAATAACGCACGAGGGAGCAGTGAGAAACTTGAAGATTACAGCAGCTACAGGACCCAAGGGGGAGAAGACTCACCAGCTCTCCAAAAGGCAGGGAGGCTGAATGAGCCTAAAAAAATAAAACCACAAGAAATAAAATTAATTTGTGAGTGTGTGTGCAAGAATGTGTAAATGTGTGAATATGTCTCTCAATGTCTGTGTGTGTCTCTCAGTGTGTGTGTGTGTGTGTCTGTCAGTAAGTGTGTTTCAAATCAGTGAAAGTGTGTGTGTCGCGGCTGCTGGCCCGCCGCGTGGCACAGATGTGCCCAATCGGCACAGCCTCGTCGACAGCACGAGCTTACCTGCTCGTCGGCAAGCTGACAGCCGCTTCCCCGCATCCTCCGGCCGTTGCGCCGGGATCCAAAATGGCGCTGCCCGCGTGGTCGCGCCTAAACATAGCTCCGCCCCCAAAGTTTATACTGACGTGCGTGTGATGTCACGACGTCAACGCGCACGCACGTTTTGGGGTCAGAGGTCGCCCTCTGACCAATCAGATCTTAGAGAGGGATATTTAAATCCCTAGCTCACCCCAGTCCCTTGCCCTGTCGTGGTTTCCTGTTCCTGGTTTCCTGAGAGTGCTTTATCTTTGTGAATCTGATTCCCTGGTATCCTGATCTTGGCTTTTCCCTGGTTATTCTGAATTCTGGTTTCCCTGACTTGTCTTGTGTAAAAGGTATTGTGTATTTTCTGGCTTCCTTGACCTCAGCTTTCCCTTTGACCATTCTCTGTCTCTAGCATATTAGTCCGGCCATTCTAAGGTCCGGTTTACGCTCTGTCCTTTTATTTTCCTTTTCTTGCCTATGTATATGTTTACATAGTTTCTGCCTGCTGGACCACTCTAGTAGACGTGACAGTGTGTCTGTCATTGAGAGTGTGTGTGTGTCCGTCAGTGTGACAGTCAAATCAGTGAGATTGTTTCTGTCAGTATTTTGTCTGTCAGTTAGTGTGTTTTAAATCAGTGAGAGTGTTTCTGTCATTGAGAGTATGTGTCTGTCAGTGTGTGACTGTCAAATCTGTGAGATTGTGTTTCTGTTAGTGTGTCTGTCAATGTGTGTGTATCTGTGAGAGAGTGTGTGTCTGTCAGTATCAGTGCATGTGTCTGTCAGTGCCAGTGTGTGTTTCTTTTAGTGAGTGTGTCTATCAGTGAGTTTGTTTCACATCAGTGGGAGTGTGTGTCTGTCAACGAGATTGTGCGTCAGTGTATCTGTCAGTGAGTGTATGTCTATGTGTTTATGTCAGTGAGATTGTGTGACTGTCAGAGTGTGTTTCTTTCAGTGAGTGTGTCTGCCAGTCAGCGTGTTTCAAATAAATGAGAGTGTGTGTCTGTCAATGAGATTGTGCGCCAGTGTATCTGTCAGTGAGTATGTGTCTGTCGATGTGTCAAATCAGTGTGTGTGTGTGTGTCTGTCAGTGAGAGTGTGTGTGTCTGATTATAAAAAAAGGGTAGGGCTTATAGAGATGGAAAGGTGGTCTTTTTGCCATAGAAATTAGACATACAAAAAGGGGAGGAGTGAGTAAGATGACACCCATCTGAGGGCATCAAAAAAATGTCTGCACCCAGGTGTTTTTGTATCCAGGATTTGCCCTGTAAAATGATTAGGTCATGACATGTGTTTGATTCTCCTGGCATTCATTGAACCACTTATGGAACTATAAGCAATAAGAATAGGGGCACTATAAGCCTGGAATATGGGTGGTGGAAAAAGGCTTGTGTCATGAGGCAGCAAGAACAGAAAGATGACATCTAGTGCAGGTAGTTACATATTACTGGGTATCCAGAGCTCTTAGATAGGGTCATTAAAGTTTCTGAAGGAATAATGGCATGGAGGAAAAGTTGGTATCTGGATTACGTAAAAATATCAACACACTAAACCATCAAAACAGGATACAATTTTTTAGCTACTTAAGTCCAGTAGTATAGAATGATAACATTAATATACTCATTGCTACTCATTTTAACACAAGAATTCCCTTGCCAGGAATTGAACCCATGATACCGCAACTAGAGCACTAACCACAAAGCTATCCCACAATATACATTGTTGCTTATTGTTCTTATCTGTATAATGTGTTAGCATTATATACTCTAATATTTCATTAGCAATATGATGGAATGAAGGCTGATGTGGTATATACGTGTTCTATTATACACATTCAATGATGCCATAACTTATTTAAGTCACTAGGGATGGCACTGCCAGTGACTGCTCTTTGAATAATATCTGGCATGTTTGTCCCCTTCTACTCATGTCTCTTTTACTTGTCGGAATCAAGACTCCCCCACTTCCTCCCACGGTTCTGGCTTTGATCTAGAATCAGGTAACTCAAAATACTTTAACATGTTCCAAGTAGATGACCTGTGACATCTTTGACTTTTTCAACCATGATTAAGAAAACTCTAAATTTACTCGCCTCATTCAACAGCAGCTTGGCACAGATATGATATCCAGTCTGTCCACTGATCTATGCCAACACTGTCAAGTGTATCCACGAAACCGGGAGCTTTCAAATAATGACTAAAAAATTGCACATTTTAGGATAAAGTTGCCGGGCTTGAAAAATAAAATTTGGCCTGAAATGTACAATTCCCTGGTCAATTCCTGACAATTTTCAGTTTATCGAGACAGAGACACATATTTTAAGTGACTCTGTCCCAAGTGACATCACCACTTGGTGTGAGGTGGCCTGGGTTGAAGTAGAACTAAGCTATGCTTACCACAGGCATCGGTGCTTTAATTTTTGCACATGGGTGAGAATATAAAACTGATGTCTATGGTGAATCCGGCAAGACCACAAGAGCCTCCATAGATATTGTGGTGCAATGACAATGCCCTATTCTCACAGCTGGAGTTTGTGATGGCTGGAGGAAGTGACAAAACTAGACGGCAGAAGCCCCACCTTCTGTCAAGATTTGTTAAGTGGAGATAAAATAAATACAAAGTAGTCTATATTTTGTCTTATGATATATTTAGACTGTGTTGGAATTTCAATAGAATTTGCTTATTTGGGAAAATTTGAAAACTTAAAATGAATTTTCCAGCTCAGTTATTTTGGCAAGAAAAGTACAATTCCCTCTGACCAACACTTACATTTCTACCATAACAATTGCGAGGGCATTACCTTTCATATGATGAGACACAGGAGGAAATAACTTTAAACTGGTAATGTAACACTGGTGACACTAAAAGCTGAGCTAGATACCTTGATTGCTACGATCTCACCAGAGCACTATATAGGTCGACAAACCTAGGCACTGGATGTCAGGGTCCTGCTCACAATGGTTGATCAGATTCTCACTGTTTTACCCTTTATCAAAAAACCCAGCAGGGCACCACTGATGTACGGATTACAGCAGCTGACACACAACGGTCTGCTGCACTATATTGAAGTTTGTTTCTATAAAAACGCACGCTTGTTCACCTCGTGTGAATATGGATATGTCTTTAGAATAATATTTATAACCCTGTTGTAATGTATGATTTCATGTGGTGTCATGCCTTGGAATAAATAAAAAAAAAAGAAAAGTACAATTCCTTATTCGATTCTTTAAAATTCCTTATATTAACTGAATAAACGTGTCAATAAATGTGTCATTCCAAAACAAAAAAAGCTATATAAAAATGGCCACTAACAGACAGATGATTAATGAAACAGATCTTGTCCCAAGAGACATACAAAAATAAAGCCTCGACCATATCAGATTTATGGTATATTCCAATACTCAACATTGTTACATCAGTAAATGATGCAATGCGTACTACCAGAGCACAAAAACCATCTATTACTCACATATTAAAATAACACAGTTAGAAAATGGATTTATACATGTAATTGCATCATTAATTGGGATAGAATTATAACAGAGAAGTAATTGGGATAGAATTATAACAGAGAAGAGGACAAGTAAAATCATTAGAACTCTTGAAATCCGTATAAAAACTAACTTAAATATATTGAGAGTGTGTCAAGATAAAAAAAAATAATGAATATCCAGCACTGGATTTGTATTTAAGATCACCCTATTCATATTCTTGTAACCCTCCCAGCCACACCTCTGTCCTCCTGTGGTCGTGCTAAGTCAATGTGTTAATCGACGATGTCCGGGACAAGCACTGATTAATGTTTACTGTTTCAGATATGGACATGTGGGAACTTGTTCTCTCCCTGCTGTATAAACCACCGTAAGGTTCCAGAGCATGAATAGCAGTATCTACATTATGAAAACGCTCTCCAAAAACCCAACAAATATTCTCAACGTATTAAAAACGTGCTCTACCAGTAGCTTTCTAAAGGGTTGTAGTAGTCGCACAATACAACTTATATAATCATGCCTTATACTTCTACACGTTAACAAGCCCTAAAGCTATATTCTATTATTCCTTATTATGTATCCCCTCCTAGCTGAAATAGCTGTTCTCACTGCACCTTCCAACCACTTCATTTAAAATGTCTCCCCCTGTTCCACAGAATTACTTCACATAACTGCTTCTTTTTATTGTTCATTTTCTATACTCTTAGTAGTAGTAACTGTGAATTTCACATTTTAGACCGAAAATAAAATAGCTGAACTGAAAGCATTGAGGTTTGGGAATTTATTTTCCAATTCATTTACTTTGGCCTAACATTTGAAATCCACGACAATTCCCACTTCAACTGTGAATCATCCTGTCTAAGGGTCCAATTAGCAAGATCACCGTCACTGAACCTCTTTTATTTCTTTGCACAAGGTTGCTTGATGTAGAAACAAAACAAAAAAAGCTGACAAATGAAGCCAAATTGGAAGATGAGGGATGAGATCACTCATCAAGCTAGCTTAGAGTCTTTATAACTCATTTGGATACATTTGTTCTGCTCTAAAAATTATCTGTAGGGCTAACATTTTATATAACGATGTCATAGGGCTCTTATGTATCATGTATAAGTCTAGGAAGAAAATGTAGAGTATTTTGTACATGTATGCTTCACACTTTTATTTATATGATACTGTGAGCAAGATAGACTAGATTCATCAATGGGACTAAAGTAAAGCTTGTTCCCAGACCATGACTAGGAGTCAAACTAAGGCACTTCTCTGCAAAACAGTTTATGATAGAATAGAAACAGCTGGATACAGTGCCAGGTGCCTAGTCTACCTGCAAGGGCAGAACACAAATCAGGGCACAGCTACGGGCCTCCCAGATGAACTTGCCAACATGATTTTGTTCTCTGGCTTAGCATGACCACAGGAGGTGTCTTCTTTTAACTAAGAAAGGAAGATTTCAAACAGGAAAAAAAAATCACACACCTTGCTTGTTCCTAAATGAGCCTCTCACTATTAGCTTACGTTGCACAGATAATTACAATTGTTTGCTACATTGTTATGTCATTTTGGACAAAAGGACAAATACCAGCCAAACAGATAAACATCTCTATTTTAATAACACAGATAACTTCTGGTGACAGAGCAATAAGCTAAACAGCTGCGGCTGTAACAAAGCCACAAATTATAACAAGCAAGCCTTTAATATGTCACCTGATCACTGTGAAGGCTTAGCGTGGAGTAAAATTACTAAAACATTATACAAACACAACGTGAACAACTCCTCTACATCTCACATATACTGCTTATATGAATACATCTGCATTTTGTAAGTTAAGAGGGTGCATGGACATACAATCTCACTGCACATTATTCTATGCAGGGGCATTACGTGCTCATCTTGTATGTGGTGTCTCTATAATAAACATTTATATAAATTTTTAACACAATGGTAATTACCCTCAGCCAGCCAGATATGCTCATATATAGCCTGTCCATATCACATAGGAATGTCTCAGACTATTGGAGTGTCACTATCTATTTATCTGTCCATCTATAGTCTGTCTGTCTGAACACAGGATGCCAACTTCAATTTTGCCAATTAGTCTTTATTGAAAGTTATAGAGATTAAATGGGAACTGTCACACCCCAGGATGTTTAATATTATGTTCTCTTCCCTATATTTAAAGGATTACTTCAACCACCATGACCTCACTCTGCTCTTGGAAATGGCAATGGTGGTAGGAATCTGTATGTGCAGCACTTCTGCTTGTTAATGTTACACATACAGAGAATGCACTTTTGTTCAGGGGGCTAATTACACCCCTAGCACATGTGAATTAGGCAGCCCGGAACTCTGTGAAAAAAAATTACCTCTGTCACCAGTGTTCAATGTCCTCTCCTCACTCCCTTATTTCAGCCCTCCCTGCCATCCTACATTTCTTAATACTTGTCCTTTAATAATTATTATTAATTATTATTATATCCTCCCTCCCTTGTCCCCCCACTTTCTCCCTGGGCCCGAGCGTAAAATGCTCAATGAGAAGCATCTGGTTGGACCTTACGGGAAAAGCAGTGATGTCGGACAGAGCGTGGAAACCAGCAAGGGAAGGGTTTTCTTAATTATAAAGTGGGTGAGACCAAATGACTAATGCCCAGCAGGGCAATCTAAATTTTTTTTTAAATATTCATTACAAAAATATGGAGTCACTATTTAACAAATATGTATTTGTAATCACTCGCATTATATTTTGAAGCAGATGCCCAAGCACTCATTCATGACTGCTTCCCGATGATCATAGGGGGCTGGCATTGGCCTGGACACAAAATTGCTGCCTTGCAATGTTCTATACTTACTCCTAACAGCCTATCTCACCCCACTGCTTCAGTTTTCACCAGCAGTAAAGCAGCACTATAATTACACTCCTGGTAATAAACATCTCAAGAACTCTCTTCAATAAAACAAATACAACCATGAAAACTCTCTGTACTGTGCCCGATACAAGGGATATGTATGGGAGTGATGGTGGAGTGAATTTATTTTTATAACATAGTAAGCTTTAAAAAGGTGTTATGTGCCTTTAAATGTAATGCCTGTCACTTTTGACATAGTGACACAGTGACATTAAAACAAGTATTTGCTTAGCAGCCTTGGGTTTTGATACACAGCGTGCAACGACTGGGCAGGGCTGGATGCACATGTGCACAAGGTTTGGAGTTCTAGCCTAAAACCAAACTAAGGCCAAAGACCACAGGTTATCCAACTGAGAGACTAAAAAATTCCACTTCTAACATAATATTTCTATTAAAAATAAGTCTCTGAGAATTCAGGGCGTGTGGAGGACTGGACAAACAGACACAAGCAGAGACAGTATCTCCAATGTGTAAACTTTAACCTGTAACTGTTAATGAGAGAAACAGATGTACCACAGTTTTATTCACTTAAATGAGAACTCAAAGTGAATTTCAGATTTTAATTTAAAATAGCCAAACTGCCTGTCCCTGCAGACTTTGTAATATCAAAATTGCCTTTTGTAGAGAAAATGTTTTGTTTACATTATCACCTAGGAACGCCTCTAGTGTTCACTCAGTCACTCAGATGTTTCCTGGGTCAGTGCTATGTTCAACGTCTCCACGGTCTGCATGGAGCCGCTGAACATGCCCCTTAGTGATGCACTGATTCAATGCATCCCTATGAGGAGATGCTGAATGGCACAGAACTGTGTTTTGCCGTGAATGCACAATAGCCTCCCAATGCTTTCCTATGGGAAAATTTTATGATCTCAGGCAAGCGGGCGGAACGGAGACAGAGCCAGCCACAGGGACCCACGTGGCGCTGGAAAAAGGTGAGTAAAATCGCCCTTTTAACAGGGGACAAGGGGGTGCTGGTCACCAAAACGGCTATTTGGACCTATAGTACATTTGTATTCCTGACACTATAATGTTTCTTTAAGAGGCACTCAATGCATCTACATGTTTTTTTTCCTAAGTCATTTAAAAAAATAATATTTAGTATTACTCCATATGCCCAGCCTTTCTGTTCTTGTCTTCACACTTGTGCCCCAAGAATAATGTTATTAATGATCCCAAAATGTACAGAATTTAATAGCAAGTACACTGGAGCTCTTTTAAAGGAACCATACTGCATAATGCTCTGACCCTCTCCCCCATGTAAGAAGACAAATTGTTTTAGAATGGTTAGTCTTCTTACCTGTGGTCCTCTGGATGCTTCTCCCTGCCTCCACCAGACTCTACAGAGAGCTAAAAGCTCTCTCTCTGAGCTAAGCCCGGCAGTTTAAGGCTAAGAGCAGTCATTGTCTGAGAGCAGTCAGCTCACCATTTAAGCCAATCAACTAGCCCTGCACTGCAAGACCTTGCTCAGGAGGGCTAACAGAAGTTCCTAAGCAGAAGCTTTCTGGCTTTCTGCTGGCCATAGAGGAGGCACGGAGCAACATCTTGGGAACTCCTGGCACCATAATCGCTGCAGGTTATTATGGTGTATGGAGTGTCCCCTGAAACTTTTCATCAGTCTTCCAGCCAGTCCAATGATTGAGTGGACTGTGTGAAAAAGTGTGACTGAAGAAGCTTGACAATCATTTTCTGAATATTATATGTTGCAACAGACATCACGATAATTAGTATTGAAATACTAACTGCAAGGAAAACGTGCTAAAAACTAAACATGTGACAAGATGGAATAACAAAGTCAACCTATCCTTATGTTCTAAAGATCTGAAGTAGACACCATGATGCATTGCTCACCAACATTTAGAGAGCTTCAGCTGCCATGACTACTAAACATATAATGTGTATTATAATGCTATGTCTGCCTTATGTATATAGCTGAAGAAATGACTTAGTTCAAAAGTAATTAAACCAACCCTATTTCAAATAAACATATGTCATATAAGAACATACCTGCTACTGGTGTCCGTTTGCCAGCAATATAATGTTTTATCACTCTTGCCTATTTAAAGTAAAAGATACCATAAAAAAACCTTTCCACCTGTTCTCCAATCCACCAATAAATAGTTATTGAGTGTCACTGCAGCTATGTATTTCAGCAAAAGGTAATCATGTTGGAAAAAGAAATTGAAGCAGAACAGAGAAAGAGAGAGGGAGAGAGGGAGAAACAAGAGTAACTCAAAGACAAAAATGCTTTATATGAAGAATTAAAAAGCTTAAAATAAGTTACCGGGTAAGCTCAGCTCTGTCGTAGGATATTATGGAAGTGTCACGATTGGCTGTGGCACTTCTGGGTCTCTGAAGAGTTCAATGCATAACTTACGAAGCCGGAGGATTTACAAAATATACTTCAAATGTGAGTATCTTTTTTTTTTTTTACATTCATTTGCTTATTTTTTTATATGCATTTCTTTCAGGAGCTAGGAAACATGTCAACCCACAATTTCACAAATTACATATTCAGGAATGATAGAAGTAAAATGTAATATTTTTAGGAGCCATGGCTGTCTTGCATCTGGTGTTTGTCAGCTCCACCTTTTGTTGGCATACGTTAAAGGGGCAGCTTAATAACAATTATGATGCTATTAGAATGCAGTTGGTGCAGATGGGCCCAGTCAATCAATGCAATCCAAGTACGGATACAAAATAATATTGCAAACGCAGAAGTGGGCCTTCTGAATTAGCAACAGGCGAATAGAAGGATGGTCCCTCTCAGTTTTTGATCAAACCATTCATAAACAGTTTGTGTCAGCATCCTAAAAGCACCATAACCACTACAATGGCATGTAGATGATATGGTGCTTAGACTGCCCCTTTTAATTAACAAAGTATCATTTCACATTTTATTTTATGTAAGTCCATGTATAAGGAAAAGAAAGACAGTTGAACTCTGTGGCTGATTTCCTGCTGAGTTCAATGCAAAGCTTACTGTAGCCCATGGAGCAGCGTGGCTAAGGGGAATGGGCCTTGACATTGCTAGAAGACAGGCATGGAGCGTATGTAATGTTTGGGGTGGGCTAGGAGAAAGTAGGGGAGGGTTTTTGGCTATGGTAGTATATATAAGGGCCATCTTAACTAATCCTCACTTACCTGTTGTTGGAATTGGTAATGGTAGGTTCGAGCTTGTTGGTAGCTCCGAACATGGTGTGTGTAGGATGTATCTCGGTATACCCACTATGCATATGCCATGTAAGCTGATGAGCACAGCTAGATTTATAAGAAGTTTGCACATTTAAATTCAGATATGAAGAGAACTGCATAAGGTGAAGTCGCTACTAAAGTCAATCAATTGGCCAAAAAGAATGTCAACATTCTGCCCAACAAGAATCTGTGCTGGCCATGGATTTACTTACCATATCATAGTACAAGTTGTTCTACATACAAAATATTTTTTTCTGTTTTGTTTTTGTATATATGTATTCATTTTATCCCACAAGGCCAGACATGTGTGCAAATGATTTAACCTTATCAGGCTTATTCACTAAAGTGAGAATTTAAGGTGAATTCGAAGTGAATTTAAATTGTACGGTCAAAATAGCCAAAATGGAGGAATTCTCTAACTCAGCTATGCTTTCCATTCAACTTCTCTGGCCTTACATGGCAAAGTCAATTTGAATTCGCCTTGAATTCTCACTTTGGTGAACTACCCTGTATGAGTATCAGCAAAGTGCGGAGTAAAACTGCTGTAACAGAACAGTATCGGCCATTGCTATCACAGAAATCTGGGTAATAAGATTTGGTGACCCAATTTGTGGGGTTTATGCACTAAAGTGTGGATTTTGGAGAACTCACAAAGGAATTTCTAAATTTTAGGCCAAAGCAGCCAAAATTAAAATACATTTTTTTAAAAAGTAATAATCTAAAACTCTGTAAAATATCTAGCTCAAGTATTTTGTTCTCAAATTCACAACTTCCTATTTAGTTCTCCACAATTGTTGGTTTAAAGAATAAACCGTACTCTGACTTACAACGATTATTTATCTTTCCTTACAAAACAGGCTCTGGCCTTATTTCATCATATCAAACAGGAGCACATGATGTCTTCCACAACTGGTTAAATATTAACCTTTTTTACACATACAAAGAACTAGGTATAGTTGCCATTAGCCATCAAAATACTTAAGGGAATTTAGCAACTCACATACATTTGTACAGACAGATAGTCGGCCAACTAAGTCTGCTCGTTCCCAGAGAAGGATTAACATGCCACGGGGTCCTAGGCAGCTGCCTAAGGTCACATTATGTTTAATCCTGTTCTGTCCATTTTCTGTGCAAAATACAGGTTTTTTTTTTAATATTTGATTTTGATTACTGCTCAGTCTCTATAATTTCTGGTAGGATATTCCACGCATGTGAATTTTGCCTCTAGGATCCTCTAGTATGCACACTCTCTTTTTTCAGGAAATCCACTTTGTCCCTTTATGACAAACATGACAAAATTAAATTTTGCAGTGATCCTAATTCTATCACTATATTGTGTGAGAGCAATAGCCAATGGGTGCACATAAATAATTGTATGTGTCAGCACACAATGCTAGGAACAAGGTGTCAGGCTGATTGGTACAGAAAAAAAAAAACAAAGACAGCCATCAAAATGGAGGATCTGACCTTTGACCCAAATGGCACTCTCAGTGCATTGTGGGATGGCATGCACATGGTATGAGTGTGGGTTACAGCAGAAAAGGCATCCTTTTCCCTGGAGGACATATGTTTCAGGTTGTTTTGTTTTTTGTTTTTTGGGGGTATTCACTGGTGATTTTGCCAGCTAAAGCTGTGAGCATCAGCCTAAAACCAAATCTGCCATCCACGTGCTTTTGGGATTGCCGATTATTTTTAAAGTGTGCTTATCAGTTAGAGTGATATAAATAAAAGGATACAAATTTAAAGAAAAAATACCTGCTATAGTGAAGTACATCAAAAAACACTTCTCAAGAAATGCAAATTAAAGAAACACTCTAAGCACCATAACCACTACAGCCTGTTAAGAGTCCAATTGCTTTTTAAAGGTTTCACACTTACTTGAGTCCCCTTTGCTCCTTTGGCTTGTCCTGTTTTCACAGATATCTATAAAGCAGTAGTCCCTACATCCACATTAGGGACAGCAATATTTTCCTGGAACTATTCATTGGCTTTAAGCATCAGCTGAGGTGCTCAGTCAAGGCATTCAATGATAATATGGCTAAAATTAATATAATGTATATCTAATTTGAAGCACAACTTGCTCTTACATGATATCTGTGGAAATGGGCCAGATCACATGCATACATAAGAACGCTGGTAAGTATGAAACCATTCCAAAACAATCTGACTCTGTGGAACAGTGTCATGCATGTCCGAGCACCATAACCACTGTAGTGCGTTGTGTTCAGGAGGCTTAGAATGTCCTTTTAAGAAATGCACACAATTGCCATAAAATTAATCTGCTCTTTAGATGTACCTTTGGCATAATTTGTGATATTTTGTTGTTGTTTTTCTTGTTTCATAGAAAACTAATTCTCTAACTGAGCATATAAAAAGTTTGACTGATAAAAAAGTTAAAAATGTTCCATGCATGTCTGAAAATAAAAATTTTTAAAGCCACTGTTTTGCAGAGCAACCATCTTTTTCAGATGGTTAGGTAAAACTAACATACCTTTGTGTAATAAACAATATAGTCACTGGGTCCAAATATTTCATAAAGATCTAGGGTAGATGGCGAATTTAACAACATATGCATGTAGGACAACATGACTGTAAAAAAGAAATCCTTAACTGAAAAATTCCACCATTTCAACACAATTAAAAGCCCATTCACAAAGAAAAATAACAATGAAGTAAAACAACGGGTGGAACATTGCACCCAGATCAATTCATTATGATGAAGTTGTGTGGGTGCCTATATTGTCCCTTTAATATTCTGCATGGTTAGTGCACTAGAAATTTGTTGTAGCGAATCTTGATTAGCTTATTACAATTCTCTTGAGGGTGTCACTAAAATTTCTAAAGCAGTTGAATTCTGCTGTGACCGTTTGACGTTCATACATACTGATGTTATTTAAAAGTACGTGTGAGTGATGTATACAAAACACCAAAGTATCTGGAAATCTATCAACTGAATAGGAACAGACCATAAGGCAATGTATTTTGCATATTCTCAATGCAAACACGTTAATAAGGGTTTACTGTCTCTTAAAAATGCAGTATATATCAAGGATTAATACTGCACCATATATAATGAGAACACAGTAATCCTATACCATAATACAAATATATATTTTCCCTTGTATTATAATATTATAACCTAAAGAAACCTGCATTAAATGTGTATTTAATTGCTGCCCAAAGGGGCATCAACGTTGGGAAAAAAGGGCATGTCAGCCTGGCATGAATGTCAGCTAGCCTGACCACCAATCACGCTTGCCAAACCTACCCAGGGCAGCACACATGCAGAATGCCACAGAGTCCAGTTTGCGCAGTGTGACCGTATCTAATGATATGCTCATTCTGCTCTTTTTGGGGACTTGATCTCTGATATACCCAAATGCTGGCAAACCCTGGATGGTTGGAGAGGACCCTGAATTAGGGACTGCTGGTAGGTTTACAATGGAATTTAATTTTTCAACACCCTTTTGAATATCTTGTTTTGCACCAATAGATAGATTATACCCTTCAGCATCATAGGAAAATGCAGGGTTCAGGAAGCAAATGCTTATTAGAGCTCCTCTTTTTGAGATAATCTTCCGCATACATATGACGCAGTAGTCCGTTGTTTCCTTTATGTGTATAGTTGACTGAGAGGGAATTTCTGTGTAACTTCAACACAATGTAAACATAAACATTCTATCAATATGAATACCTCAGAAATGAAAGTGTTGGAAGTCTGACAAGCCACAGCCAAGAATAGCAGGACTATAGAAAGGAATAAACTGTCATTTATTCTCTCAAACATACTCTGGTTTTAGAATATATTATCTTTAAAGGTACAGAAGCCATTTTCCATTTTATAGGTCGCTACTGCTTTAAATTGACACTTTAACCCCTTAAGGACCAAACCTCTGCAATAAAAGGGAATCATGACATGTCACACATGTAATGTTTTCTTAAGGGGTTAAGCATAAAATAATCACTACTTCTTAATGACAAATGCTGTCCCTTTTGAATGACAATGTAGCACATTGATGTTTCTGGGAAATAGCACTGTTTACATTTGTCGGAGAACATACCGTAAGTGGCTGTCAAACTAACAACAACAAGAGATACTTCTTCCTAAAAGCCTGATGTTTTTAAAGGGACACTATAAGTACCTCAGTGAAGCAGTCTGGGTGCAGTGCCCCTGTTGTTTTAACCCTGCAATGTAAAACGCTGCCATTTTGTAGAAACGTTTTTATTGCAGGGTTAAACACAACCTTAGCGGCTGTCTTCCTAACAGACACTAGAGGCATTTCCACTGTAACAGCCGGGTTATCAGACTCAGTTATTCAGTCTAATGTCCTCATCGACAGCATTCCATTGAGTGAGATTTTTGCCACACGTGCATTTCTCATCTCTAAGGCTTCTCTATGAAAAGCATTAGACTGGATGAGAATGCGAAAGACATCAGCAGGCTTGCTGATGAAGACAGAGGCTGAGTAGGCTGCTGTACTGGAGGTGTTTTGCCTCTGGAAATGAGGAAAGTTTAAGATATTAACTTTTGTAACATCAAAAGGGATAGACAGTGGTCACAGTAATAGAAGAGAATTTATAGTCCCGGGAAAAAATTATTATTATGCTGAAAGAACACTGTCCTTCCTATAGTGAATTATATTTCTTTTTTTAACTTAAAGTACTGAAGAAACTAATAACAATTACAGCGGAATGGGATGCAATTTTCATGACTTGTAGTGGCAGTACCCTGCAGCCAAAACTTTCTGAATGCAAATTTATTTTAAATTCACAGCATAATAATGAATTGTATCACCCCTAAAATGTAGATTTGCATCATGTTAACCCTGTATAATCAACTTTCCCTTAGGCCTAACAAACAACCTGATACACATATATAAATATCTACACACAAATATAAACAGTGTTGTTTGTTACTTTTGCAATTTAGTGCCTGGAGTGCTAATTCAAAACATTATATGTAAAATTCAAAAATGTGCCCAAAACAATGGTGTGTAAAAAGCACTTAATATTTATAAACAGTACATGTAAAAGCAGCTCAAAAAAATGTCTGATAAATACACAAACATATGAATAGTGTGAGGCCAGCATTTTATCTTGCTAAGGTGCTGGATGGACAGAGCCTAAAGCCTGTCAGGTTCCACAAAGAATCCAAAATGAATCCAAGACTATTTAAAGGTTTAAACGTTTCTTTTGATATTTTTTTTGCAGCAGCAGAGGTGAAAGTGACAACGTTACAGTCAAAAAAGCTTTCATCAAGTTTTTTTACGACCATAGTGTTGTCACTTTTACTGCCACAGCAATAAATTATTATGCAGAGTACTTGATTTTTAAAAATTATTATTATCGCCATTTATATAGAGCCAACAGATTTTGTAGTGCTTTACAATAATATAAGGGAGGGGAGAATTAACTATAAATAGGACAATTACAAAAAACTTACAGGAACGATAGGTTGAAGAGGACTTTACTCAAACGAGCTTACATTCCATAGGAGGTGGGGTGTAAAACACATTAGGACAGGAAATAGCAATCAAATAAGGTGGGAGTGAGGCAGAGCTGGAGGAGAGAGTAGAGTGCTGCCCTTTAGGAGAGAGCAAGAGACAGGTATGTGAGGTAGAGTTTACTCTGAGAGGCCATAAGCTTTCCTTAAGAGATGGGTGTTAAGGCACTTCTTAAACGATTAAAGACTAGGGGAGAGTATGATGGTAGTAAGCAGGCTATTCCATATATAGCTATATAAGAATGATATATATCCTGGTGCTCTAATCCTCATACATGGAAGTAAGTTTTCTTTAACCTCAAACTGCCTGACATATAAGGGACACTTCAAGCACCATAACCACTGCTGATTATTATAGTGGTTATAGTGATTGAGAGTTTTGAGTGGCCTTCTATTATTTCTTGTCAATCTAGTTTGAAATCGTTTGGCAAAAAACAGAGAACTCTCCAGCACCTAAGGCCAACTCTGTTACTTTGAGATATCATGATGAGGGTCTCTCTCACTATCTGTTATTTAGACAGTGGTTTACTAAACCGGGAATAGTCAGGAATGGTATTTCACATTTGAAAAATTCTTCTATTACCTCAACATGGCTATTAGGACCTTAAATTGTCACTTCTCTTGTCAATTGCCCATTGTAAGTGTATATAGTATACAGAACTTTTCATTCAGCTGTTTAAGTCAGAAAATTAATCAAATTTCCTCAGCAAATTGTCTTCACACGTCAGCGACAAGGCAGTTCTTACTGAATAGCTATACGTGTGGAACGTGGAACACACTGTATTCACTCTAGGTCCAACTATTAATTCAGTGATCCTTGAGAAAACATTTAGCCACAAACCCTACATAGTTTATCCCTCGAAGTATTGTAGAGCGATTTATTTATCTATCTGTCAATCTATCTATCTATCTATCTATCTATATATCTGTCGATCTATCTATCTATCTATCTATCTATATATATATATATATCTGTCTATCTATCTATCTGCCAATCTATCTATCTACCTATCTGTCTATCTATCTGTTTATCTATCTATCTATCTATCTGTCGATCTATCTGTATATCTATCTATCTGTCTGTCTATCTATCTGTCTATCTATCTATCTATCTGTCTGTCTATCTATCTATCTATCTATCTATATATCTTTCTATTTATCTGTCTATCTAACTATATATATATCTATTTATCTGTCTATCTATCTACCTGTCGATCTATCTATCTATCTATCTGTCAATCTATCTGTCTATCTATCTATCTGTCGATCTATCTATCTATATATCTATCTATGTATCTCTCTAACTATCTGTCAATCTATCTATCTACCTGTTGATCTATCTATCTATCTATATATCATTCCACTGTCTATCTATTTATCTATTGATCTATCTATCTTTCATGTGTCTTTCTGTAAAATGAAACATTATTAAATATCATAAGAATGTATCCTTAACAGAGTAATTATTATTTTTAAATTCCTAAATACATTTTTGATCGTATCTATCTGTCAATCTATCTATCTATCTATCTATCTATCTATCTATCTATTTATCGGTCTGTCTATCTATCTATCTATCTATCTATCTATCTATCTCTCTATCTGTCTATCTAACTATCTATCTATATATCTATCTCTCGATCTATCTATTTATCTGTCAATCTATCATTCCACTATCTATCTATCTATCATTCCACTATCTATCTATCTGTCGATCTATCTATCTTTCATATGTCTTTCTGTAAAATGAAACATTATTAAATATCATAAGAATGTATCCTTAACAGAGAAATTATTATTTTTAAATTCCTAAATACATTTTTGATCTTTTTTTTTGTTTGTTTAATCTCTAAAACATTACTCAATTTGCACCTAAACTAAGAAAGTGTATCTTGGTAAGGTTAGTTAGTTTCCAAAATTTAGCAAGCCAAGTCATCATCTGGTCATTTAACAAGCAATTCCATAAAATGACTATTACTATACAATGCATTAAGATGAGCTGATAACTAGCTTGCCTAATTTAAACCAAAGTAGCTGTATGGCAAATCATCAATTTTTTATTTAAGTTTTCAAGTAATTACTCACTACAACTTACAGTTTAGTGAATGGACTCCTTAAGTTTAGTAATTATTATTTTGTATATATATATATATATATATTATTTCAAGGTGGTTCTTAATATATTTAACTACTTTTAATTAATTTGGCTTGGCAACATTACGCTGTCATCACAAACTGCATAACTTATTTACATCAGTAACATACAAACATTAAAAGAGGCATTTTAGGTACTATATCCAATACCTTAAAGGGACACAATAGTAATAACTTGTGCCTACTCAGAGAAGCATTGGGACACATGTCACATACAGAAAATTGACTGCAATCCACCAACAAATCTTCTCACAGAGAAGCATCAAAACCAAAAAAAATGTAGAGGGGACTTCTAGTTACCCAGTAAAGGACATAAGTAAGCTGAAGTGCTTTAGGGGACTGAAGCATCCCTTTGATTGTATTTCATAAAAAAGTAAAGTGAAATTATTATCTTAAAGCAACAAATGTACAATTTATCACAAAGATACATTATGTATTTAATTGTCTTTGGAAGTGTTTACCTAAAGGGAAATTCCAAACACCATAACCACTACAGTGATCAGTAGTGGCTACGCTGCCAGGAGTGCCCTGATGTACCCCACTGTACAGAGTCACACAGATTTTGAATGGCTTGACATTTTGCCAGGTGACACTTTCTGACTCCACTACCAACGCTGGAGAGCCATAGGTTGCTATGTAGGAATTTATGTTAGTTCTCTTAAGTTAGTCCTGCAGTGCAGAACTTATCTCATTGCATGATAATCTCAGCTATTAATCACTCTCAACCAATGAGCTAAGCCGTGCATTGCAGGGCTTAGTGCTGGAGAGCTAAGGGGAGTTCTTGCTTAGGAACGTTTGACTCTATGCGACATTAGTAATGGAGACAGGGAGCATCTCTCAGTGCACCCCTATTCTCTGGTATATAGCCCCACAATAAATGGCTCCCAGTCCCCCCTGTTCACCTTCTAGGCTACTTACCCAGCTTGGGAACAGTGCCTGAATCAGAATAGACTTTCCCCTTGGCACCAATATTCTGGCGGGTTGGCATCTATACCAAGTGACATCTGTCAATCAAATCCTATATTCATCTGAGATGCAAGAAATATCGCAGGAACTACAGCATATGCGCGCTAATTGCAGTGATGGAAAACAGGAGAACCACACTAAAGACTGTTCTCCTGCTTTCCCTGTCAGGTGACATGTGATGGGACAATCTTTAATTAGATTTAATTAAAAATATGTACATTTGCTAGCAATTCCGCTAGCACAACATATAGATTACATTGCATGGTCTCTCGTGTAACCTACCATGATAGGCACAATATAAAATGTATTTTTAAAGAGTAATTAATTAAAAATAAGCAATCAAAAACAAAATATTAAAAAGGACATATTGCTGTTTTCCTGAAAAACAATATCCTCATTTGTATACATTTGTACCACTAACAATGTATATGTTTTAAACACAATGTCTTACAAAACATATCTACTTGTATCAAAAATCTTTAAAGTTTAGATATTACTTTCATCACAGAAAACATTACATTTTAACAAGTATTTGCACACTGGGCCATCTTACTTAAATATCAATAATTACACGTATTTCCATGTACATTATGGCCACTGATTTCATAATTATAAGATGAATACAATGTAAAAGAAAAATTATGCAAGCATTAAATGACCCTGTTCAACTACCATAAATGTTTTATTTGACAATTATCTGGATATTAAATAATACTGCAGCAATATAGCATGCAGCCTTCCAGAGAAAACCTGAGTATGTATAAAAGATAACTTTACATCTGACTTTTATCTGAATACAATAGTGAAATGACTCATTATAAAGCTACCATACATAGCAAGATCACAGGGCAATGTTTATTTTATTTTAAGTTTAGAATGAAAATATTAAGGTTTATTTATTTTAAAAAAATTAAATAATTACCTGTTCTTGGAGATTTGATTAAATAAAAACCACATAAAACCCCAAGAACCGAGAGGCTACGTGCACAGGGCACAAGTTTAAAAGTTGCCAAAAACATAAAGGGGGAGAATCCTTCAGCCTCATGGCTCTGGGAGTCTAACAATACTTACCCACAGCACGTGCAGTGAGAATTGTTACACACTAACACACATACATAAATAATATATACACATTGTAACAGCCAGATCACATAGCATACACTCAGAACACATTGTTACACACCAATGCTTACATACAAACATATACTTTTATATCGATCTCATATAATATATGTATATATGGTTTCATATTATTTTTATATATCTATATTGTAAAGCAGAGGTCGTTTAATGCAGTGAGGCATGCCTCTTCCTCTAGGAACACATGGATCAGTACTTACATGTGCTAGGCAGATAGATATATGTCTTCTGGCTCCGGCAGAGGCTTCTAACCCCAGCTAGGAGAGGGCAGCAAGGCTCTGGGGGAGAATGAGGTACAGTGCTGAGCAGACTAGGAGAGCAGCGGGGGTGATGCAGGGCGTGGGGTAAGAAGAAGAGGCAGTTTGTGATATGTAGGTCAGCTTGGCTCTGTGGTTAGAAGCTGCACTCAGTCAGAGTTGTAGTGACTCCTACAGATGAAATGCACTAAGAGTCACTCCAAGTTACACTCCCAGTCCCATTGGGTACTATTGCCAAACTGGCACCGCCCCCAATCTGGGGAGGGGGGGACTTAGACCTCCTATTCTACAGAGAAGGCAAATGAGAGAGAGGTTTATGGTTTAGGAATGAAAGACACTTTGTTACAACTTTCCCCCTTCCTTTACAGAATGTTCCTCTCACTCATTTTCCTGTTCACTCACTTTTGTACACTGAAACCTTTCCCCACTCCCAATCCCATACCTCTCTTCCTGTGTGCCTTACTTCATTACTTTACCGGTAGCCTTATTGCTGTCATAGGATATAAATATTATTGCATGTGTTTAGCAACCATCTGATAATATCATAGAAAATATTATTACATTTTATTATAGAAATTATTGCATTGCAAATCTGGCAATAACCAGGGGCAGCTTCTATTTTCCCTGTGACAGAATTGCCCTGATTATAGCTGTGTAAGAATACAGGTAAAAACAAAATGCCAATTTAGTGTCAAGGTCAAATGACCTGAATTACTGAAACTGACTGTGTTGCTTCTTTCATTAATTGAAAGCATCTTCTATCTCACCAGTTAACCTGTTTATTTTCCTGTAGAAAGGAAAGAATTGTTTAAATGGGTTTATGGCAGTATTGTTATGGTAACATGCTTAGTGGATTTATTACTGCTATTCAATATGCACTGATTATGAGTAAATAATGATTTTGATCCAGATGACATGGATATTTTGGTCTTGTGTAAATAACACAGGGAGCAAAAGTTAAGATTATTTTATGGACTAATATTTTATTATCTATATCCTTTTGTATATCAATAAATGGAGAAAAATATTAGGCAAAAATAAAGATTTTTTCCCCCAGATTAAATATTTTTGCCTAAATTTTATAATATGGCTTTAAATTCACAATAATTTGTTTAGTGAGTAAACTCAGTTGTTTTGATATGCACAGTCACATGACACTATCTTAGACAAACTTGTAAACGATTTTTTAGATTATATATTACACCGTCTCCATTGTTTAAATTGTACAGATTCACTTTGCTGGAAAAATTGAGATGAATCTGGTTATTTTATTGGGTTGGCTAAAATAGCAAGTATTTGTACAGCTGGTTGCAGGTCAGGGGTTCTAAAATAAAAAAACAAAACAAAATGTATACCGTAAATGGGCGTCCTCTTTCATGGCCGGTGGAAAGTGTCCAAAAAATCTCTTTAGCAATCACTGAGTTATACATTATCTTTCAGTTACCTCCCCCTTTTGTTATAAAGTCACATATGGAAACATGTATTCATTAGTGTATTGTTTAAGTCAATAACAGACAGAATAATGTTGGCAAATAAAGAGTCGGTGATGGCCCTCTTCCATTGAGCTTACAATCTAGATGTAAATGATTGTCAGTATTCAGGTCCAGTCTTAAATTAACAACAGTGTAGGGGAAAAAACTCTCAATCCCTTCCAGAGGAAAGTAGGAGATGTTTAGCCTTGGGGCAGGTACAAATACGTGTGGGCTTTTTTTTGTTTTGCATACAAAACTCACAGATCCCAGGAAATATGCCATTAGGCTACACCAGGCCTGGAGGGCAATGAGAGTGTGGATCCAGCTCAAGGAGAAAGCGGCACAGAGCTGGGCTTCCTAAAGTCTTACTCAATTCCTGTCTTTTATCTTACTCCCGCTGTATTATGTCAACGGCATCCCAACACACCACCATTTGTTTTTAATAATAATAATTAGAATTAATGTAGCACCAACATATTGCACAGTGCTTTACAAGTATAGAAAGGGGATATTTGAATGTCTTGCAAATACAAGTGTACAATATATAACGAATGATGCTTACTGTGAAGCTGCATCCTACAACCCCTGTGTGCTCGTAGAACGGGAACAATTGCTCCGTTACCCCCTTGTTATCCCATGGGAAGAGGGAGAAAATCTGTTGGCTAAGTGCTTTAAAACTACAAAAGTTCCCAGGGATAGTGATAGTTATAAAAAGAGGGGCCTTCATTCATCAATTCCCCCTGGTGACAAACACAGGCTTAATGATTCCTGCTCATTTTTGTTACAGGGCAAACCCTGTTTGATATATATTTATTTGGCATCAGCATTTTTTTCCTATAAGCACTCTTGCTGGCAAGGTACAAATCTCTTCTTCACAGTTTTCAGTATCAAGAAAGTGTCAGTCGAAATTGGTTTATTGGCTCTTGGGGAGCAAAGTAAGTAAAGGTGACTGTTTGTATTTTTGTACATAACCCCTCTCCCTCATAGAGGATTGAGAAAGAGGAGTATATTCACTAAACAAGGAATTGTGGAGAACTGTCAGTTCTTCCTGCTCAAAATTTGTAGCCTATAATTTGGATTTCCATTGTCAATTTTATAAATAATCCCCAACAGACATACACATCAAATAGCACTGTGTATGATCACGCAATCCTTTATAACTTCCAACATTATTTCTTCCATCACAAAATTGCAGCGGTGTGATCAAAGAACAGCTAAACATACACAGGTTTAAGAATTTGCATTTAATTCAAAATACCACAAATAATAATAATAACAAAGTATTTAAAGGACCACTATAGTGCTAGGAAAACATACTCGTTTTCCTGGCACTATAGTGCCCTGAGGGTGCCCCCACCCTCAGGGACCCCCTCCCGCCCTGCTCTGGGGAGAGGAAAGGGGTAAAACTTATCTTTTTTCCAGCGTGGGGCGGGGAGCTCTCCTCCTCCTCTCCGCCTCCGATCCTCCTATTCGGCTGAATGCGCACGCATTCAGCCTGTCTCATAGGAAATCTTTCACAATGCTTTCCTACGGACGCTTGCGTGTTCTCACTGTGATTTTCACAGTGAGAATCACGCAAGCGCCTCTAGCGGCTGTCAATGAGACAGCCGCTAGAGGATTTGGAGGTTGGATTAACCCATTTATAAACATAGCAGTTTCTCTGAAACTGCTATGTTTATAAAAAAAATGGGTTAACCCTAGAGGGACCTGGCACCCAGACCACTTAATTAAGCTGAAGTGGTCTGGGTGCCTAGAGTGGTCCTTTAACAGGAAAGGTACATTCAGATTACTCTGGTTTTCAAGTATGTCCTGGGAATGTCACCGTAGCCCAACATCCAGGAGTTTTTACTAAATTAGCACAAAACATGTATAAAATGCATCATTCTAAGCACAAAATAATTTTAGGTAAATTGTGTTTATTGATTGACAGAAGTCTCATTGTATTTTGCATCAGAATGACTCCAGACATGCTACATCTACCTGGAACTGGAAATGTGTTGCAATGCAATCATCATGGATTAGATTTATATCCCCAATCAACAATGCTCACAATTATTTGCTATCTTAGTTTTATCTCTGTTTGCAAGTGAATTAGATATGTGATAACCCTTACTTAAGTCATTTGATGTATCTGAGAGTATTTTTATTTTTCACAAGTTAACAATTTACCAGTCTCTGATTGTGTAGGAAAGTCTTAACCACTTTAAATGGATAATGCAAGTAGATTTTTACTGATAGTAGAATGGGATTTTAGGAACAGGTTTTACATTATCTATGGTAAAGAGACATAGGATTTAGAGACACTAAACCTTTCTTTGATTCCTGACATTTTAGAAATTGTGTTAGTCAACCTGGCTTCCAAGGTTCTAAAAGGAAGATAAAAAAAAACAAGTAAAATGAAAACACTATAAGCAAAACATTTTATTTTCCCATCTCTGAGAGAAATCATTTACAATTATCTGGGATACTACTGAACCCAGGATATGTGGGATATTGACAAAGGAATTGTAAATTCTAAGCCACAATGGACAAAATAAACATTTTTTTTTTTATTGGCTATTCTGGCCTAACACGTGAAACTGATTTGCAAATCCCCGGTAATCCCTGTTTTAATCAATAACTCTAACATTGCTATAAACAATTCAATTTATTATAATGGCTATTTCATAAGGGCACTAGTAGTGAAAAAAATTCCTCGATGCCATAGGGTAAATTTGATGTCATCCGTGATAAAATTGGAAGCTTGTTGCACTGGCTTGCTAGCACAGTGTGTTCCTGTTTGCTAAGCTTCCTCTGTCTACATTTCGTGTGTGTTTTATTCACCAATTGTACAGAATCTGATGCTGTGCTGTATATTAATTAAAATCAACAGAAATCTGTTTAAATGCCCCAATAAAAGATAATAAAGTTCTCAGACAGACATACCTCTCCAATACCCGTTTTCTAACTTGTTTGTAAACGTAGCATTTCGGAAGATTTCTTTTCTCTCGGCTCTGTTTTTTTCTTTTGTTAGTGCAGTTTGGTATAAACGTCCTGCATCTCAGCCGCTACCAAAGATGACCTTTGTCATCTCAGATATCAGTGATATTAAAGTCGTCAGTCTGCTATCAACATATTTGCATACAGCAAGTGGTCAACAAGTACCCATGGAAAATATGTATTAATGGAAGACATGTCTGAATGAAAAACGTCAGGCCTCAAAGCTGCTGGTGGCAGCACGGGACAATGTGCTGCATATCAATGACCAGTTTATTTTAATTGCTTTGCCTTAATTTCCAAATTGAAGTGAGAACCTATTGAAAAATACTGTATCTGAAGGACGTTCTCAGCAGGTATTTTCAAAAATATTCAGTAGTCTGAACAAGTTTAGGATTCAGTCTGTGAGCTCACCTGAACTTTTTTTTAGGTTTGATGTTTTCCATACCTGCCAAGCAAAGCCAGACCAGAAAAACATAATTGTACCAGTCATTTAAAGGGACACTGCAGCATCTCACTTTTTTATAGTGCCCGGAGTCTCCTGGCACTGTCCCTCCACTCATTGTTATCCATTTCAAGCAGGTTCACACTGAATGAGGGTACCTGGCCACTAACAACCTGTCCCCAAGCAGAGGTATGGCTAAGGCAGAGATCACACCCTTCCTTCTACCAGCAATGGGAGTTGTGGTCAGCTTTCTAATTTCACATTAGCCCACATTGCACAGAGGGGATGGGATACCAGGGACTCTTGTTTAGTATTAAAAGTTAAAACCGTTTACCACTAATTGGAAAGACTGCGCCAGGGGACTCCAGACTCCAATTACTAGATGAAGCAGTTACAATGCCAACACTGTCCTTTTAGCAGGGGTCATGGGGGACAGAGACAGTGAATGGGCATGTTATGTCATCACCAATGATGTCCCCTCCAAGTGAGTACATTAAATTGATATCCCTACAAGAAAATAAATGCAATGTGTCGTTTATGCAGCATAAGGAATTTTAAGGAATGTGCATGTGACAATTATTTTTTTAAACCAGCAAGCAAATACTTTTATACAAATATACAAACCAAAATAATGCAAGAAAAACTATACAAACTGCAAAGTATGTAATAAACTTGGTCAGATTGCATTGTTGGGCACACCTCTCAGTTAGGGGAGTTTCTTCAACCTCCTTCCCCTTCTCTCTTATACACACAACTAATGACAGAAACTGGGCATCATTGTGCAGCAGAAGGAAAGAAAAACCCAACACCAGAGCCTGCTCTGCATGACCACACTGATCAGATTCCCTACTTCTCCCCCTGTCAGATGTTGCAAGGTGAAGAGAACTTCCAACTGCATGTGTATAAATTTCACCTCTCCTGGAGTGAGTGTGGCAAGCATAAGAAAGAAGAAACAAGTAAACAAAAAACTGGTACAAAAAATCATATTTACCTGTTTTGTTCAGCCTGCATTTGAATTAGATAGTTTTCTCAAAGTGATGCAAAGGATGAATGTCCCTTTAATGACATGCTTGTGCTGTGTTTAATGGTGAATTGTCTCTGGTGTCCCCATGAGTAGGATACCAGAGGACAAAGGTGGACACGGTTGGTAAAGGGTGCCTTACTTGTGTATTTTTGCTTCCCATTGTTTTTACATTGTTTGGAGGCTGTTTGTGGAAATGTGGTTGAAGGGGTCTGTTTGTGGGGTACTATGTATGGCTAGGGACTGTAGTGTGTGTCCACGGCTGTAATGCGTGTATGGGCCTAGTGGCTGTAGAGATTTTATGTGTGTGTCTAGAAGCTGTAGAGGAGAGAGTGTCTAGAGGGTGTAGTGTATGTATGTATAGGGGCTGTAAAGTGTGTGTGTGTACGTTATAGGTAGTGGATTACTTGGTTTACTATATATATATATATGTAAAAAACAGATAAAATTCATATCTTGTAATACCTTTTTTATTGGACTAACAGAATTTTTTAATGACAAGCTTTCGGGAGAACCTCCCTTTCTCAAGTCTGAAGCATTTCTGAGCAAGACGACACATCTACATCACTGGACTAATACGGCTCTAATCTCTACTTGAACACTAATATATATATATATATTTTAAGGCCTTGGCTTATAGTTGTGGGAGGGGCTTGAATTTCCTTTAAAAGGGCTGCCAATCCTCTCAAATCTTACCGTTGATGCTCTGGCGAGTTTGAGAGGATTACTTCCGGTCAGACCACCATCTTGTTTATCTTACCTGCTTTCCCTTGTGGTCCTGGCTCCTGTTCTACGCTTACCTGACCTCTTACAAAACAGTTTGTTAACCCACGGCCTCCTTCCGGCTTCCTCGCAGCCCAGTCTCGGCACGGCTAGTGGTTCTAAAACCGTAAGTCAAAATCCTTACTGTAAGGCAATGGTCGCAACCATTACATGGCATCACGGTAGGGGTTCGTTCACAATTTGGCGTTCGGTTAATTGGCTACTTTATTTACTTGCAGGCGCGTTCGGCAAGATTTCGGATGTTTTAATAACAGTCTATATACATGTGTTTTTTGTGTCTTATACCGCACGAACGCAGCCATTTGTTTCGTTTTTATCGCACAGTACGTTTGTTTGTTTCAGTAAGCCATTTTCTATACAATTGTTTAAAGTTGGCTAAACATACGACATACGAATGATTAGGTTTAAACAGAAATTCTATATAGGGGATTCCTCCCCGTTCGACAGTAAGTTACTGGCATGAGACTGTTCACGAATTTTCAGCCGATTGGTATGGTTGTTAAGTCAGATGCCTCTATTGGTCAGAAAGGATACTACAGTTACAATTCTATGCTTATGAGTTAGGGGGCTATTTTAATTAAATGATATAGACGGGTTTGATACATATAGCTGACTTGTGTCTTGATGTCATTCCCACAGGTTTCATTACGGGAATTAAACTTTGATTGCGGATTTGCAAACAACTTTGATTTGTGACAACTTTGTCAAAAAATATTTGCCTTATTAAGTTAGTAATTTGGTTACAGTTACTATTGTAGCTTTTGCTAGTAAAAGTGTTTGTAATTTAGTAGGCATTTAACATTTCACTTTCCTTAGGTGCCCTTATCTTACAGACGGTTGCTTTGCAAGCACGACTAACCTGTCATCTACCTCTGTCATATTGTCACTTCTCATCAGTAGTATCTGGTAGGTTCCTTTATTTTAATTCGGGCCCACGATCTGGCCCACTAACATATATTTATATGCACATTATCGACTGCCACCCTCTCGTTCATATTTTCTGCATAGAATCTCGTCCTGACACACTTTATCAGGCCATAACCCTGTACCTGTCTAGTTTTAGAATGGTACTGGCTGTTTGAGATTTAGGTTGTCCAACTAGGTTCTATTTTCCGGTCTAAATCCATAAGCTAGTGGTCCTGCGAGGCCAACACCCATCCTCATACTCGGAGGTATACGTCCCTCAGCCCAAATCATAGTTAGCCGCCTCGCATTGTCGCATAGAGAGGGCCTCACATGTCACTCCCATTCTATCTTATGCTTTAGTTACCACCAAGAGGCCAACACCCCGCCACAACGTTTCGGTGGCCTCAATCTCCCCATGGGCCAACGCATAGGTAGCGCCTCTCACGCCGCTTGGCAATTAGTAGGGATCATCTATCACCTTTTAAATAGCATAATTTTTCGCCGCTTGGCATCTAGGTAGCTTGCCAGTACCCTTCTACTTTGCCCCAGAATAATCAAGTTGCATGTATATATTTTAAGTTATGTCTCAAGTTTCTGATATTCCTGAGGAGCAGTCCCTTTCCAGCACACCTGCTAGGTCCGGTACTCCCGCCCAAGGAGGTGATGCCACTAGTCTTCCCTGAGTTCATGGACTTTCCCACGCCTCACAGCTGAACTATGAATGAGATGCATTCCTTTCCCAGCTACTGCTAGGAAAGCGGAGTTGTTTAGACTTTTGAACACTAACACCAACAACTCTGATGCTGGGGAAGGTCCTAGTGGGTCTCAGTTGCCGGCTCTTCATGCCATGATGATGTCTTTAATGTCATCCATTGGCACTATTAGTGACAGACTGGAGAAATTGTAAGCAGTATGTTCTCCCCAGGTGTCAGGATCGTGACAGGGATCCAACACGCAGAATACAAACAGGAGATAGGTACGTATACCGGACCTTAGAATGGCCGGACTAACGTAAGGAGAAAGCAAAAGAATGGTCAGAGACAAGCCGAGGTCGAGGGAACGAGAGATCAGGTAAGCGAGAGACAAGCCGAGTCAAAAGGACAAGAGAGGAAAGCAGGGTCAAAATACAAGCCGAGTCAGGAACCAAAAGACAATAGAGGTAATTGCACTGAGTGACCAGACTAGCTAGAACCACGACAGGGCAATGAATCATTCCACAGAACCCTTTTTTATACCTTGGCTCTTTAACTGTTGGCTCCGCCCCCAACGAGTCCTGATTCGTTGTTCGGCACTTGGTTGCCGTGATTGACGGGTCGGAACGTGATTGCCGTCATGACGTCGGCTACTGAGCGCCGCGTCATAAAAGGAGGCGGAGCTATCGCGGCCGGCGTGTAAACGACCGGGAGGAGTGCAAGGATCGGGTGAGTCAGCCCCCCTGGGAGGATGGACGTCTAGGTGTCTAACCTCCTCCGAGGTAGACACCAAAGGTAACCTGACAGTACCCCCCCTCTCAGAAACGCCCACCGGGCGGAAGGAACCGGGGCGGGACGGAAAACGAGCATGAAATGCCCGGAGGAGACGAGGGGCATGCACATTTTCATGGACCACCCAAGACCTTTCTTCAGGCCCATACCCCTTCCAGTCAACAAGATATTGCAACCTCCCCCGAGAAATACGAGAATCGAGAATGGATTTGATTTCATATTCCTCCTGACCCTCAACCTGGACAGAGAGAGGGGAGGACTCAGCGGAGGAAAATCTGTTGCAAACCAAAGGCTTCAACAAAGAAACATGAAAAGAGTTAGGGATGCGCAGGGCAGGCGGAAGGGCAAGACGATACGCAACCGGGTTAATCCGACACAGAACCTTGTAAGGGCCTATGTAACGAGGGGCAAATTTCATGGAAGGAACCTTCAAGCGGATGTTTCTGGTACTCAACCACACCCTATCACCCGGGGCAAAAACCGGAGCCACCCGTCTCCGTTTGTCAGCGTGTCGTTTGAACACCATGGAATTCTGAAGAAGAATTCGTCGAGTCTGATCCCACAACTTTCTCAGATTGGCGACATGAACATCAACCGACGGTACCCCTTGGGAAGGGGAAACCGACGGAAGAATGGAAGGATGAAAGCCATAATTCAAGAAAAACTAAACGAGTAGGGGCAAAAACCGGAGCCACCCGTCTCCGTTTGTCAGCGTGTCGTTTGAACACCATGGAATTCTGAAGAAGAATTCGTCGAGTCTGATCCCACAACTTTCTCAGATTGGCGACATGAACATCAACCGACGGAACCCCTTGGGAAGGGGAAACCGACGGAAGAATGGAAGGATGAAAGCCATAATTCAAGAAAAAGGGGCTAGAACGAGTAGAATCACAAACGAGATTGTTGTGTGCAAACTCTGCCCAAGGAATCAGACCAACCCAATCGTCCTGGTGTTCAGAAACAAAACAACGCAAATATTGTTCAATCTTTTGGTTGGTGCGTTCGGCAGCTCCGTTGGACTGGGGATGATAGGCAGATGAGAAATTCAACTTGATGCCTAAGTGAGAACAGAAAGACTTCCAAAAGCGGGAAACAAATTGGGAACCTCTATCAGAAACAATTTCAGAGGGAATACCATGTAAACGAAAAATCTCCCTCGCGAATATCTCAGCTAATTCGGGAGACGAGGGCAGTTTAGGCAAGGGCACGAAATGAGCCATTTTAGTAAACCTGTCAATCACCGTGAGAATAACAGTATGTTTTTTAGAAACAGGCAAATCGACAATGAAGTCCATAGCCAAACACGACCATGGTCTCTCGGGAATTTCTAAGGGGTGCAAAAGTCCACAAGGGAGCGCGTGAGGTTGCTTAGTCTTCATACAGACAGCACATGCCCTGACGAAATCCCTTATATCCTTACGAAGGGAAGGCCACCAGAAATCTTTAGAAATCAGGGAACACGTTTTGCGTATGCCGGGGTGCCCAGCAATTTTACTGTCATGAAAGCAATGCAGCAGTTCCACTTGGAGCTCAGGAGGAACGAAGTATCGATCCCCAGGAACAGGTTTGGGAGCTAGATGTTGTACTTTCTTGATCTCAGCAAGCAACGGCGAGTGTATCCTGACACATGTGTTGGCAATAATATTACACTTGGGAACGATAGAAGACAAAGCTGCTTCAGACACCGTAGAAGGTTCATGTTGACGGGACAATGCATCTGCCTTAGAGTTCTTAGAACCAGGTCTATAAGTGAGCACGTAATTGAAATGTGTCAGAAACAAGGACCAACGAGCTTGCCTGGCGGACAAGCGCTTGGCCTCCCCTATGTAGGACAAATTCTTGTGATCCGTCAAAATAGTAACCGGGTATAATGTCCCCTCCAACAAATGTCTCCATTCCTTTAAAGCCATAATGACCGCTAACAGTTCCCTATCACCAATGTCATATCTACTTTCAGGCCCAGATAATTTCTTGGAAAAAAACCACATGGATGTAACGGTTTATCCAAACCTAGCCTTTGGGACAAGATAGCGCCTATACCTGTCTCCGAGGCGTCTACCTCGAGTAGAAAAGGCAAAGATGTGTCAGGATGAACTAATATCGGTGCTGAGGCAAAATGTTCTTTGAGTGTTTTGAAAGCAGAGAGAGCCTCTGTAGACCAAGTCTTGGTATCAGCACCCTGTCTAGTCATATTGGTAATAGGAGCAATAATAGAAGAGTAACCTTTAATGAAGCGCCTATAATAATTGGAGAATCCGATAAATCTCTGAATGGCCTTGAGTCCCCTGGGCAATGGCCAATCTAAAATCGATTGGAGTTTAATGGGGTCCATCCTAAATCCGTCTCCAGAAATAACGTAGCCAAGAAAGTTTATCTGAGATTGGTCGAAGCTACACTTTTCCAATTTGCAGTACAATCCATGTTGTAACAGTTTGCGCAGTACCCTTCTGACTTGTCTGTGGTGAGTCTCAATCTCTCTAGAGTGTATTAGTATATCATCCAAATATACTATAACGCATTCATGCTGAAATTCCCTAAGAACCTCATTAATAAGGTCCTGGAATACTGCAGGTGCATTGCAAAGCCCGAAGGGCATTACCGTGTATTCATAGTGGCCATAACGGGTATTGAAAGCTGTTTTCCATTCGTCTCCCTGCTGAATTCTCACCAAGTTATAAGCTCCCCTCAAATCTAACTTGGTAAAAATCTTGGAGCCTTTCAGTCGATCAAAGAGCTCAGTAATTAAAGGAATAGGATAAGCATTTCTAACAGTTATCTTATTCAAGCCCCGATAATCAATGCAAGGCCGTAGAGTGCCGTCTTTTTTATCTACAAAAAAGAAACCGGCCCCGGCCGGAGAAGATGATCTCCTAATAAATCCTTTGTCTAGGTTTTCACGTATGTACTCCTCTAGGACTAAGTTTTCCTTAGTGGATAAAGGATATACCGTACCCCTCGGAGGCATAGTACCAGGTAGGAGTCTAATTTTACAGTCGAAAGACCTATGTGGAGGTAAAGTATCAGCCCTCTTTTTGTCAAAGACTGCCTTTAAATCCAGGTACTGCGACGGTATCTGTAAATCTGTAGGTTGGGAAGAGTTAACCGGGGCGTCAACCCTGCAAATCGGTGAGACTTTCTGCAAACATCCTCTCTGGCAACCCTGACCCCAGGAGACTATCTCACCCAGTTCCCAGTCAATGATAGGGTTATGCTTCTTAAGCCAGGGATACCCCAAGACTATAGGAACTGAAGGAGATGAGATCAGCATGAGGGATATTCTTTCCTCGTGAAGGATACCAGTGGTTAACTTAATTGGTATGGTTTCACGAAAAATAACAGGTTCAGATAATGGTCTACCATCTATGGCCTCAACGGCCAAGGGTGTATCCCTTAGCTGAGATGGGATAGAATGGTTAGTGACAAAGGCTTGGTCAATAAAGCTTTCAGCTGCTCCGGAATCTATCAAAGCCATAGCATTAAGTACTCCCTTTTCCCAAGCTAAAGAAACAGGTATCAGAAGCCTATGATCTTTATAATCATATATAGAGGACAAGATAGAAACACCCAAGGCCTGTCCTCTTGAGAAACTTAGGTGCGAGCGTTTCCCGGCCGGTTAGGGCAATTTAGGCGTAGGTGACCTCTAATTCCGCAATACATACAAAGACCCTCCCTTCTCCTGTACTGTCTTTCCTCTTCTGAGAGTCGAGTATTACCTATTTGCATAGGTTCTGGGAGAGCTAAAGTAGTAGAATCAGAAGTCTGAAATGAGGGAGCTAGTCTTATGGAGGATCTGCGGGTTCTATCCCGAATATTCTGCCTCTGTCTCATACGTTCATCTATTCGGGAAATAAATGAAATCAGATCCTCCAAATTTTCAGGAAGATCTCTTGTGGCCACCTCATCTAAAATCTCATCAGATAACCCGTTCATAAATACGTCCATATAAGCCTGTTCATTCCACTTGACTTCTGCCGCCAAGGATCTGAACTCTAAAGCATAATCCACTAGGGTTCGGTTATACTGTCTAAGACGTAACAGTAGTCTAGCTGCATTGGCCTTTCTTCCTGGGGGGTCAAAAGCTCTCCTAAATGCAGCGACAAAAGCATTATAATTATAAACTAACGGGTTATCATTTTCCCACAGGGGGTTAGCCCATCTAAGTGCCTTGTCAATGAGCAAGGTAATTATAAATCCAACCTTCGCCCTGTCAGTAGGGTAGGCGTGGGGTTGTAACTCAAAATGAATACCTATCTGGTTTAAAAAACCTCGACAAGTGTCAGGAGCGCCGCCATAGCGTGACGGGGACGTAACACGGGAAGAAGTAGCCACTGTGGCTACCTCTAGGCCTGTACTTATAGGAGAGATAGATGGGGTACGCATCTCCTCTGAGTGATTACTAGGACGAGATAGCAATGCTTGCAGAGCTAGAGCCATCTGGTCCATTCTATGATCCATGGCCTCAAATCTAGAGTCAGGAGAACCGACCTGAGAGTTTGTACCTGCAGGATCCATTGGCCCTGTCGTAATGTCAGGATCGTGACAGGGATCCAACACGCAGAATACAAACAGGAGATAGGTACGTATACCGGACCTTAGAATGGCCGGACTAACGTAAGGAGAAAGCAAAAGAATGGTCAGAGACAAGCCGAGGTCGAGGGAACGAGAGATCAGGTAAGCGAGAGACAAGCCGAGTCAAAAGGACAAGAGAGGAAAGCAGGGTCAAAATACAAGCCGAGTCAGGAACCAAAAGACAATAGAGGTAATTGCACTGAGTGACCAGACTAGCTAGAACCACGACAGGGCAATGAATCATTCCACAGAACCCTTTTTTATACCTTGGCTCTTTAACTGTTGGCTCCGCCCCCAACGAGTCCTGATTCGTTGTTCGGCACTTGGTTGCCGTGATTGACGGGTCGGAACGTGATTGCCGTCATGACGTCGGCTACTGAGCGCCGCGTCATAAAAGGAGGCGGAGCTATCGCGGCCGGCGTGTAAACGACCGGGAGGAGTGCAAGGATCGGGTGAGTCAGCCCCCCTGGGAGGATGGACGTCTAGGTGTCTAACCTCCTCCGAGGTAGACACCAAAGGTAACCTGACACCAGGTTCCTGCAGACCCAGTTACTTCTAATAATGCAGGAAGGGCGGTCATGCCCGGTAATACTCTGGCATCAATTAAAGTTCCTGAGAGTATCAATCCCTTGTAAATGGTCCCAGCTCATCTTAAAAAGGACATTCTGGAAGACAAGGATGTTAATCTTGTCTCACTTCTTATTGCCTCCTAGAATGTTCTTGAGAACAGGACATTTGCGTATAGGGACGTTTCAGTGGTTCTAAGGGCAAGAGACCCCAGATTGAACAAAAAATGGTCTATTCCTGAATTGACCATTGGGTTTCGGGATTTATAGGGATGTAAATTGCTCGATTTATCCTGAGAAAAGAGAGGAATTTGACGTTTATATGCACAAGCTGGTGGATCTGGGGCACAAATACGGTGGTACTGCTTTTTATGACTACCACCGTTCCTTCTATGCAAAAGTGGCTGCAGCTCTGACTCAGTTCAATTACAGCATAAATTGGAGTAAGCTGGACACTGAGTTATTCTGCAGACACTTTGCAGGCCTCAGACCCCCGGCTTGTGCAGTATGTGCATCTACCGCACATGGTACAAACTTCTGCCCTAATACGGCAGAAATAGAGCAGAGACACTCTGTCCCGAACTCGGCAAGACCTACCAGAATCCAAAAGGATAAGCTGGGTAGGGACATTGTGTTCCTGGGCAAATCTCAAATTTGCACTAATTTAAATGCGGGCACTTGTGGTTTTAGTTCATGTAGGTTATTACACGTGTGTTCTCATTGTTTTAGGGCTCATGCAAAGTCCATGTGCCCGAATAAAGTTTTCCCTAAACCTTACCACACATGCATCAACGTCACATTATTGGCTGCACTGTTGCAACAACATCCCTCACAGCATTTGGTTAAATTTATCATCGAAGGACTGTCTGAAGGGTTCCACACGGGTTTAGTACACTTGCCAACCAGGACACTAAAATGCAACAATTTGCAAACCACTTAAAATTAACCAGAGTTAGTGTGTACACTTATAAGGACTGAGGTAGAGCAAGTGTTTTTGTTGGGGCCTTTTGTTTCCCCACCTTTCACATCTTGGAGAACCAACCTTATAGGGATTGTCACGGGGAAAACTTCACTCAAACCCAGACTTATCATTGACTGTTCAGCACCACATTACTCTACTGTTCCAAACCTTAATTCCCTTATACCCTCCGAAGAATTTTCCTTACAATATGCCACTATCGACAATGCCATTTGGGCAATTTTGGCGGCTGGTACAGGTGCATGGCTCAGTAAAACGGACATTGTCAATGCTTTTAAATTACTTCCCATCCACCCTTCACTATGGCATCTGCACGGCATTAAGTGGCAAGGGCTTTATTATTTTTTCTCACGACTCACTTTTGTCTCCAAAGCAGCCCCAACATTTTTGACACGTTTGCTGAAACTTTGTGAGGGTTATTACTTAATGTGTGCAGATGTCAATCAGTTATTCACTACCTGGACGATTTCCTCACGATTGAAAACAACGCACTCCCCCTTAGCAGTCTTACACACATGTTGGCTCTTTTTAAGTCCCTGACTATCCCAGTCTCCCACACAAGACCTTAGGTCCTGACACCAGCATGCAATTTCTGGGGATCCATTTGGACTCAATCCACATGCAAGCTAGCCTTCCCCAGGATAAGATTGAGCGCACCCTATCAAGCAGTGAACGTTACTTGCAACTAGGTTCTTGCAACCGCAAGGAACTTCAATCGCTGCTGGGGTTGCTCAGTTTTGCCATGAGAATCATCCCGCAGGGTAGATCCTTCATTTCCCGTTTACTCTCTTTATTCCCACGATTCACCACGGACACATCACGTTAGACACTCACGCAACCTCTGATTTACTCACGTGGCGCTTTTTCCTCACATCTTGGAATGGCCGAGCTATGTTTATTCCCCCCCTCTCTGACATTTCACCCACCCTTTGGACAGATGCTGCAACAAACTCTGGTTTTGCAGCCATCTGGGGAGATCAATGGCTTTGGGGGTCATGGCCTACAGACGTTAAGTCCCTGCCCAGCTTCTCCGCTACTTCGGCCTTGTTTGAATTGTATCCGATTGTGGCAGCTGCCATTGCTTGGGGAACAAAATGGTCCGGTCACTCGGTCAGATGTTATTCAGATAACTTAGCCACTTGCCACATTGTGAATAAAGGCCGATCATCATCTTTGGTAATCATGAGACTGTTGAGGAAACTTACATGGGTAGCGGCCACTTGCCAATTCTTTATCACATGTATTCACGTTCCAGGTTTCACAAACATCTCAGCTGACCATTTGTCTCGGTTTCATTTTCAGGCTTTCTTCCAGACACTGCCTACAGCTTCCAGACTGGCTACCCATGCCTCGCCATTCCAAGACATGCTCATGGGTTAAATGTCTTTTTAAACCATGCACGTCACATTTTCACCTTGCACTTTCTGTCAACACTAGGAAATCATATGATAGGGCTTTTCACATTTTCACTAAGTTTATAGCGGTTATAGTTTCATGTGCGTGACATGTTTGCTTTGGAATCTATTTTTGGGGTTCACTTCTTTTTGCCACCTTAACTTAAAATGATCATTTAACACAATTAAACTGTAGCTTACGGGCATCCAACACCACATGCTTCTACGACACCCCAACAATACATGATTCCTTTCATCATATCAGATAAAGACCTTACTGAAAGGAATAAAAAAGATTGATACGCATGTACCATCTCAAAGGCTACCCATCCACAACGACATTTTTCATTCACTTGATAATCAAAACTGCCATTTATCTAGCATTCTATGGGTTCTTACGTCCCAATGAATTTACCGCTAGAAATATAACTGCCACGCAATACCTGAAAACTTCTGATATCCAAAAAAACCTTAGATCATTATGTTCTATCCCTACATCAGTCTAAAACTAGCACTATAAGACATACTGTCAAAATTACCCTGTTCCTTACTCAAAACAAATGGTGCCCTGTAAAAGTCCTGGATACTTATCTCATCACAGTCCAGAAACAACCACACCAACCCTTATTAGAACTTCACGGCACAACCGACTGGTGTAAATCTAAATATGTTTAATGGGTATAACTTGCTATGTTACTTGTTCATCATGGCCATATTGCCCTGACTACAAATTTTAAGGCCTTGGCCTGTAGTTGTGGGAGGGGCTTGAATTCCCTTTAAAAGGGCTGCCAAGCCTCTCCCATCTTACCGTTGATGGTCTGGCGAGCCACCCCTCCCACCACTCCCTCTATTCACATCACCCTCTAAGGTGGGCCCACTTTTATTACATGCCTACTGCTTTGTCGGTTCCGGCACACCACAACCGACTGGTGTAAATCTAAATATGTTTAATGGTTATAATATGCTAGGTTACTTGTTCATCATGGCTATATTGCCCCGACTACAAATATATACATATATAGATGTAAAAAAACAGATACAATTGGTATCTTGTAATAACTTTTATTGGACTAACAGAATTTTTTAATGACAAGCTTTTGGGACAATCTTCCCTTTCTTAAGTCTAAGGCATTTCTGACATTAAAACTGGATCAACGTTTCAGTCCTCATCTGGGACTTTCAGTCAGGATCAGTCAGTATATATATATATATATTGTAACACACCACCTCTTTTCCAGGCAGGATTTTGTGACAGATCTTGTAGCCACAGCCTTCTAGGGTAATGAAAGTCCAGGACACATCCAGCTCAGTTTTTCAGATTTATTTGGTGAAATATATATACAGGTGTTCCAAAATGAAAAATAAACAAAACAAAATTACTTACTATACACAGCAAATCCCTATCTGGAATTGGGTGGCTTTCCCACTTGCCAATTTACAAAAAGTATAACTGCAAGACACCATTCCTCTGGCTTTTCCTCCTCTCTCTGCAGCATGCTGATCCATTCTTTTTAAAAGCCTGCTAGCTAATTGATCAGATACAGATGAGGTGCAATTAGACATAAGTGAAACTGTTAAGCAAAATAAAAGTTCTGGTCCGGCTGTTATGTAGCAGCTGGTGCTATTGGAGCACTGGCCCAGCCTGCTCTCCAAGTGCTCCGCCCCAGGGACCCATACCATGGTTTGCAGAGTACCAGTGATGCATCTTGCAAACCTAACATCTCTCCCTGGGACATTTAACTCTCAAACCTCAGGCTGCTGTTCAGTAAATAAGGCTTAATTTATATGCCATCAACTGCCAAACCACATTTTCTCTCACAATATATATATAGGCTGTAGTGTGCATGTGTTTGTTTAGCAGCCGTAGCATGTAAAGGGGCTGTAGTGTATCCACTAGGCAGTTGTGTGTTGTATGTTTAGGGGTGTTTATGTGTGTAAGGGCTTTAGTGTGTTGGGTGGATAGGGGCTTCAAGGTGCAAAGGTGGAACATTACTGGGAGCATTACCATGGTAACCCGCATGCAACATTTTTAGTGACGATAGCTCATAGGAGCAAACTAAATGGTCTTTACCAACCTGAGGTGCAGTCCAGATGCTCCATGCCCTTCTCTGCTGTGTGTGCACTGGGCCAGTGACGGAGATCTTAGATCTTTCCACCAACCCATTAAAGGATTAAGTTCATCTGGTTGGTTAGCGTCCCAGCACCTACTCAGCTCTGTCTTGCATGGGCCTGATCCTTTAAGCTCCCCAGTTGGCCTTGATGCAAACACATCGCAGCATACCTAACATTTGCCCTTTTTGCCTGAAGGCCAGTCTGTTACTGCTGTCAAGTCACTCACTTTAACAGGTAGAGTTCACCTTTGGAACCCAAACTCCTATTTGAAATTCCCCTTCCTACCATGGATTTGCACTTTTGTAGGAGGACAGAATTCATATAAACAAATGGGTAAAGAAGCCAAATAAATATGACATGGAATAGTCTCTTCCCCTGACAACATCTACCTTTGGCCACTTGAAATGTTTGGTTGTATAAGTCAGAACAATAGGCATGTGAAATATGCCATATTTGCTCATATACACCTTAATGCTTCTACTCCTCCTCCAATTTTCTACATAAATCCACTTATAGTGGATGGTTAGCTCACTACCTAATTAAAGCTGGAGGCTGTGTGGCCATGGGGCTCATACCCCCATAACGTGCCCAGGGGTGGTTTCCTTCTAGAGAGAGGTGGGGGATTTTTTGGGAGCTATTTTCCAGAGGCCCTCCAAGCTAGATCCCTTGCTATTTTTGCTATCCCAGCTGCTAGAGGATTTTCCTTCGATAAAATATGTTTAATAAAGTGTAGCACATAGATAAAATTCTATTTAAAGTGTATTGTATTTTTCAACTCGTAATAGCAAGTAGCTTCTTTTTATTGGGTACATTTTCCTTCTATGAAATGACCTCAAATTACAGAATGAACTTCATGTAGACTGTGATTCCTGAGACTTCCAGTATTTCCAGATATTAAAATATATACTACCAGATATTAAAACGGGATTATCACTTTATTTGTTAAATTATGATATGACAAAAGCCTTCTAGAGACCAAGCAAAGCCATTTTGATGTGCTTTAACCCCTTCAGGACCGGACTGTTTTTGCGAAGTTTGTACGTTAAGGATCAGAGCTATTTTAACACTTTTGTGGTGTTTGTGTTTAGCTGTAATTTTCCGCTCTCTCATTTACTGTTCCGATACAAATTATATATTGTTTTTTTCAGGACAAAAAGGGCTTTCTTTACATACTATTATTTTTATCATGTCATATAATTTAATTTAAAAATAATAATAAAATATGGTGAAAAATTAAAAAAAAATTTTTTTTTGACTTTTACTTAAAAAATCTTTTACTGATCTACAAAATCGAATGAAACAAACTGATATATAGATTCAAAATTTTGTCCTGAGTTTAAAAACACCCAATGTTTAATGTGTTTTTTCGCTTTTATTTGCAAGTTATAGGGCTATAAGTACAAGTAGGAAATTGCTGTTTCAAAATGTACATTTTTCAAATGTATCAATAGTGACATTGTAACACTGTTATGTCATAAATCTCCAAAAAACACCCCACATGTATATATTTTTCTTAAACTAGATAACCCAGGGTATTCATCTAAGAATATTTTGATACTTTCTATGCAGCCATTTTACCACAAACCTTTGCCAAACTTTGCATAGGTAGTTTATTTATTTATTTTCACATTCATTGCAATTCAGGTATAAATTCACAGATTCTGTTAGGTGTCACTGCCAAACAACACCCCAATATGTGTTCAGCAACATCTCCCGAGTACAGGGATACCCCCATGTATAGGTGTGTCGTGTTGTTGGGGGCTAAAAGGCCACATTTTGCAGGTGCGCATATCAGTTTCCCAGCTTGGAATTTTGACATGTAGTCAACCTGCATGCATGTCCTATTTGGAACATTTTTGAAGCCGGCCAATGTATTTTACCCCCATCAAACCATATATTTTTGAAAAGTAGACACCCTAGGGTATTTCACATGGTGGTATTTTAACACGTTCCATGCATTAATTCTACCACCAGGCTTTGTCAAACATTGAGTTAGTAATTTTTTTCTGTTTTTTTCACACACATTGTACTTCAGGCATGAATTAAGAGATGCTGTTAGGTGTCACTGCCAAACAACATCCCAATATATGTTCAGCAACATCTCCCGAGTACATGGATACCCCCCATGTATAGTTGTGTTTGGTTGTTTGGGGGCTAAAAGGCCACATTTTGCAGGTGCGCATATCAGTTTCCCATCTTGGAATTTTGACATGTAATCAACCTGCGCCCATGTCCCATTTGAGCCAATGTATTTTACCCCCATCAAACCATATATTTTTGAAAAGTAGACAACCCAGGGTATTTTAAATGGTGGTATTTTAACACTTTTCATTCACTGAATTCTAACACCAGCCTTTGTGAAACTTTTTGGTAGTAATCTTTTTTTTGTTTCTTTGTCACACACATTGTATTTTAGGCATGAATTAACAGATCCTGTTATGTGTCACTGCCAAACAACACCCCAATATGTTCAGCAACATCTCCCGAGTACAGTGATACCCCCCATGAGTGGGTTGCTGGGTTGTTTGGGGGCCAAAAGGCAACATTCAGAACTTGTACATGTCAGTTTTTCAACTTGATATAGGTATGCTTGGTCTATCTTCAGTTTGACATATTTTTGCACCCCCCAGTTAATGTTACCATCATGAAACTATATATAGTATATATTTTTATAAAGTAGACATCAAAGGTTATAGAAGATGGGGTGTTTTGACTTCTTTCCCCCAACCATTTTGTCCCCCCAAAAAACAGAGAAAGTGTAGTGGTAATTTTTTAATTCTGGTTTTTATGCACACGTCATCTGGTTTTGGCCAGCTGGTTATGTGTTACTGCCAGAAAACTTGTTAGACCAAATGTGCAGGTAGCAAATGTACATTTAGCAGCAATCTTTAAACTGACTCCTGCAAATAGAATCTAACTGGATATTTGGGGGAAAGAAACTGACTAACAAAAAATGGCTGCTTTCCAAAGAAACAAAAAATGAAATAAAAATTCAGGAATACTTACAACTGTTTTGTGTGGTACAGCTTGAAACATGTTCCTACACTCCTAGTTTCGAAGGGCAATCAGGACAGTGAAAAGGGGTGTCTGTCCTTTTCCCGTTTTTAAAACAGACCCAGCAACATTTCTGGGGGTGGGGGGGTGGAGGTTCTAGCAGTTGACGGTAACTTAAAAATAAAATGTCTGGACACTCAGCTTGCACCGTTGTTGGAACTTGTCCATCTTGTCCATCTCCATAAATTGTTAAAGAAATAATCTTCAACTGAAATTGGAGAAAGGTGGTTTTCCCTGGATTATTTTTTTAAAAAAAAGCAAAAATGAGTTGTGGGTTGCTATTTGTATCAGATAGATAGCCACCTTTTTATACCCTGCTTTGTTTTTCTGTAAAATAAGATATGGCTGCATCAGCTGATCAGCCAAATCAATATCCTCCATGTACTTATTATCCACCCTGATGCAAACCGGGACTCTAGACGTCTGACATGCCCCGGACAGAGACGTCTGACATGTGTTCGTCATGGATGGTGGTTAGCAAGTTGACATCCTTCCTGTCCCTACATTTTAGTGCAAGCACTTCAGCTTTGCGAAGTGCTTTACATTCGCCTTTTTTAATTTTTCCTCTATGAGAGATCATGGAAGGTCTTTGGAAATTTTTCTGGCAGTGCCGCAGGCCAGTGTCTGTAAACCATAAAGTGTTTTAAACAGACGGACACTACTATAAAAATTATCCACATAAAGGTGATAACCTTTATTAAACAAGGGGTTTAGTAGGTCCCATACAAGTTTCTCACTTGTCCCCAGGGAGTCAGGACAGCCAGGAGGGTCCAGTTGACCATCTTTCCCCTCATATACACGAAAGGCAAACGTGTATCCACTTTCGCTCTCGCACAGTTTGTACAGTTTTATGCCATACCTAGAGCGCTTTGAGGGGATGTATTGTCTGAACCCTAATCTCCCTTTGTATTTCATTAGCGATTCATCTATGGATAAATTTTGTTGGGTGGTATAAACATCCGAAAATTTGTCCTGAAAATGGTCTAGCAGTGCGTGTATTTTATGAAGCCTATCGTATTGGGGGTGATCTCTAGGGTGGCAGAGGGTATTGTCACTGAAATGTAAAAGGCATGGTTTAGGAGAATACTGGACTAGACATTATTGGGTTGGTGCTCCAGTATGAGCGAATCAATGGCTTCTTTATAATCCCCATGAGCGTAAGAGCCCAGAATTTTTTAAGCTCTGGGACATCAATGGGATGCCAGTCATGCTCCCTGACTGTATAGCTACCTGGATTGTTATCAATAAATTGGGTAGCATACAAGTTAGTCTGGGAAGCAATCTCCTCCTGCAAGTTATACATACACTGCATGTTTTACACACGACTAAAACAAATTACAAACACACAAAAAAATTTTTATACTTTTTTTTCTTTTCTTTTTTGACTAAAACAGACTAAACAGTAATCCCTAAACTAACTTCTGTCACAAAAATGTAATGGAGATTTGGGGGAAGGAAACTGACTAACAAAGACAGACCAAGACAGACCAAGACACAGATTTTTAAAACAAATTTAAACCTTTAAGGGCAAAAAAAAAAAATACAGACAGTACAAATGCACTGCTGTAACAGATCTGGCAGGGAAGGAGTTAAAAGGTGATTTTTTTAAATAAAATACTGATACTTTCTGATGGTCACTGAACACTGCTGCAACAAACTCACGATCTCTGTCTCTCTCGCCTCACAAAACGCTACAGAGGAGAGAGGGGCAGAGATCACTGTCAAAGTGAGTGTTCACACCCCGCAATTGGCTGTTACTATCTGCCTGGGATGTCTGGCAGATAGTTACAGTGTTATACCGGCGGGAACGATCTTTGATCGCTTCCCGCAGTCCGTTCTTCCAAACGCACATTTTACCGCTGACGGTCCTGAACCGTCAGCGGTCCTGAAGGGGTTAAGGAACATTTGATGATGAAGAAAAAACAAAACAAAAAAAATGAAATTTGGGGAAAACCAAAAGGTAGATAGATCCTCAGCTGTCCAGTTCTGCTTTGGCTGCCTGATCTCAGAGTAGCAATTCTGAAACAACTTTCCATCTCTTATGCCCATTCTTGCAATCCTTTTGTTCATTGTTAAAAATAACTGTTTATTGATAGTTTCTGCTCACTCTCTCCATTTCAAACTCGTGATCTATCTCCTGCTCTCCCCCAATCTAGTGGGCACTATCCCTCCCCCCAGTCATCCTCCCTTTAATCCTCGATTGCTTGCCTGGTTATTACTGCCTACTCTTATCTGTATTTGCATTGTTGCAATAGCTCAATGCTAACGAAATGTTCTTGTACTCTATCAGAACAGAATTGACAAGGAAATTGTGAATTTTAGGTCAAAGCAGCCAAACTGAAAATAATTCTCCAATTCTTTTTTTTGTTTTGGTCTTATGTTTTCAACTCTCTTGTCGATGCTCTACGATTCACTGTTTATCGAGTAAACCCCCCTATGACAATCTAGCAAGAAAATATTCATTTACTGGCATATTTGTTTGTATTCATGAAGGTGTACTGGAGCGCACACAAGCAGTTTGGGACAGTCTATACCACTCTTTGTAGACTTGTGTGACTGGTTTGCATAAAAGAAAACTACCATAAACATCTGACCCTCCCCTCCAACTGCCCTTGACATTCAGATAGTCACTGTGTTAGAGACATTTAATGTAGAAGGAATGGGCAACATACAATATGATGTATGAAACTTCCAAGGATCTATTTAGAGCATATTTCACAATAAAATCAACAAATGGCCTTAATCATGTATGATAAGTTTTAGCAATCCAAACAATATAGAAATAATTTTGGTGACATACTGTATATATTTAAAAATGTTTGAACAAATCCAAAGAGGTATATACAGACTGCACCACTCCATTAGTAATGAATAGCTCAAGCAATTGGGAACATATTTAAAGGCATACTTCTGCGTATTGTAAAAAGGGGACAAGATTGGGGGAAATATTGTGGTAATTTCCTTATTATTTGGGATATAAGTGATGTGTATATCTTGGGAATTTTTAAGGGTGACATTTAAATTCTTTAAATATAGAGACAATTTGGCTAAGGGGTTGGTGGTCCCCTTGGTATACAGCACTGGTGGTGCCTATCCTGTATACAGTGTCCTACTGTTATATTGTATTAAAGACATGTCTGGGGCCTATCCTGCCCACTGGTATCTTTACTAGGGTCACCAGGAAAATTCTACGTAAATGTAAAAAACACTCACAGCCCGGTTCACATTGTAACTGTAGTCCAATAAGAGGTACACAGGCCGAGACTGCCATATCATCATGATTTCCTCAACACTTGTCACTTATTGCTGGATGAGCAGTCCATGAAAAATATTGCCCTGCAATGTGTATCAATCCTTTGCCTCAGTAAGGGAATCAATATATACACGCCATATGAATCACAACTAAGCTGCTCTGGTTATTTAATTTCTCCGCTTTAGAAATGGATGTCCAACCCTCTTAACCCAGAGGTAGCTTGTATCCCACAGTTGTTAAATGTATCTGTACTTTACCTGTGACCTTGCCATTTACATGTATTTTGCTGTAATCGTGAGTTTATATGAGGGCAAGGCCAGAGTTGAGGTACACAGTGTACCTGTAATAACTCATGGATGCCAACCATGGCCTAATGACAAAAAAAAAAAAATCATTAAAATTATAGGATATCAAATGTTCCAGGATTTAAAATATTCACAATCCTCTACAGATGGATTCTCTTTATCATGACATGTTTTGATGTACTTAAAAAAACACTCCACTGCCCAAATACAAAAAATAGAAATTACTATTTGTAGACATACCCCAAATGGAAACTTGCTTGTATTTAATTATGCATTTTTTCATTGTGTGTATATCTAAAAATAGCTTGCAAAACTTTCGGTTCTCTTATCTGTAGTCTCTGCAAGCCTTCCTCTTCTAATCTCGCAAAGACTTTCTGTGGCTGTCCAATCACAGACTTCCCAATGCAGAAGTCTTTGTAAGGCCGGTGCTCTGAGCAATTGTTGCCTCTGTAGTTTACCTCCATTGAGTTTACCAGGAAGTAACAGCACCTGTTGTCTACTTGAAAGCCAGGGGTGTAACCAGAATAAATACTTTTTTTTCTCTCTGCAGGTATTTTGGTGGATCAGAAGGGCACATGGAGAAGCTGCACCAACATGGAGAAACAATCAACTGGATCACCATATATGTGCAGGAGCACTTGGCAATCTTGTATATGCAGTGGTCTACAGGTGATACTCGAAAAATTAGAATATCGTGCAAAAGTTAATTTATTTCAGTAATGCAACGTAAAAGGGAAAACTATGAGATAGACGCATTACATGCAAAGCAAGATACCTCAAGCCGTGATTTGTCATAAGTGCAATGATTATGGCTTACAGCTCATGAAAACCCCAGATCCACAATCTCAGTAAATTAGAATATTGTGAAAAGGTGCAATATTCTAGGCTCACAGTGTCCCACTCTAATCAGCTAAGTAAGCCATAACACATGCAAATGGTTTCTGAGCCTTTAAATGGTCTCTCAGTCTGGTTCAGTAGGAATCACAATCATGGGGAAGAATGCTGACCTGACAGTTGTGCAGAAAACCTTCATTGACACCCTCCATAAGGAGGGAAAGCCTCAAAAGCTAATTGCGAAGGAAGTTGGATGTTCCCAAAGTGCTGTATCAAAGCACATTAATAGAAAGTTATGTGGAAGGGAAAAGTGTGGAAGAAAAAGGTGCAAAAGCAGCAGGGATGACCGCAGCCTGGAGAGGATTGTCAGGAAAAGGCCATTCAAAAGTGTTGGGGACTTTCACAAAGAGTGGACTGAGGCTGGAGTCAGTGCATCAAGAGCCACCACACACAGACGGATCCTGGACATGGGCTCCTGAACAACAAACAATATCAGAAGCGTCTTACCTGGGCTAAAGAAAAACAGACCTGGTCTGTTGCTCAGTGGTCCAAAAGTCCTCTTTTCTGATGAGAGCAACTTTTGCATCTCATTTGGAAACCAAGGACCCAGAGTCTGGAGGAAGAATGGAGAGGCACACACTGCTTGAAGTCCAGTGTGAAGTTTCCACAGTCTGTGTTGATTTGGGGAGCCATGTCATCTGCTGGTGTGGTCCACTGTGCTTCATTAAGTCCAGGGTCAACACCAGGGGAGGGCTGGCAGCCTTAGGCCTGGGGGGCAAAACCAGTCAAGTGGCCCATTGCACCACCAAATCAGTTCACCATCCATGCCCACCTTTTCCTAGTTTTATAACGGATATTGATGTTATGCTAATCAGTAGCTCTTTGCTATACCCGCTCCTTCACGGCTCCAGGCACTGCTTGTTGTGAGTGTGAGCCACTGTAAATTAGGGGCAGAGGGCTGGACAGGAGGAGAGTGCAGTGCAATCAGTGCACTCCCCTCCTGTGGGTCACCAGTAGACTGGTGCACCTGCCCAGGATCAGTGCCGGTGCAAGGATTTTTGCCGCCCTAGACAAAATAAAAATTTGCTGCCCCCCCATGTGACATCACAATGCCCCACCCATATGAACTAACGCCAGTGCTGCACACAGTGTGTGTTTACATTAAAAAGCCTGCAGGGACCAGCTATAGACACCAGAACCACTTCATTAAGCTATAGTGTCCCTTTAATGTGAGGTACATTATAGATTAGTGTCACTAATAATATACTAGATTGCCTACTTACAAGCAGATGAGGATGATGATGGGCTGCAGTTTGGCTCCACTGGTCTGGTGTAGAACAGGATCTCTGGAGGCTGTTTGCAGCTGTGGTCACAAAATTCAATGTTCTGGGAGAATTGGAAGCAGCTCCATTTTTTGGGGCCCCTTACACAGCTCAAGGTCTGGGCCCCAGGGCCTGACGGTGAGTATGCCCATAAGGCCCACTCATAAGTTCCACCCACCCATGAGTTCGCTCACAGGGAGTGGAGTGTGTAGGGGATGTGTTATGTGTTATTGTAGAGGATCTAATATGTGTGCTTATGGTATGTAGTGTATAGGGTTACCAGTTTGTGCAGGTGATGTAGTGTGTTTGTGTGTAGTGGAAGCAGTGTGTATTTGTGTATAAGGGATGTATTATGTGTTTCTGGTTGTGTGTAAGGGATGCATTGTGTGAATCTGTGTTTGTATGCATAAGGGATGCAAGGTGTGTGTCTGTATGTGTGTGCATTGAGTGTAAGAGATGCATTGTGTTTCTGTGTGTATGTAAGAAAAGAAGTGTGTGTGTTTGCATATGTGTGTACGGGTTTGCATTGTCTGTTTCTGTGTATGTGTGCAAAGGATGCATTGTCTTTGTGTGTAAGGGTTGCATTGTGTGTGTGTGTGTAATGGATGCATTGTGTGTTTCTCTGTGTGTAAGGGAAGCATGTTGTGTTTCTGTGTATGTATAGGGATGCATTGTGTGTGTGTGCGCGCGCGTAGTGTGAAAGAGCTCCCTGTCTTGGCCCCTGTCCTATAGAGCTGCCCCTTCTGTCCCGTAGAGCTCTCCCCTGCACCTTAGTGGTCTCTCCTCTCCCCCAGTCTCTCCTCTCCCCCACCCTCCCCTAGCGGTCTCTTCTCACACTCACCCACCCTCCCTGTGCTCTTCTCACTCCTCCCTCTATGTGTTCTCCTCACACCCCCTGTGTTCGTCTTACCCCCCTCCTCCCTGTGTTCTTCATACTTCCCCCCTTGGTCGTCTTACTCCCCCACCTGTTCTTCTTAACCCCCCTTCTTCTTATTGCTCCCCCTTCTTCTTCTTACCCCTTCTTCTTCCTCTTCCTCCCCCTTCTTCTTCTTACTCCCCCCATTTCTTCATACTCACCCTTCTTCTTACCCCCTCTTCTTCTTCTTACTCCCCACTCTTCTTCTTCTTACTCCCCACTCTTTTTCTTACTCACCCCTTCTTCTTCTTCTTACCCCCCTCTTTTTCTTATCTCCCCTCCTTCTTACTCCGCCCTCCCCCTTTTCTTATTCCCCCCTCTCCCTCTCCGCCCTCCCCCTTTTCTTGTCCCCCCCTCTTCTTACTCCCCCCCTCTTCTTCTTCTTACTCCCCACTCTTTTTCTTACTCCCTCCTCTTCTTCTTACTCCCTCCTCTTCTTCTTACTCCTACCCCATCTTTCTTACTCACCCCTTCTTCTTCTTACCCCCTCTTTTCCTTATCTCCCCTCTCTTATCCCCTCCCTCTCTCTTCTCCCCCTCCCTCTTCTTACCCCCTCCCTCTTCTTATCCCCCCCCTCTTCTTATTCCCCCCTCCCCTCTTCTTATTCCCCCTTTTATCCCCCCCTCCCCTCTTCTTATTCCCCCTCTTCTTATTCCCCTTTTTATCCCCCCTCCCTCTTCTTATTCCCCCCCTCTTCTTGTTCCCCCTCTTTTATCCCCCTCCCCTCTTCTTATCCCCCCTCTTCTTATTCCCCTCCCTCCCCTCTTCTTACCCCCTCCCCTCCTCCCTCTCTTCTTACCCCCTCCCCTGTAGCGTGGCCGAGCTGCACTCTGGTCCGCGGTGGCCGGCCGGCCGGAGTGATAGGAAGGTGCACACTCAGTGTGCACTTCCTGTCAGTCCGGTCGGTAACAGGAAACAGAAACTCCGCGCGGAACAGGAGTTTATGTTTCCTGTAACCGGCCGGACTGACAGGAAGTGCACACTCAGTGTGCACCCTCCTATCACTCCGGCCGGCTGGCCGGCCACCGCGGACTGGAGTGCAGCTCGGCCACGCTACAGGGGAGGGGAGGGGAGAAGCTGCAGCCGCCTGAGGCTCTTAACAGAGCGCTCAGGCGGCTGCAGTATTTAAAGGGCCGGCCCGCCGCGGCCGGCCTTACAGGAATTTAGGGCGGCCTGGGGGGCAATTGCCTCCCTGCCCCCCGGCCCAGCCCGCCCCTGGTCAACACAGTCATCTACCAGGAGATTTTGGAGCACTTCATGCTTCCTTCCGCAGACAAGCTTTATGGGGATGCTGACTGAATTTTCCAGCAGGACTTGGCATCTGCCCACACTGCCAAAAGCACCACCGCCTGGTTCAATGACCATGGGATTACTGTGCTTGATTGGCCAGCAAACTCGCCTGCCCTGAACCCATAGAGAATCTATGGGGCATTGCCAAGAGAAAGATGAGACATGAGACCAAACAATGCAGAAGAGCTGAAGGCCTGGTCTAACACCTCAACAGTGCCACAGGCTGATAGCTTCCATACCACGCCGCATTGAGGCAGTAATTGCTGAAAAAGGGGCCCAAACCAAGTACTGAGTCCATATGCATGCTTATATTTTTCAGAGGTCCGATATTGTTCTATGTACACTCCTTGTTTTTACTGAGATTGTGGATTTAGGGTTTTCATGAGCTGTAAGCCATAATCATTGCACTTATGACAAATCACAGGTTGAACTATCTAGCTTTGCATGTAATGCGTCTATCTCATATATTAGTTTCCCCTTTTATGTTACATTATTGAAAATTAACTTTTGCACGATATTCTAATTTTTCGAGTATCACCTGTATATGCAAGGACCTCTGCAATATTATGACCTCCTAAAATACAGGATTATATGTGGGCTGCTTGCTGCTGTACAATAACTGTATCATGTGCACAGGATGTTATAAGTTTCCATGCACTGAGGTCAGATTAAATCAGAGTTAACGGGCATAAAAACGTGGGGAGGGAGCTGAGGAGGCGAGCGTGGGGGAGGGAGGGGAGTTGCATGGAATCGCTGCTCTGAAACACTCTGTGTGTCCACATTAATCCACTCCTGTGAAACCACTTTATTCATGAAAGCTTCTTATCTGCCTTGTAAACCTGGGCCTGTGCCCCTCTAATCCTGGGATTACGGTGCAATGCGCACCCCTTCAGAGCCGGACTAGGGCCCTATTCACATAGGAGTAAGGCAAGTGTGACAGTGATAACAGTCAGTGCTGTAAAAAATCTAAAAAAATATAAAATTCCTTTAGCTGAAAACCATAAAGTACTAGAAGCCAGTATGGGGATCAGATGTTTAAATTAGATCCTTGTCCTCCAAATCTGCAAATTCACCTTGGAGAATCAGTGCACCGAGTCCTTGTCATAAGGATAATAGTACCTGGTATGTGTGATGGTACTAGTGATTAATTACAAGTACCCAGCTGATTGACCACTTTCTTGGCAGCTAAGCATGCCAGTGAACTTCACCTTTTGTAACTGGACCCTCTTGCTTTTGCCCCTGGTGGCCAGAGCTGTATCATCAATGTGCCTTAAGGACCATATAGTTTTAACGTGTGCTCTAATTGTGAGTCACGTACAAAAGAGACATAGGTCTCACTGTTTAATTGTGTGGATACAGTGCGGATACAATCTGGGGTTAGTGAGTGCAGACATATTCTAGTGAGACATATTCTAGTGAGTTTCTAGGGGTTATGCAAGGAATGCTGTTTAGCCAGTTGGTGTTATAGTATCATTATGCTAAGTCTTTTACTTTTCTAGCGTCCAGGTGTATTGTGGTACTTGCAAGCTCGTGACCTGAGATCAGTTTAAAAACTTGTTCTTCGTTACAGCTGTGATAACAATCCTACTAGATATGTTATCATCCAACACATCAAACAAAACTACACTAAGAGACACAAAAGAAAGAAAAATTAAATAAACAAAAAGGATCATATAGAGCGTACATATGTGAGAAAAACAAGTAATACTCACTGATGCAAATCTTCTATATAATAATAGAGTAAAGAAGTAAAGACAATCACTACATGAAACTAAAATATTTCATAGATAGAAGAGCATTAAAAACCTGATGGCTTCCCAACTGGATATGGTAATTCTGTCGTAAAGTTTTTGTGATTGTACTTCTTTTTTCAAGAGTCAAAATTCAGCCGGACTCTGTTATAGTCAAGCTGAACAGTAAACCCAGACTAGTGAAAATCAGTAGATAAACTCTCAAACTCTGTTCTCAGCAGCACACCATTGCATAGTTAAATTCTGGAGGGCCTGCGCTCCAACCAGGCCATACCTTTTTCCAAGGTCAGGCACATCCATGAAACGGAGCACTTAATAGCATGGACACATGACTCCATTACAACATTTTCAATAACATTTGGCGTCTCCTTGCCACCTGGATAAATTTTGATTTGCCATCCTTAAAACATCCCATATATATCTCCTTCTTGTTTTCTTGAATTTGCTTGCATTTTTACTATTAATAATTTTACTAATAGCTTGTCTCCCCACACCCCATTGTCATTCTTTTATCCATCTTCTTCTCTACAGACTTTGATCTCTACCGGATCCATCTACCCGATCAATCTACTATCTGTTAATTCCGCTCACTATCCTCCAGAATAGAGTTTAATTTAATCTCTCCAAACTAAATTTGATTTATACATACTTTTTTCAACCCCCACCCACCCCATCATCCTTTTACCCTTTTAGTTTCTAAAATGTACTTCCCTCTCTTCCATGTCGATTTTAATAAAGAATTTGGTACTTTTTGAGATTCCACATCCTTTTGGCTATATAAAAATCTGGAAATGTTTGCATGCAGAGAATTTCTATAGGTTGTATGCTTTGGGACAACCTTTCCTGTGTTGGTGCAATACATAATTTATTATATTTGACCAATTTAAAAAAAAAGAAATTCTTAATTTTTTTTGTTTTTAAATTCTTTATTTTTGTTGTGCTTGACATATCAAAGTGTACTTAATACACATTGGATAGTGTAAAAGTAATTTGTCACAGCATAGCATTCCAAGTGTACAGGTAAGCCAGCACATTTATTGTGTAAAAAAGAAAAATGAAAAACAAGAAAAACACAGTGCAGATTGATAAGATCAGTAGAGTAGTATGTATGTAGGCTCTATGCACTGGAAATAAGGTTAATAGAGTAGGAAGTGATTCGCTGTATAGGCAGACAAGCTACGAGCAAAGACCCCTCAGAGGGCCCCCCTAGCAGGCTATGAGGAAAAGATATGAGAATCGAGAAACATCATTGGCACAAAGGCTGTTTCATTGGCTAGATGCACTGCCTGGGAGTCCTATCAGAAAGCAGTAGTCCCCGATCAAGCCGTGGATTCAACCTCTGTCTTGCAGGGGCCGTGTACAGACGCTCCACAGAAGTCCCACCACGGGGCTCAGTGGTCTACTTGCGTGGTGATGTTGGGTTGCTGTGTGGCAATCAGGTAAGTCCTGTGTGGGTAGTAGGGATCCCTTCGAGGTCTCATGATCCAGCAGGCCGCGCATCTCGCGATGAGTCACGGCCTATATCTTTGGTCCTCGATGTGACAGGAGCCTCTTTCCTCACTTTTAGCCGCACTCTGCAGACTCCTTGCACTTGTCTGGCTCTTCTGAGCAGCAGGCCTTGGGCACCTTCGGGTTTTTCTTTCACATGGTGCAGGACGTAGTGATGATTATGGCTTGAAGGAGCACGTGGCGCCCACCATCTTGTGGTCGCGTGAGTGCCCGTTGTTTATTCTGCGGGGAACTGCTTGTCTTCAGTGTTGCCAGGGAGTCTCTAGGGAGCAGACCGGGGTAACCCCCACCGGTCCAAAGTGGGGGGGAAAACGGGGCACCAATCGGCAGCGCAGGTCCAGGGCAGAGATCAGCTGCATCCCTGCTCACCCAGATTCTCTAGGCCGCGTGGACACCCGGGTAACACCTTGGTCGGTTCAGGAGCAGCCCAGGAGCATCCATCGTCGTCGATGAGGGTACAAATTGCAGGAATATCTGCTTTTGTTAGAGTTAGTGCCGGAGCTCTCACTAGATGCCTCCCTCCGGCATAGCCCCATATTTGACTACTTTAACTTGTTAACCACTGCAATTATGTTTGACCATCATTGACGTTATTCTACTCCGCTTGTAAATGTGTATGTCACTATCAGCGTTGTTCAGTAAAGCGAGAAATGTTGTGAATTAAAAGTTAAGGTCATAGTAGCCATCTGATAACAGAATTCACTTGAAATCATTTTTCCAATTCAACTATTTTTGAAAATAATTTAAAATTCAATTTAAATTTCCAGCAATTCTCACTTTAGCGAATAATCCTGCCACTGTCATCCAGTGTTCCTTCCAACTATGTTCTAAAAATCAATTGTCAGATCAGATGACTCTAGATCTCTCTTGATGCCACTCAATTCGCAACATCTTGCACCACATGTTATTATTCCTTATCAGGTTTCATCAGATCCATCCTGTAACAGGTGTCACTTTTGTGGTTTGCCAGATACACTATATTTACCAGGATACCTGTCAAAGATCAAATTCCAGTTAGTCTACGCCCAAACAAATCGATCCTTCGGGGCTTACATGACGATTTGATTGATTTGTTCGGGTGTAGATTAAGGAATTTGTTTAGTTCATCACAGGTGAAAGGATTTGTGCACAAATCTACTTGTCACTAACTTTTGCTGATGGGCAGTACAAAAAAAAATTGAACTAATTTAATATACTGCATGATGAAGAAATACTCCCTTATCACGGTAGATCGTTTGGGATCCTTTAGCATCAAGTTATTTTCCTTTTGTACCAGATTCATTTTAAATGCCACTGGGCAGCAATTTTCATGTATCATCCATCAAAATAAAGACAGAATTATTTAGCATGGTGGATCTGCTAACCCTATGAGGCAATAAGTAAGAAGGAGTTCCATGGAATATATTACAGCAAGTTTCTGTAGCCTATTACTTAGTAAGATCATCACCCTGCACAGCAAAGTTACCTGCTTTGTTCATCCTTACCTAGTGTTTGGGGCAGTTTTGGCCTGTAATCAACTGCCTTCCCTAGACTGGTCGAGTCTAAGAACGGTGCTGGACAATATGTCTTTGTGTTGTTCATAATAAACCACATGGAAGCTAAGGCATGGTACCGGCTGCAGGTGCCCTCAATATTATGACAATTCTTTATATATATATATATATATATATATATATATATATATTGGCATTTGTGCATGTATATATGTGGCATTGGAAACAATCAGTTCAGCTGTATCAGTTTGGCTGAAAAAAAATCGTGTTGGTTGATTTCCCGTTGTGTCGCAGCACCAGGGGCCTTCAGTGCAGTACATTATATATATTTATTTTCCCCTCCTCTGACTTTTTGTTGTGGGGCTCCAACTATGTGGCCGCATTGAGGCTGCCAGAGGCCGGTGCAAAGGCAGAGTAGGCATCGGGCCAGGGAGGAGTGAGAGAGCACTGAAAGTCTGCATGATAAGTCTGACAGGGTCCCATCCCCAAAATGGAACATCCCCCCTCAGCCTCTGCCAGCTGACCTTTCACACAGGAAGAATAAGAACCTCATGAACACATCATACTGTCCTCAGAGACTCACTGCTAGTATCAGCTATGTTTGCCCATAACTGATAGTGAGTGTGTGTGCTAATCAGTGAGCTTGTCTGTAGCGAACTTGTGTATAGGTCAGAAAGCTTGTCTATAGTGAGCTTGTGTATGGTGGTGAGCATGTGTACGTCTCAGTGCGCTTGCCTGTAGTAAGCTTGCCTGTAGTGAGCTTGTCTGTGTCAGTGAGCTTGTCTGTGTCAGTGAGCATGTATGTAGTGAGCTTGTCTGTGTCAGACAGCTTCTATGTGTGTCAGTGAGATTGTGCGTGTCAGTGAGCTTGTCTGTAGTGAGCTTGTGTGTGTGTCAGTGAGCTTGCGCGGGTTTAAAGAGCTTCTGTATATGTCAGAGTGCCTGTTGTGTGTGCTATTGAATTTGTCTGTGTTTGTCAGTGAGCTTGTGTGATTTATTCATGTGGAACATGCTTTTTAATATATTTTTGCTGCAATTATTCCATTTACGCACTGATGCTGATATGTTGATATCGGCATGGACATGGAGGATTGTCTTGCCTAAAGAAGTGTCCCCAAGCATGGCCAATCACACCAGACAGTGGCAGCCTGGAGGGTATGTGCTACACCGCTGTAATACCCAGAGATCATATGGAGTGAGGGGCTGCAGGTAAGAAACAATATAACAGCTCCCAAAACATATAAATATAAAAATACGAACACACTATGTGACACGGTGAATTATAGGCCTAGAAACATTTTATCCATGTCTGCTTTATGTTCCCAGTCTGACAATGCAAGTAACAAGAAATAATCAATACAGGGAAAAAAGGCAGTGCAGACAAAATATATCTCTAAGTATTATTTATTTATTTATTAAATATATAATATAGACCCTATTGGTCACTTCTCACTTGTTCTTAAATAAAATAAACATTAGTGGCTAGCCTTAACCATCAAATATATTTTTTTTCCCCGTCAAACGTCTCTTTTATTTTTAGCGCAATGGCTACAACTCCAAATCGCAAATCAAATGGAAACTGTTAAATCCATTGTCTGTTTAATTTAGTGTTTCCATATAGTGTTTCTTTGTTACTGAATTTGGAATAACCACCAGTAGCCTAAAATACAGATGAATAGCAAGTCTATTGATTACAACTTTGAAACCATTTCAGCTATGAAATCTATCATTATATTTGAATTTGATTTTGAAAGGTTGGAGGGATGGGGGAGGGATGGGACAATCTTAATGGGTCACTGGCTTGAACAATTTTACCTATCTATACCTTATCACGGAGCCGAATGTGACCAACATAGAGATTGAATTCATATTTTTAAAAATATTACATTATTTTAATGTTTATCCACATATATTAAGTCATTTGAAAAGCTTATGCAAAAATATTGAATTGAGGCCATAGTCCTAGCTAATGATTTTGTACGATTAATGTTAGTTTTATTGTTTCTAAACGTCTCACTGCTGCGAATCATCGCTTCCTACTTAATGCATTGTATGCATTGTATTGTATGCTTTATGACTCTTAAAATGGAAAATGCCCTATTTACACAATGTTAACATAAATAGCATTGAAATATCGCTGCCTATATAACACATATAACGTGTGTCATACGGTATATCTTTATATTATGTGATTTTAAAAATTTTTTTATTGGGCATGTATTGTGTTCTTTTATAGTAAACCAATCAAATTCAAATATTAAAATAAAATATTTAGGAAAACAGACCTATCCTATTGCTGTATGTATTTCAGACCATAGATGCTACTCTTAATTTTAGAAGTTTACTTTTGCCTTTACACATATTTTTTTCTTCAGCGTTAATTAGACAAGTGTATTAATTATACAGTTATTCTTCTGCAGATATCACAGGCATTCAACTGGTCTCCACCATTTATTATTATTATTGCCATTTATATAGCGCCAACAGATTCCGTAGCACTTTACAATATTATGAAAGGGGATTTAACTATAAATAGGACAATTACAAATAAACTTACAGGAACAATAGGTTGAAGAGGACCCTGCTCAATCGAGCTTACATTCTATATACTAATCTTATAGGCTTTGCAGATGACATCTTGCTCTATATTTCAAATCCCACTACCTCCTTTCCCAACGCATTTGCCATTTTCGTCCAGTATTACCCGATAATGTGTTTCCTTATCAGTTGGTCTAAGTCCACCACCCAGGTGTTGGGGCAAGGTCCCTGATATGCCGATCACTTTATTATTGACACTCCAGCATTTTTAAAACTTGGGAGTCCTTATTCCTAAATGTATGTCTGATCTCTACTGCTTAAACGTGACCCACTTCTTGCCAAGGTGAGAGGTCTCCTCTCCTGTTGGGCGGATCTTTCTCAGCCAGGGCATGTCTCCACAGTCATGGTGCCAAAAAGTTTTTATCTGTTCTACCCATACTCACACAATCCGATGAAAAAGCTCTTAATAGACTATTCTCCAAATTTCTCTATGAAAACAAATTCCCCAGCATAGAGCTGCGTAAACTGTCCCAGAACAATTTCAACCTAGATCTTAAGATTCCACATCTTAAACTTTATAAAACTGCACAGTAGTGGAGTTACAGCTTTGTCCCCACATTATGACATCCACCATCATGGTGTGGATACAAGTAAGACAACTAAAAGACTTCAGTGGCAATACACAAGGTTTATCCCTCTCCTACCCTATCCACAGTTTAAGGACTATGAGGCTATACAGGAATAATCAGGTCAGGATACCAAAAAGGAGAAATGTCAAGATACAAGCCGAGTTAGGAAACCAGATAACGGAAGAGTCAATAGCCAAGTCGACTCGAATATACCAAGAAATCACTGAGATATAATAAGGAGTACTAGAGGGAAATTTAAGAACCACAATAGGGCAGAGAACTAAGCAAAAGGCGCCCCTTTTATATGGGAGCTTCTCTTGTTTAAAGGCCACGCCCCCAGAATGTTCTGGGCATGTGAAAATAATGTGGATGTGCATGTGTTGTGTCATAAGAAGGGGTGTGATTCTAGCTTCTGGCAAGGGACATGCCAATCCGGTTGTGAGAGGAGTCGGATGCCGAGAGAGGTAAGAGATGATGACTATGACTTTCTAGACAACCTCTGTAAGATGTAGCTTTATTATTACCATTATTCCACATTATAACTCCAATGATTGGCATCATCTCCTTGATAATCATATCACACGCCAACTAACTCTATTAGCTATCTTTATTCTCTGCTTAGACCTTCTCTTGATAACACAACAATACAATCGATGGCTTGCTCGCTTCCGTTCGCTGGCCCCTGAAAACCTAATTTCTTCCGCAGTCAAATTATTCAAACTACTTCCAGTCACACTACGCCAAGAGATGCATTCTAAAATTGCACACAATGACAATTATTTGACTCAAAAACAATAATCTCTAAATGAGGGATGCAGCACAGTGCCCAATATGTGGGATTGATGGAGCAGACCTCTACCACTGTTTCTAGGTCTGTAATGGAAAGCTTTGTCTTTGAAAAGAGCCACAGATTATCTAAACTCATTATTGTGAGGGAAATTAAATTTTGAACCAGTGACTGCAATTTTGGGGGTGCAGCCCATATGATTTTGGCTGCAGCCCACAAATGTACCCTTCCTCTTGTTATCGCCCCACTGCTATAATTTCTACACAGCAAACTATCCTTTTTATTTCAAATAAATTACATCATTCCGCTAAATCACTTTAACTAAAAAATTATTTCAACACTGGCAGCCTTATATCAATTCTTTGGATTCTTCCACAAGAAGAAAACTACATTGGTCCTATTGACCCACTGACTACTCTTATTTAGTCGCTTACAAAGGCCAATTACTAACTTACAACTCCAAACCTCTTTCTTACAATGTGAAAAAGCTTGCAGAACTGTTGTCAAATTTGCTCTTGAAGGCAGCTTCCCATTCTCAGGTCGAGGCTGGTGCACCTTGCTTTGTAGCTTTACTGCCGTCGGCCATCTTGAAACGACCACACGGGAACTGTTCACTTACAGGTCGCCCTGGGTTAGTGTGGTAAGTAGGTTCTTGCTTGGTGGGGACCGGCAGCCCAGAGGAAGGGGAACAGGACCTGGTTCATTGGTGAGATTAGTCCACATGGCAAACCTATGAGCGGGGAAATCCGCCGATTTCTCCCCGGCTCAGTCGCCTGCAAGCCACAACGTGCTGCTGAAGTTTCTCATCAACCAGGGAACCCGAGTGAGGGGTCTGTAGATTCGCCCAGACACCGCCAGTAAAGGTAGGGTGCGATGGTGCCAGAATATGCACTTTGGGGATATCACCTGAAAATCCACGAGATGAGCGGGAGCTCCCGCAGTTCACATCTGCTCAGAATAAAGATCAGGCCCCATCCCCACAATAAATATTTTTAAAGGGACACTATAGTCACCAGAACAATAACAACTTAATGTAGTTGTTCTGGTGACTAACCATTCCCTGCAGGCATTTTCATGTAAACACTGCCTTTATATATATATATATATATATATTTCTCTCAGTATCTTTATACACAGTTTTCCCTGGCGCAAACTCTCTCTTTTTACTTTTAGTGTTTACATTGCCCCCGAGGCACACCTCCATTGGCCATTCCTCAGATGCTCTGCATGGAGATGCTGAATTTTTCTCATAGAGATGCATTGATTCAATGCATCTCTATAAAGAGGTGCTGATTGGACAAGCTGTCATTCAGCTCCGCCCCTGTCCCGCCTCTTTGTAGATTTCAGCCAGTCCAATGCTTTCCCTATGAGAAAGCACTGGATTGACCAAAATAATTAAATTTTAATAATGTCAGCAAGGAGGCAAATCTGGGGCGGACACAGCACCGGCAGACCCGCGTAGCGCTGGAAATATGGTACATTTTCCTACCTTTAAAGGCGGTTTTTGGTGTAGCACTGAATAGACATATGACTAGAACAAACGCAAATTGGTCATCCTGGAAAAAAAAAGAGAAGATTGTTCCCTCTGGAATAAGCTGAGTAGGGATCAAAAGCCCTCTAGGAATTAAGGAAGAACCAAAAGGGCTAATAACTTGTCTCGCCATCTCTTTTATAGTATACAAAAGGAGAGATAGTAAAAAACAAAGGGTCTGGATTTAAATGGCAGTCTTTGGTTGTCCTATCCCTACCATCTACAAAATCCAGCCTGTACCTGTAACCATGCATGCCAGCTGCCTAATGCATCGTGACATATCTGGTTCACTCTCGTCAAGGAGCACTTTATAGGTGTCCTTGGTTTTAGAACACTGTGTAACTACGATGAATAAACATCATGCTTGGTTTAGAAAATGCATTCCATTAATAACTACAAGCCAATAACTCATTTACTATAATTGCAGATTTAGTTATTATCAGTGTGCTGCATGCTTCTGAGTGTGCCACTCGTTAAGTATTTGTAAATAAACCAAAATTTTGGAAGCACTTGCTTTTATACATGCATACCTCCCAAGTGTCGCTATTTAGGAGGGACAGTCCTTTGGGCCCATATCCCTCTGTCCATCTTCTCCATGTACTCCATTTTGTTGCTGTGTCTGAGTGTATTACAGAGCTCCACTGTAATGGTAATTACAGTAGTGTGTCTTTAATCTACAATAAATGTTTAGAAATCAGTCTGTGTAAACAAGATACATTGTTCTTGTTTCAAATTATATGTTAGTTGAATAAATAATTATTAGTATGTCACCTAAAATTTCTCAGAATAACCCCAACCCTCACTGCACCCCACCCACACCCCTAAAATATAAGTGTCCATTTAAAATGTTGAGACATATGTACATGTAACTGTTAGGCTCCCCATCTCCACACTTACCTAGGATATCATCTTAAACATAATTAACTCCCATGGCGTCTGCTCTTATAACCGAATAAGTGACACCTATTGGTGACATCTAATACAGTTTGCACATGCGTGAAAACATTTTCCAGGGCAGCAAAATGATCACTGGAACGCCCAACTGTATTAACCAAACTATGCATTGCTCCAAAACCCCATAAAGTTTATTTAACACCATGAGAATGAAAGGGTCTATGTTACTTTTAGGTTTTATAGAATGTTTAATAACCCTCGTCTTTGACTCTATTGGAATTTCTTTGAAAATTCCCACGCAATCAAAAGATATGCAGAAAAAACAAACTAGCTACTACTTTGTCTCATGTAATTTATGATCTTGGTGATATTTTCCAATAGGCTGTGTTTACACCCCAAGTTGCCATCAATTGCTGGTTACGTCTACACTTGGAGAATCATTTACAGTAGAATCGTGATTCAGCTAAAGTTTGGCCGATCAATGATTATGACAAAAAAACAGAAATCAGAGCCACCACATTGATTAATCCCGAAGTAACCAATGGCCATTTACCTTGAGAGTATAGATTATTTCCCTGCTGTCGGCACTAGTAGTCAGCAGGCATATATTTAAACACTGCCTGCGGTGGTCACTATAACTCCAACATTAGTTCAAGGTTGGTTTAATACCACCCCCATTTTCACACATGAAATTCTGCACGTGGTGGTATGTCTGCTAAACCTTGAGCAACTAGCTGCAAATTAAAGAAAGGGTGTGGACAGATCACCGTGCACTGCCCGCGCCACCACGGTGGTGCTATCAGTTAAATATATAGTGGGTAGGACATAGTGTCCCCCACATACCTCCACAGTGGGGCTGTAATTAAATAATAATATTGTGGATACATAGTGTCCTCCCTGGTATTTTACATTTCTGCATATCCTTATCAGGTTAGTTCTGCTAAAGAATATGCCTTGCTGTCTTTCTCCCGTATTCCTTGTCCTTTAACCATCTAGAATTCTACAGAAAGGATCAGGAGAGTGAGCAAGGGAAAGTACATCATTGTGTGTTTCTGTATTAAAACTGTGTTTCTGTATTTGAAGTATATACCACAGTAGTCAGCACCTAACCGAACGCATACCTACCCACTGTTTCAGATATGAAGGCACAATCCCAGTTGGACTTCTCTGTCCCATAACTATAGAGCTTTCTAATGATGTCCCACTTCTGCAGACACGAGAAAATCCCCCTATAACACAATGTAGGTGAATCCTGTAACACAATCACACTGCACCGTGCTATTCCAGGACATTTCTCCTGATACAAGAAAACATTAGTAGTGTTTTGTGCAGACGTAAACCTTGAGGACTGCCTTAAATGGCTGCCAGTCTATTGGGCCCATGTGCTCACTGTAATGATTTGCTTTCTTTACTTTGTTCTCGGTCCTGTCCCGAATAATACCTTCCAGGAATATAGGGGACTCAAGGGCCAACACATTATTGGAGATGCAGACATCTGTCAGGTAACTCCAAGCACAGATTAGCTGGACGGAGAGGCAAACATTTGGGATGTGAGGATGTATGCATAAATATATTATGGATACTTGTTAGTAGAATTAATATAATTCAGAGCTGCACTTGCATGCTTTAGAGCAGATTGTCAAAAACTGGGTTTTTCTGTAAAACCCTGGACACTGAGCAGGTAGTCAGAAGCACCCACTGACCGCTAAACGTAAGACCCCCAATAAATATATAGGAAATAATCTACTTATAGCCATTCATTGCAACTATATGATGGTAAATTACTGGCAACAAAAATCGGTATCACTTCAGTCTGTACTAACAGTCTGTAGATTTCCAGAGTTAGAAATAAAAATATGTCAAAATAATTTAAATAATAAAATAAATAAGAAATATATTCACCTGAATTTACTGCAAAAACCCAGGTTTTGGAGAGTCATACAGTGAGCTTGGCCAAAATTACTACGTAGCAGCTGACACCTGCCAGCCAATCCTAGCTTTCCTGTTTTTTTGCTCAGCAGGAGATGATTGGACGTGTTGCTCAAACTCAGCAGCAGTTCCAGATACTATAAGCACTTTCAGCTTGGTGATTGCCCTATTCATGTACTAAGTCATACTAATAATTGGATGGATGATTGTGTAAGCAATGCTGTCCCCAGGGCCAGATTTACCCTACTTGGTGCCTCAAGGCCACCTTCTTCAATATGCCCCCCACAATCTATTCATTTAAAGATGTATATTCATTTATGTGTGTTATATATATATGTATATACACACATACACAGTACATGTATAACTACACATGCATGATACTCTCCCACAATTTAATAGCATTGTTTTTTTTAATGAAATCTAAGGTTTTTGTGAAGATTCATGCACACTCACTGACCCATGCAGATACACACACACACTGACCCATGCGTACACAAAAACATATGGACACACACACTCACCCTCAACCATGCAGACACATTCACCCTGACCCATACAGACAGAGGCGTAACTACAAACCACAGGGCCCCCGTGTGAAAATTGCCCTGGGGCCCCCCATATGTCTACCCCCCATACATCTCGTTCCCCCCTCCCCACACACACATGCAGACAAACATATATGCATTCAGACACACACTAGACACACATATACAGAGACACACACATACAGGCACACACATACATAAATACAGACACACACATACAAACACGTACACATACACACAGACACATACATACAGACACACATACATACAGACACACAAACACACACACATACAGACACATGTGCACACACACATACATACATACAGATGCACACACACATACAGAGAAACACACATACAGACAAACATACACAAATGCATCTCTTAAGTGCAGGAGGCTGACTTTCTCTGGGGTCCAGTGGCTCATGCTGATGGGAGTCAGAGTTCCCACTCTGACTCCCTCCTCTCCTTCCTCCTCTAGCATGGCTCTCTATGATTGCTGGGATGAAGTGTCCGAGGCAGTCACTTCCTCCCAGCTCTGACATCATCAGAGATGGCCCCCTAGATATTTATTGCCATCAGGTGGCCCAAGCGGCATAACTGCCGGGGCTGCGTGTTCAGGGGCCCCCTCGAGTTACAAAACCTGCAGGCCCCCTGGAGTGACAGGCTTGGTCGCTGCTGTGACCCCTGCAACCGCAATAGTTCTGCCAATGCATACAGATACACACTGACTCATGCAGACACAAACAAACTGACCTGTGCAGACACACACTCACACTGACCCATGCAGACACACCTGACCCATGCAGACACATTCACACTTACCCATACAAATACACACTGACTTCTGCAGAGACAAACACACGCACACTGACCCATGCAGACACACTTACACTGACATGTGCAGACACACACTCACACTGACCCATGCAGACACACACACATACACTCACCCTGACCTGTGCATACACACTCACACTGACCTGTGCAGATACACACTCACACTGACTCTTGCAGACACACGCTGACTTGTGCAGACACACACTTATCCTGATCCATGCAGACACATTCACACTGACCCATACAGATGCACACTGACTCATGCAGACACTCACACTCACACTGACCCATGCAGACACACTCACACTGACCTTTACAGACACACACTTACACTGACCCATGCAGACACAATCACCCTGACCTCACCTGTGGATACACACACTCACATTGACCCATGCAGACACACATACACTCACACTGACCCATGCAGACACACTGACTCATGCAGACACACACATTGATCCTGACCCATGCAGACACACACTCACTCTGACTCATGCAGACACATTCACACTTACCCATACAGATACACACTGACTCCTGCAGAGAAAAACACACTCACACTGACCCATGCAGACACATTCACACTAACCTGTGCACGTACACAGTCACACTGACCAATGCAGACACACACTGACTCATGCTGACACACACACTGATCCTGACCCATGCAGACACACACTCACTCTGACCCATGCAGACACATTCACACTTACCCATACACATACACACAAACTCCTGCAGAGACAAACACATTCACATTGACCCATGCAAACACACTTACACTGACCTGTGCAGACACACACTCACACTGACCCATGCAGACAGACTCACCCTGACCTGTGCATACACACTCACACTGACCTGTGCAGATACACACTCACACTGACCCTTGCAGACACACGCTGACTTGTGCAAACACACACTCACACTTACCCATAGAGACACACACACTCACACTGACCTATGCAGACACACTCACACTGACCCATGTAGACACACATTGGTACTGGCCCCTAACTGGAATCGAGGATGAAAAGGGCAGGGCAGTTGAGGGGAGGGCAATTGCTCTTGCTTGCATTGCCTTCTTTTTGGCCCCCGCTTCCTCCCTTACATGCATGGAGAACGTTGCACTGGGGTTATGACAGTGATGTCATAGCCCCTTCACCCCACCCTGCACTCTCTTCCGATTGGTGCAATGGCTCAGCAGCCCACTGGGAAGGAGAATAAGCAGGACTGTAGTCTCCTCATTTGATCTCCCCACTGGCCGTTCCACCCTTCTCATGCCTGCCTACCAGACAGCCACTAGAGGCACTTCCTGCATTTACATCCGTGAAAAGATGCTGGATGTCCTCACATTTAGCATGAGGACATTCAGGTGTTGAAAAACCCCATAAACCCATAACTGCCTTAAATGGCTGCCAGTCTATTGGGCCCATGTGCTCACTGTAATGATTTGCTTCCCCCTTTCTATGGTGAAGGCCTAATGAGCGCCCGACACTTGCCATGCATGTGTATTCAATTAGCCCCTTCATGCTAACTTTGAAAAAGGTAACTCAGTGCCAAGGGGACTTGGTTCTGGAATCAGTGTTAGTATTTGAAAATAAAGAGGGATAGTTTCGAGCTCTGTAAACACAACAATAAGCCTGGAGTGTCACTTTAACTAAATAGCTTGCATAAATGCTTTATGTGTAAAGTGTCCCTTTTTTCATCTTACAAAAAGTGCAGATTTCAATAGAAACTGACACTTTTGTAAATTAACATTGTTACACCCCCCAGCTGTCAATCAGACAAATAGTCATGTCTTCCACAAATAGAGCACCTGCCTTGAAAAAAACGTCATTGAGCGGAATTGGAATGTGTGTGTTTGGACGGCCACAGAAAGCATGGGCTGGGGAAGAGAGGGCTTGCAAAGAATGCAGACAAGAGATCTGCAGTATCTGAAAGCTGGTTTTACATATACCCCAAAGAAAACATAACATAATTAATCCGTGTTGCTTTCTCTGTGCTCATAAGAAAGCATTGGGGACGAGATGCACATTTGCGGTGAGCACCACACACGTCCAATCGAGTGCTTCTCATAGCATTGAATTCAGTGCTTTCCCATGAGCTGCATTTGATGATGTTTGACGTCCTCAAGGGTGTAAAACATCACATGACTAAGTTTCATTTTTTTTGTTGCAAAAATTCCCCTCATAGCTGTCAGCATGACAGTCACAAGAACCGTGTGTAACTTTGCAATGTAAACATAGCTGTTTCAACAATACATTGCATTAAAAGGCCAGGGACACTGCACCCAAACCACTTTATCAAGATAAGTGGTCTGGGTGCATGTAATGGTGCTTTGAAGAGCACTAGACTAGAGAATTAAATCATGCCTGTTTGTTGTCATTCTACTCTTGACAAGGACCAGATTAAAGAAACAGTCCAAGTAGACTGTAGTGGTTACGGTGCCAGGAGATCGCCTGTCACCACCTCTTCTGCAGCCCGAAGCTTCAGGTACTGAGCAAGCCCAGAAGGTTAGCTCATTGGCTGAGCACACTCACCTGACACTCTCAGCCAATGAGCTGTCTCTGCTTGACAGGGATTAGGCCAGTGGAACCAACGCAAGATTCTTGCAGGATCTTCTAGGCTCCAGAAGGGGAAGATACCAGTTTTCAGCAAACCTCAAGTAAGTTGTCAAACCATTCTTCAACAGTCTGAATATACACCAAGAGGGTACTCCTGGCACCATAACAACTACAGCAGACTGGAGTGGTTATGGTGCTTGGAGTGTTCCTTTCACATAGACACTAAAGGAGTAGACACACTCAGCCATTTATTCAATTTTCTACTCATGAAGTATCGGAATTGTCATTTTTAATGTATTCATTGCGTCATGGTGACTGCACAGTGCTTTATGGCTATGTTTTCTGTTGTGAGTTCAGCCTCAAAGCCAAATATACATCCACTGTGCAATCACACAGCAGCGAGTATTCAACGTCCTCATCGACCAATGTTTGGTTTGCTGTATGTCACACATGTAATCCAAAACAACTTGTGTGACAATTGATATGTTAATTTGGCTTCTCCCATTAGCCCCATAAATCTTTTAGCTTCTTGTCCATAAACCCCAAATCTAGCACTCATATCCCTGAGGAAGTCCCCTTTTTTGTCGGACGAAACGCGTTGGATACTTCTGAGCCTATACATGCTGCTATTTGTTTTTATATCCTGTATGTAATTTTTATATTTATTTTATTTTAATTTTATTTCTATTGTATCCTGCCTGTCCCATTGGATCTTCTATTGGACTTTTTCTATATCAGTCTTGGAGTTCCATGTGATTTGGAGATATGCCTGTCAACCAATAAATGTGATTCTGTAATATAATTACATGCTTCACTATATTTGTTTCCTATTCTTTTATATATCCCACGGAGGAGGACTATCTACTAAGATTGCTACCCTTTGGAGGGTGAGAAGCCTGAATTCTAATTTTGTTTGTGAGTGCATTCATTCTCACTAATATATTCACTTTTCTAGTACTATATTACGCTATGTTAGCTTTTTAATTTTCCATACAGATTCCGTTTGTGAATTACTACCTATATCTCAGGTTATTTGCATTTATGGTTATAATATCACGTATTTGGGAGGTGTTTCCACTTTGTCTTTTCCAAATCTAGCACTGACTGTAACAGTTGAGTAAAGTAATGTTTTCATCATCCTCGTGGACAGTATTTAGCATGTCAGGTACCATCGGTTACAGCTGTTCATTCCCAGAAGGTTTATGTACACCTGCTGATCTCCCTTAGCCCAGGCATCCGCATTGATTACTTCTTTATTTTTCCGATGTGGGGAGGGGCGGCCATTCTTAGCGGGTTCAGCTGTGTTCCTACTCCATTTATAGTGATACCGGCCATTATTTGTTTATGGCAGTTGATAGACTGGAAAGTTAAGCTATGTTTATCTGCGGCTATTTTGTTATTTGAGACAGGCTATGGTCCTGTGTATGTCTCTGAAGTCACCCTGGGAGGGTCTGACAGAGAATGGCTACAATTGGAGAGGGTCTACCTGCGTTAGCAGTTGGTTATTTATGGGCTTGTCAGAACTGTGCTGAAAGCAGTTTTAAACTTTAGTGTTTAGTTCACTAAACTTGGAATTGTTTACAAATGACATTGAGAATTCCACACATTAGGTCATAATAGCCCAATTTGAAACATTACACAGATTGGCTGTTTGCCCTAAAATTTGACTCTAAATATGCATACTGTACCGTAATAAAATAACTAGCTATAGTAATACTTCATATCGCATGTTAATTCACACATTTCCGTGCAGATTGAGTTAATTGGGGCCAGTCACCTGATGCTCACTTCATAAAATGGCAACATAAATCCTTATCTTACACCAAGTAAATATTTTATGGTCTAGTTTTCCCTCCCACAACCCCCCTCTCCCCATATTTCCTTTATGCTGTGATATAATTGACTAGATCACAAGCTAGCTTGGTATTTATTAAGCTTGTAAATCTAGTCATGTGTTTATACATAGAGGTATATACAAAAGAAGTGCAGCTCTATAAATACACGCTGTGTTGATATACATTATTCCACCAGTTATCACACGCTAGCAATGTCACTGGGTTAGAAGTCTACAAGCCCCCCCTGCAGGGCTCTGCCTCCGTCACTCCCCTCAAAAAAGCTCAGCCATTGGCTGACTCAGTGATGTCCATGACCCAAGACAGCCTGTGATGTCACCATGCGGAAAAAAAAACACACATAGTATGAGACAGTTCCCAAATTGCATACATTAACAGGTGCAGGGATCCCTGTAATCAGCATGAATGGAAGGGGGGCAGAAGTTTAAGTCAATACTACAAAATCTCACAGTTTTTAAGTTCCCCGAACCGCCATTCTACAAAGTGCACTGTGTATGTCATAAAAAATGTTTATTCTCTAAACAGTTAATTGTGATGAATTGACAAACTAAGTTGCAACATTGAGGCCTACATATTCAAACCCCCTGTCTCTTTAACAGCACATGCATGCCTATTAATTTAAAGTATAGTACAGCTGCATATGTATGTGAATTCCTAAATTCTAAGCTCATTTGAGCAGGGCCATTTTAAACATCTTTAACATTGCTGTTATAAATCCCCAATACATAACTGTATAGTGCAGCTCAAAAAGTTGGAGTCACATAAATGTTAATAATAACAGATTCACAGTTATTACAGAACAACTGCATGTAAACTCATATTATCTATAGCATTACTGCATCTGAGTATGCATTTAAATTAATTATAAAGTATAGTATACTTGTATGAGAATGTAAATTATGCCCTAAGCCTTCCTTTGAGTGCCTAAAATGGTTGCCACAGCTTTCTTTGGTTAGTCCGTATTCACAACTCTATACAGAGGCAATGTACTAAGTTGTAAATTTTCAAAATGAATAGTGAAGATCAAAATTAAGGCCAAAATTGCCAACTGGAAAATAATCTCCAAGTCAGCTAAATCTTCTGTTTTGCTAATTTATCCTCAGGCTTTAAATCCACCTGTAATTCTTGAAAATCCACACTTTAGTAAATATCTCTCTGCATTAAATACACTACATATTATCTGTATATAGAGCAATGATATTCTAAAGTTACTCACCACTATAAATCACAAGAGAAGGTGTAGGAGATTGAGAGAGAACAATGCTCCCCAGTAAAAGAGTGAACAAAAATTCTATTCCATGATATATAGTTCTATGTAATGTGTTCAAAAGAAAGTATAATAAAGTGGCTCTAACATAGATAACATCATCTGGCAATATATAGTTCCAATGTCCCCTTTTTTGAAGGCTTACTTATAAGGTTATTAATTATAGTCAGAGGCGTCAAGAATTCAACATGAATTCTCACAGTTATTTACTAGAGCGAGAATTCAAAGTGAATTTCAAACTTAAAGGGACACTGTAGGCACCCAGACCACTTCAGCTCATTGAAGTGTTCAGGGTGCTGTGTCCCTTTTGCACTTAGTGCTGCAATGTAAAACATTACCGTTCCAAAGAAACTGCAATGTTTACATTGCAGCTCTAAGTCTGGCGTCTGTCGCTGTCTACCAGACAGACACTGGGGACGATTCCGGAATCCAAACGGACTTTTGGTCCGTTATCTGAAGCTGGATGTCCTCACTGACCTCCTGCGTCAGATGATCCCCACAGGAAAGCATTGAATTCATGCGCATTATATTTCCCCCGCTGGCTGACGGCTGCGGGGGAGGAGCGTGGGTGGAGCCTGACCCAGTGCTGAGGGACATCGGCGCTAGATTCAGGTAAGTGGCTGAAGGGATTTTAACCCCTTTAGCCCTGCGGGAGGGAGGGGGGGGACGACTCAAGGAGGGAGGGACCTATTAACCCTGTAGTGCCAGGAAAATGACTTTGTTTTCCTGGCACTATAGGATCCCTTTAAGATCAGATTAGCCAAACGTGAAAGTATAACTGACTTAGAGAATTTTCCCAGTTCAGGTATTTTCCTAATTTTCCTTACAATCCATCATACTTTGGTTGAATTTAGGCTGGCCTGATCTATCAATCATGTTTTATGGCAGGACCTGCAAATTAACATGCTAAGCGAGAAGAGATTTATTTAAAAAAATTGTAAAGATGATAATAATATCAAATTATTGAACCAGGAAGTTTAATTTGAGCCATTATATCTCATATGTAATAGGACATAAATAGTCCTTAGACTTCTCTAAATAAAAACATTTACAGCCATATTTTGATAAAGACTTTTATTATTCTATGTTTGGATTTGTTATTATGCTAAAAACTAAACAAATTTTGAGTGTTCTGTAAGTTTGGACCATGTATTCTATATAATTTATGTCTACGATGTGTTTATAATTGTAGCTGTGCATGTCATTTGAGTATGTATAAAGAAGTGTTCTGTGGCTCTTGATAGGTTTATTCTCTTGCTGAGTGTTATTGCCATCTAGTGGATATACTAAGTATAGCAACCAACTCCATCACTAAATGATTCACTATTTGGGGAATCATCCAGTGCACCATTGCTCATTTTAAATAGATTACAAGACATGGCAATGGCAATCATCTTCTCTTATACCCTCTGACTCTCACATTCCTTTTAATACTTTATGTAACCTGCCATGTCTATATCTATGGATCTCTCTCTAAGTCTTTTAGGGCATTAGTGAAGCCATCATTTAACTAAGCAATAAGTGTGGATCTCCAGCATTTATACTATATTCTCCCAAAGCACAGAAATCCACTGTAGTTGTATACCTTAAACCAGACTTTCTTTACAAGCTCAGGTGCCCCAAACCAGGTAATCCAGTTTCTGTAAACCTGTATATATCAAGATTTCAACACAACTGACAGATACAGTCAATGAAACAAGCAGATTCTGACATTGTTCCACCTATTAACGGCATTTAATTTAAGAGAAGCCTGAAACAGCATCTATAGTCTAGCTGTACAGTTGACATTGGACCATGGGTGAAAGAGCAGTTTAAGTTACATGCCATTTTACTTAGAAAAATAAATTACATACATACAGGCCAGGTACCCTATAGGAAGAGCAAGGTATTAAGCCCCTGTTCACCGATCTTCATTTCAAGCTAATAAGTACAAAACTTAGTTCATTTTTGGAAAGAGTAGGATTCAATACATTACTGCTAAAGCGTCCCCTCTTGTAACACAGAGGTTAAATACAATGGATAATTTGAACAAATTTAAAGTGCCTTTAGTTTTCCCATCATAATGGTTGGAAATACACTGTTGCTCAGAAAAGTAAAACATTCTGTATGGGAATTAAAGAGATTTTAGTATAAAAGCAGAATGAGATAATTAAATTATTAATAAAAGGAAAAAAATAGCGTAGAAAGTGTCAAGACTCCCTCATTCATTCTCCAGACCAGCAACAAAATACTGGAAGTGTTAAAGGACCACATCTGTCAGTGTACTCCAACCTGTTAATTAATGTACCTTAGAAGCAGGCAGGCAGCTCCCACAGATTGATGTGTCCCTTTAACACTAAAAGCTATATGGTTTTCTCCATATCAACGCTCCATTTGACTCTCCTACTGCTTTAGGCCTACAATGTCACCATTGTCCCAGGAACTTGGCCATTTTACTCTCTGTCTGCTGAAATGACAAGCGATTTGGACATTTTACCCTCTGTCTGCTGAAGTGACAAGTTATTTGCACATTAGAGATTCTTCTAAGAGTGAAGTATTTTGGGGGGGGGGATACTTTGCTACAATTATATGTCTTTTGCAGAGGTTATGAGCCAATGGACAGAGAGAAAATTTACTATGAGGAGCGTCTGAAGGAATATGGAGTCCCTGATCTTTTATGGTTGATCAGGGGACAGGTATTTCTATAATTCACAACACTGTAGTTGCTGATTCATTCTTCTGGTGGTGCAGGAGATCCCTCTTTAGGATGTGCAGGGTGCATACTCCATTCTTGAGGGGCTCACTCAGGGGTTGCTGGGGCAATAAGGGAAACAAAGGTAAATTCTGCAGAATTCTGTTGAAACAAAACAAGAAGTGTGAGAGGTGAAATAATGGTATAGTTTATAATGGTATAGCCTATTGGAAGAGTGTGCAACCTTCGCATTTCTGATGTTGTGGACTACGTCTTGCCTGATACTTTGGCAGAAGTTTACAATGTCTGGTCTGCTGATGGTTGCCTACCCTTGGTCTATTGTCTACTGCAATTAAATTGCTACTCCAACAACCATGACCACTTCTGCTTTTTGAAGTGATCATGGTGGTAGGAGACTGGATGTGCAATATTTCAGCTTGAAACATTGCACATCTAGAGTTATTGTTAAGTGTGTGCTGAGGCTAGTTGTACTCAGAGGAACCCTGTTCAGGACTGCCTATTGTAGATTCTGTGTATATTTTATGGCAGTCGTTAGCATGCACTGCACACAGATGTAACTGCTTCTCCCTTGTAGGCAAAGCCTGCACGTCGAGGCTCGTCTCCCCTCCCTACATCGCTCACACACTGAAAGCAGACCTCCCACATTCCTATCCCCTCCGCTAATATATGTTTTATATATGTTATGCCCCGGTCTCCCTCCTCCTCTTTTCCGTCCATCACTCTCTTTTCCCCTCCCGTCGTTGGTTCAGAGTGTGCGCATGCGCTCTGAGCACATTAAATCCTCCAATGAATGGTTGTTTAGACCTCGGTGGGGCTCCCATGAGGTCAAATAGTAGCATGCCAACCATTACTGAGAGCTTTGCCCGGTGCTGGATTAAGGCAAGTAATAACTTATTTAAATACTCTATGAGCGTTTCTTTTGAGCAGACCTATAGAATAATTTCAATAGGTCATTGTACTATTTAGCACAAGAAAGGGTTGGAGAAACCGTTAAATACTATTGCTATCAAGCACAACCTTGACTGTACAGCTATTTTATTTTTATCCTATCTTAAACCACGATGCAGACTTGAAACAATAGCACTCTATTTGATGAAGGTGATCATTATCATTTGGTAATTTTGGGTGTTGCTATTTTAATTAGAGTATCTAACGTATTTATTTCTGTTTCTACCTGTTTTACTAAATGTTCATACCTCCTTAGAACAGACCGCAGTCTTTTAGATTTTCCTTGATGATAATGTCTGTCACCGCATCGAACACAAACTTGACGTTCTCTGTGTCTGTGGCGCAGGTCATGTGACTGTAGATTTCCTTCACATCCCGTTGCATGTTTAACTCTAGAAACTGTGTCTTGATATAATTTCCAGCATCTTCATATGTGTTAGGACCTAAATAAAGGTATATAATCTATTAATGCTAATAAAGAATCTCAGAGCAGCAATAGTTCCCAGCATGCAAGTTGCTGTGGGCCACTACCTCAACTACTTTCAGTCATCATAATAACTAACTATAATACAAACAAATAAAGTGTGAGTGTACAACGTTAAAGAGCATATTACAATATTGAATCTTTTTTTAGATAAACATATAATATATCATTGCAAAACTAAAAAGATGGAAACAGCTTCATGGTGCAACATGGATAAACATATGAGTGGTATATCTCTAATGCAAAACCACTCACATGTTTGAGAGCCATGACCAGGTTCTATAGATCAGGCATATAAGTGCCCTACTTCCGAGCTAAAGTAAAAATATAACACCAACTCCAGAGATTACTGTAATATCTCTAGAGTTGGAGTTACATCTTTACTTTCTATACTTCCACTTTTTTCTTTTTGATGTAGACTCTTTCATATTGAGGGGATGAAACCTCTTGATTAAATGGACAACCGATCAAGACTCTAGAAACGCTTCTTTATTATTTTCTGCTATTAGTGTTTATACGAGACACCCATCTCTTAAGGTTTTTGGCCTTACACATTACTTTATTTCTTAAAGAATTGTTACTCTTTAAAAAAAAAATTGGGCCCCCAGGTTATTAGATCTTTGAATCTGAAAGTTTTGAAGAATAACAGTGGAAGGTGGTCAAATCACTAGAACAAAGCTCTTTAACAACAATTGTCACAGTGCCGGATTTTAGTGGTCACGTGGCAGAACCTGATCTGCACAGCCACACCATGTGTATCTATAGGCAGTCTCATACCATGGCGCAGATGCTGCTTTGGTCCACCTCCCATCTTGACCTTTGGCTTGTCTTATCGTAGTCGTCTCATTCTGTGTTCTTGACCTGGCTTGTCTCAGACTATTCTAGTTGGCCTTAATTCCAGACACTCCAAGGCCCAGTAATATGTATTTTTCACCTACATCTATAGACCCTTTATTTACTGACTTACGCACTGCATGGTGGGTTATAGTTTATCCTGACACTATTTTATACACGTAATATTCCAACAACAAGCAAATGCTAGGTAGACTCACCATCATAGTCTGGAAAGCAGATGCTCAGATGAGCCTTCTTAATCTTCTCTGTGAAAACATCCTTCTTGTTGAGGAAGAGTACAATGGAGGTGGCGGCAAAGTAACGGTGGTTACAAATACTGTTGAAGAGATGCAAGCTCTCATGCATGCGGTTCTGTGAAGAGAAGAAATATGTACCTGTTTGGAAATGCTTAGTATACATTCATACAAAGTCATCTTGTATGGCTCATTTTATAATTTTTGTCTTATTTTGTGGCTGGTTAGTACATAAGTGAAAAACGCTTAGATGTGTGTTTGCCTGTTTGTTCTCTGATATTTATTCCATAAAAACATTTTGTGCATTTTAGATTTTAAGGATCCAACTAAAATGACACTGAAAGGTCATCAAATGTGGAAATGTTTTCAATGTTTTGAAAGACCTGCATGTGTATTAATTTGTTGATTGTCGCAATTGTGGGGCAAAGGTTCTAAGTACTTCAGGGTATTGTGCAACTGATATATGGAGTAATAATAGATGCTGGGGTATGCATCAAGGGTAATGGAACACAGTAAGGGGAAATAAGATTGCAACAGAAACTAACAGGGAGCCATCAAAGAGATCAGAAAAATATTTATAGAACTTGAAAGGAGTTTGTACAGGGCCCTACGTTAGTGGTAATGTAACCTACTGACTTTTGTATCCTACTATCTTCCTAACTTGGTCTCTCTCCATCAAGACCTCGCTCTCTGTCCATTACTCACAGATGAAATAGTCAGATATCTGTAAACTCTCTACTCAAGATATCCCCTAGTGAACAACCTGTCTTTGTATGGTCTGTTTTTTTAGTCTGTCCTTGTTTTGTTTATTTTTTCTCTCCTGTACACTTACCACTTCATCGTCCTCCACCAGTACCATATCGTAGGCACTCAGTGCCGCAATGAAGATGATACAAGTCACCCCCTCAAAGCAGTGAATCCACTTCTTACGCTCAGAGCGCTGTCCACCAACATCAAACATTCTGTGAATAGGAACAATACTAATGCTGTAATACCCAGCAGACAGGTTCATCAGAGTCATGTAGCGGGCAAGAAGTAAAAGGTATAGCCGGATTGCTAGGTGTATTATTAGATAGGAACTGAATAAAAGGCTGTGTGAGAGGACAGAGTTACAGCTAGGTACAACAGGGCAAAACTCACTTTTGAATGGCATATTTCATGATAGGACAAGGATAGTGTAAAGTGGTGGGTTAGGGTAAAGTATTGCAAGGCTTCAGATTGTTGATCCAAGTAGAATTCTGATCACCATTATGGAGTCAAAAATAAACTTTTCCCCTTTTTTGGCATCAAAGTCCAGCACTTCCAATTGTGTTTTTTGGCAATATTTGTATTGACAGCATACAAATATATGTTTCAAAGATTGAGCTCAATGGACTTGAGTCTGTTTTCAACCTAGATTACCATGTAACTATGTGTAGATAAAGTTTAAGTGCCAAAGCAGGATTTGGGTAAAGTATGCAGGACAAATTCTGGGTAATGGGTTATCTCAGCAGGGTTTGGCTAATGGTCAACATTAGTGAATGTTGGAAGGAAGGTTGTGGATAAAGTGTTACGGAGCATGATTAAGAGCTTCAATACAGAGAAGAATTTGGCCATAGGGCTAAAGGGGAACATGTGAGTACAGAGCGTTGGTAAACAAGTTTATGCAAGGTCATAATTTGGATAAAGGATTATGTAGCAGGAGATGGTATGGATAAAAGGGAACATGGCAGGGGAGGATTATCACTAGAAGCAGATAGGTAGAATAAGAGTCAGTGGTTTTACCTAAAGTTGAGATCTTTTAGGCCAAATTGTGTTTCAATGATACCAGTGGTCTTCACTCTTGATCTCAGCACATCCTGCTCAGTGGGGACATAACCAGGAGTCACCAACCTCTCCAGATCATTCAAGTAACTGGGGTCCAAGAAGAGGACAAAAATGTCAGAACACCCCAAAATCACTACTAGCCACTCTCCACTCTCTCCACTGCAAACACTGAGAGCCCATAGCATATTCATTAGGGGTAAATTCTTTAGTCGCCATGATTAAATTTCACTTGCTACTCGCTAGTGACAGGTGGAAATTCTGAGCCCTGTGCTAACAACTAACAGCTTGTGTGTACTCACACATACAAGCACTTGGCTAGTAAATGAGCAACCAATGCTTCACCAAATTCCTTTATCTAAAGAGACACTAGAGTCGAAAGAACAACTACAGCTTAATGTAGTGGGTGAGGTGTCTTTAGCATATTTCTGCAGGCTTTGCAATGTAAATCAAGAGAAGACAAGGAAAGGTTGCGCCAAAGATAAAAAAATATATATACAGATAATATCAATAGTACAGATAGCCCTAGTAAGAGATCCTCTTGTATAGGTGACTATAAGTCATAGATGAGAGTTAATATAAAGTACTTGATAGAAAAATGAAAAATCCACAGTTGAAACAATGAGTCAATTAAGCCGAGCGCTCAGTATGCATATATAAAAGACAAAAAACGAAGGACAGCGGATAGTGCAATAAATGTGATTAGAGATAGAAATAATGGTAGTATACTCACATTTATGCGAGCTATAGCCAGCTCTAGCGTAATAGGCATACAGCAAGTGTCCACCTCCACCATATCCTAGAAGTGGGGATTATACCACTATACACCTATTAAGCTAGAGCTGGCTATAGCATGTATAAAGGCTCAATGCTTTCCTATGGGGATCTTTTTTGACACTGGACTCTGTCAGGACATCCAGCGTCAAATAAGTGCGATTTACCCCGTGTAAATCGCGGAAGCAGCCTCTAGAGGCTGTCAGGTAGACAGCCACTAGAGACTGGATTAACCCTGCAGTGTAAACATAGCAGTGTCTCTGAAACTGCTATGTTTTTAGCTGCAGGGTTAAAACTAGGGGTGAGTACATTATTACACTAGCTATTATCTGGTGTTTTTTGGTCTACACCATTAGTGGTCCTTTCTGCTTTTATTTTGTAAGTTGTTTATTTCTCTATGTAAATGTATATTCAGAAGATCCGAGGAATCTTCTAAACATCTACTATTTTATAGGGTAACTTATTTTTATAATTACCCCCTTTTTAACCACTGGTGTCTTTTATATTACATAAGAGGCTTTTACGTATTTTGCTTACAACTAGGGGGACCTGGCACCCAGACCACTTCATTGAGCTGAAGTAGTCTGGGTGCCTATAGTGGTCCTTTAAAATTTAATTTTGTTTTGTTGTTGTTGGTTGCTAACCAACAAGACAATGAATTTGGAGAGGGTACTAATGAAAGCTCACAGCTTTTAAAGTTACTGAAAGAATTAGAAAAGATATCAGACAAGTTAATAATAATATCCAACAAATAAATACTAAAACGATACTGTAAGCCTCATATCCACACAGTGCAGTGTCGTGTTTATAGTGTAGGCATGTCCTGGCTTCCCACCATGTAAGTAGTCAAAGAGTTAAAGGGACACTATAGTCACCTGAACAACTACAGCTTATTGTATTTGTTCAGGTGAGATCCATAGCTCCCTGCAGGCAATCTAATGTAAACACAGAGAAAATACAGTGTTTACATTGATTGATAGGAATACCTCCAGTAGCTGTCACTCAGACGGCCACCAGAGGGACTTTCTATCATGTATGGCCCTAAAAAGGCCATGTACACGTCAGACGTATTAAAATACGTCTGACGTGTGCAGGAGAGAGAAGGCACTGTGTGCGCGCCTTCTCTCTCCTGCCTGTCAGCAGAGGAGAGGGGGTGGGCGTATGTGCGATGTGCGCGTGTGCATCGAAGCCCCGCATGCGCACAAGGGAGCAATGATGCTTTCGAATGGAAGCATCTGATTGCTCCCTGCTCGCGCCCGCCTATTTCGTCATTTTGACGAAATATGGGGCGCGGCTTCACGATGCTCCCAGCGCTGGAACCAGGTGAGTAAAAAGGGCTGCTTGGAGTGTCCCTTTAAGTAACACACCTGTTGGGGCGCACTTGGGAAAGCTTGGGAATTGATTTGAATAAATATATTGTATTCACTGAATTGATATCAGAGATGAGTGGAGTATGGACATCGCAGATCTGCAGAATTATTCACTAAAGTAAGAATTCAAAGTGAATTATTAGTTTTAGGCAATAGCTGTATTCAGAATAGCTGACTTTTTTTTTTTTTTACATTTTTCAAGTTCAGCTATTTTAATCTTAAATTTGAAATTCCCTTTGAATTATCATGTTATTGAATAACACTGTTGCTTGGAAAAATAAAAACAGATACTAACTAAAAGTAACATTGCAGGGATAAGTTTATAGTGTAAACACAGCCACTGTAATGAGTGTTCCAAGTCTGAAATACAGAAAAGTACATTGACAAATCAAATACTCGCTTACTAGCCAGCTGAGTCGTTAAGCTGGTATTCGGATGCACGGTCATAGCATGCCTGGATGCCTGTATCTTTCCATAGGCGGCCAATGATGTCAGACATCTCCTTTGGCATCGAGCCTTCATCAACGGTGTCCGCCAGGTGCAAGAGTTTACGGGAATCGTCCTGCGTGAGAGAAACAGCTACTCAGACAATTCTATGGCCATTCATAACATCTCTCCCTCCACTGCATTCTATGTTAAATATAACAATATTTAGATACTGTCTGGGCCAGATTCAGTATTTTAAAAAATATCGTTTTGTACATGTGACCCAAGACACATTGCGTCATCGTGTGCAAATATTTAGGTGGAAGGAAAACTTTAATGGGAAATTACTTCTCCTTTAAGTCATAGCGGCTCCACGTTTGGGCTCAGCCACAGTGTATCTCACCCTGACTCCGGTCTGAGATCCTGACAAGCCCCCCTGCCCACTGTGTAATCAGCAAGGACAGCATGCAGAGAGAGATCTCCTTCTCATACTGCAGTATCCCAGAACACCGAACTCACGGGGCTCTCTGTACTGTGTGAGCTGGAAAACCCCTCTACTGATGTTAGTATTGTTGTCAGGAGAGGAAATCCCTCTGTGATAGGCTTAGCATTAGAGGTAGTGTTAGGGTAGGGGTACGTTTAGTATTAGGGCAGGGTTATGGGTGGTGTAGTAGGGTTAGTGTTAATGTAGGGTAAAGTTTAATGCTGGATTAGGGTTAATGCTATGTTAGGGTTAGAGATAGTGTAGGGTTAAGGTTAGGGTAGTTTTAGAGTTAGATATAGTGTAGGGTTAAGGTTAGGGTAGTTATAGAGTTAGATATAGTGTAGTATACTTTATGAATTGAATTAATTTGAGAAAAATATATTTGAGGAACAGGAAGTTGTTCAACCACGACTTCCTGTTTCACGGGGGAATAAATATGAGGTAACAAATAGGCCTAATTAGTCATTCATCAAAATGGGCAAGACCAAGGAATATAGCTGTGATGTGTGGCAAAAGGTTGTTGAGCTTCACAAAATGGTAAGTGGTTATAAGAAAATAGCAAAAGCATTGAAAATTGCACATATCCACCATCAGAGCAATAATTAAGAAGTTACAGTCAACTGGAAATGTTATGAACCAACCTGGAGCAGGACATGTGTCTATATTGTCTATATATGCACTGTAAAGAAAATGATTTGAGTGGCCAAAAAAATCTACAAGGATCACAGCTGGAGAATTGCCGAAGTTAGTGGTGTCTTGGGATCAGGAGCACTCGCTGGATCCCCTCTGGTGCCAAAATGTTGGGGTACCTATTATCTCCTGCTTTAGGTCAGTATGCCTATGAGCACTTTATATTGAGATTTCTGTGGCTTCATGTATGTTTTGTACTGTTCGCATGCCTGTACTGTATACTCACACTTTGTATTGTATACATAATTTTACAGTTATATTGTATGAATAAAACCTTTCTTATATGCAACTGTCTTTGGTGTGCTTTGGGTTTATTTATTACACTCACTGACTAACATAGACATATACTTACTGACTGACACACACACACTCCCTGTCAGACACACTCACCCACATACATACTGTCACAGCGCCATTAACTTACTGCAGGTTCCGCGTCAGACTGCCTTCTTTGCAGTCGTGCCTCCTACTGGTGTCCTTTCTGTTGTTGGCCGTTGCGTTACCTCTGGCCACTCTAAGGCCCAGTAATACATATTAGTCTCCTTTTCTATGCATTGTTAACTTGGGTTCTGCGTGTTGAATCATAGTTCACCCTTACATACTCACTGACTGACACACACACACACACTCAATAACTGACGCACTCACAATAGACTCACTGATTGACACACGCTCACTAACTGACACACATACGCTCAATAACTGACACACTCACTCACATAGACTCACTGACTGACGTACTGACATACACAATCTCACTGACTGACACATACTCATTCACACTCACTGACTTTTTCAAGGAAGGAGAGACTCCATGCTGGAGAGGTAGACCTGTCCTGATAGGTACAGATCGACTTGCTTCCTCTTGCTCTCATTTGGCTCACTGCATATCAGACTTTCAGAGGGTGCCAGAATATGACTTCATGCTCATCTCAATGTTACTGATAGTAACAGCTAGTGGTTAACGTTCTGCCCAGGACCAGAGATTTCATGGTGAGAACCTCCCTAACATGGTGCTTATTCCTGCAGGGCCTCTAAAAATGCAAGGCCTAAAGCCAGTTCCCCACTTGCCTTGGCCAAAGTACAAAGCTCACAGCTGAACAGCAACTCCCAGAAATTGCGGCTATGCCCATAAAACACACGCTATGGGATAGGCTCATCTGCGTTAAAGAACATTAAAGTGCCATTTTATTATACTTAACACATTGTTTCCACATATTTGCATTTTTATGTCATACTTTAAAATGGAATGGGTTCAGTTAGACTTGGAGTGTCCCTTTAGGTTCACATGCACATTCACAAGGACATAGGAATAATTATCCACTCACCTGCCGGGCAGGGTCTCCATATTGGATATTCAGAGTGTTCATGGCTCTCACAATGGCAAGCATTGACTGGAGGGTGTTTCCATAAATAATGGAGATGAATTCCAAACATTCTTCAACGGAGTAACCATCCTGATGGATAATTCTATGGGCAAACAGAAAATGGCAGACATGGGGTTGAAGTGAAAGTAAAAGGCATGTGTGTGGCATTGATGAGGGCACTAAAGGATGTGGAGTATTAGTGAAGAAAATGGCACAAGAGCATGAAAGGGACACTCAACTGTCCAAATACAAAATAAATTAATCAGTCACTGTTTAATAGATGTACCCCCAAAAATTAATGCATTTAATTATGCATTTTATCATTGAGGAGTGTATCTAAAAATTGCTTGCTAACCTCTCCCCTTACTCCCCTGCCCAGATTTTGAGTGATGGAGTGATTGGCGTAGCAGTCTGGGGATAGAGGGAATATTGTAGGAGGTAATTTTGTATGACTGATGGGTAGATATGAAGGTGGTAGTGATGGGGTATTAGTATGGGAATAGAGGGAAAATTGCAGAATTAATTCAATTTTGTTTTTTAAAAATGTGAGTGATGGGGGCGGAGCCTGATCACCATGCTGACCGGGCGCACGCAACAGAGGCTCCTGCTGAATCTGGCCCTTTCAGCTGAAATCCACAGCACTCTGCTATATTTGAGATCTACCACATTGTGACCAGACACTTATTGGCGCTACTGCAAATTCCAAGATCGGGAGTTTTGGGGCCTCTGGAGGGTACACGAAACTGTGGTGCCTGCGGCCTACACGGGAGATTAGCGGGGCGGGGCGGACTGCCGCCTCCCTGTTCAAACACTTAGCTACCATGTAATTGCTTTGTGATACTCCTCATGGGTCCCGTTTCCACCCCCATTCTTACCAGTGGAGGTTATCCAGGTCCCACCTTGGAGCAGCTTCACTGGCTTCTGTTACCGCCTGCTCGGCTGGCCTGCTAACCGATCCTAACAAATCCAAGATGTCGACTCTGACAACAAGGCGCCGATAACACTTTCATGTGAAATCTTGGCTCAGTGCCTCTGATGCTATCTGCGCCCGACATGGGCCTGCCTCAAATAGAGGACTTTCGTGAGCCCGGATGCCCGTCTTTCCAACGCGGAATGCTGACCTCTCCACATGCTGGACTGCTGCGACTCACCTGGTCCACGAGCCTCTGGCACCTCTCCCTTTCATGCTGATATGCAGGGCCGCCATCAAGGGGTGACAACCATTTCGGGCCCCACGTGTAGCGGCGGAACTGCCGCCGGTGCACTTGCACCGGGGCCCACGCACTGATGGGGCCCATCGGGTGACTCACGCACTTAGGGCCAACCGATGGGCCTTATATCTTCAGGGGCCCAGTCGGCGCTGTGGCCGTGGTATCAGGGGCCTTTAAAAAACAAAAAGCAGCCGCAGCACGTGCTGCTGGGAGGAAGTGGTCACTTCCTCCCAGCTCACTCCGCGTGGGAGGAGCGCGTGCCCGGCAGTGAGGGAGAGCCACGCCGACTCCCATCAGCCCCAGCCGCCCTCCTGCAAAGACAAGGTAAGAGACAGGAGGGTGGCTGGAAAATGAGCTCTGTGTGTGTGTCTGTATGTATGTCTATGTATGTCTGTATGCATGTCTGTATGTCTGTTTCAGTATGTGTGTCTTTAGTATGTATCTGTGCCCTTTTGTATCAGTCGCGGTGTTCTGGTGGCGGCCCTGCTGATATACGTGCCACCTGCCACCACACCGGCTTGGTGCTCGTGGGCAGACAGCTCTGCGACCCTGGTATGCTGAGGCTGCACATCACAAGCTGGATTGACGCTCCCACCAACCGCAACCTACTTGTGAAAAATCTGCTAAAGAACAGGCTCGTGGAGACAGGAGTCAGGTGACTTTTCTATACTAAAGGCATGATCAGAGGTGTATCCTTGTGCACCATGTTCTATTTTCTAAATCACCCTTCTAGCACTTGGTTAAGCTGCCCTAACTTGCTGCTCTAGGGGGTACACTGCATTACACATTTTAAAAATGGTGCAAAAATCCTGACGTTTATTGCATAGCCTTGTTGTCAAAAGTTTTTATGTTTTATGCCAACATCATGTCTCACCTGCCTGTAATTCTGCTATCACACTACAAAAATAAAGAATTTAAAAACAAAAATGTGAGTGATGGGTGTGGGAGTCTAAAGAAAGACTGTAGAAAGACATTGAAGGGGACAGTATGGGAATCTAGAAGCAGGCTGGGCAGTGTGCGTCTATTTATACTCACTTCATCTGTTTTACAATAGTACTTTTTCCGGACTCACCAGCTCCTGTAACAAAAAAGATATGAAAATAGAATTTAAACAGGAGACAAGTAATGTGGGTTGTAGTGTTACAGTGGGGGTGTATCATAAAATATTACAATGATAGTGTGCAACTTATAAGTGTATTATGGAATGCCTGTGCATCACAGGTGTATTCCTGCCAATAGACATTGTAAAGAATTGACTGAAGAAAGCAGCAAATTTTAACCAAAATAACTGAAATAAAAATGACCTCCAAATCAATTATGCCCTAAAATTTGGGAATAAGATTCTCTCTTCCCACAATTCCCAGTTTAGTGACCTTAAAATGTTAGTTTAAGTACCATAACCAGTACAAGGGGCTGCAGTGGATATGATGCCAAGAGTACCCTAGCCTGGTTCCCTGGTAATGGGGAAAACTGTTTAGCAACAGTTTGCCCCCTTACATGGGTCCCTGCCAGGCTCCGATGGTCCATGGTGGTCTGGTGACGTGCTTCCGGTGTCAGTTGACCGCTCTCAGCCATTGACTGACATTCTATGAATAGAAATATGCACCGAATCAACATTAGCCAGCCCAGAACTCTAGTTCCAGACTGGCTGATGACAACCTTGTGACGCTGCCAAAGGTGGAGTTACATGCAAAACACTACAAACACTGCAATTTTTTTTAACAGCATTGAATCATTTGGGAAGATTAATTAATTGAAGCCTTTGCTGGATGCAATAAAATGTTTTGGTATTTTGGATTGGGGGTTGCAGCACAATTTAATTGTATTTTCTGATTTTGACTCTGCATACATAAGGACGTCGGCACGGCAACAAGACTGCCTGTGCCAGTAAGGTCTTTTTAGAGATTTAGAAAGTTTGCAAGAAACGGAGAGGGGTTTATTAACTAAACTGAGAAATGTGGTGGGGGGTAGGGGGGTAAGGGAGACAACAAAGGAATTGCACATTTGGTCCAAATAACCAATCTGTAAACTTTTCTAGCTTTTTAACTGTGACCACAAATTGTTTAGGCACCATCATCCAGACCTTTAAATATACAGGCAAGATTTGACGTGCATTATGGCGAGATTTGACGTGCATTACGGAGAAGATGCATTAAAAGGCTTTCCAGCTGTGACAGGGAACATTCTATTCCACTTATAGCCGATGAATAGAGAAGTGTACTTGAATCGATGCTTTGTTCGGCTGACTCTGGTTTTCTTCAACTGTAACCTACATGCTCTGTATGTTTACTGTACTATTTCATGTACTAATTTCTCACTCCTAATAAAAAATTTTTTTTTAAAACTTTAATAAAAATATGAAGGACGTGTAGCAATCCACTGTTTACTGAAATTCACTAATATGGAACTTTTGTAGTCATTTAAACGGCCAGTCCTCTCCATTGGTCTCCAGTGGTTTTTATTGAGCACTTTGCATGATACATAAGCCCTTGTATAGCATTAGAAAGCTGTATAGACCACAGTAGACCTGTCGTCAAGTAGCTTCATTCTGCTCTACAATATGGGATATGTCCCATTACATGTCCTAAAAATCTAGCTGAGGTCTATAACGTACAGATCATATTCCTCTTATAGTATGGTTTATTGAGATTTATGTAGAGATTTGGGTTTTCCCGAGACACCTTGATAAATAGTCTACATAGAATTAACTTTAAGACCATATATATTTAACATAATACTAAACACAAATACACACACCAGTAAAGCCATAAGATTTTCTTTTCCCACAGAAATCTCACTTTAACGGTGCTCTCACTATTGCAAGGGATTCTGGGTAGGCGTATGCAAATGAGCTCAACAAAGAACCACACTTTTGCCTCATAATTCCACTTTATACATGGATTCCTTGGTGTATGTGTCTGCTGTATACAACAGCTTTGAAACACAACTCCGGAAGAGGAGCAAAGCCAGTGGACAGCTGTTTCGTTGTTACTGCAACTCATCAGCATGAAGTTGGTTACTGCCTCTCAATGGAGGCTTGGTGTTACTTGTAAAGTACATACCAATACAGTTGTGGTGGATGAAAACCCCTTCCACCTGAAGTAAGTGGATAGTTATATATATAATGTCTATTGTTGGTATGTATATATATATATATTTATATACTTTAGTGTAAAGTTTTAAACCAATATAGCTGAAGGAGACTTTTCCCAGTACAGTTATTTTGATCTAAAACAGAACATTCATTTTTAATTCCTAACCATCAACACTAGTTTAGTGAATAACTTTCTTCAGGTGACGTGACAGCATTTTGCTTAGAAAATTATTTTTTATCCAGTCCCGTATTATTATTATTATTATTATTGCCATTTATATAGCGCCAACAGGTTCTGTAGCGCTTTACAATATTATGAGAGGGGGGATTTAACTATAAATAGGACAATTACAAGAAAACTTACAGCAACAATAGGTTGAAGAGGACCCTGCTGTATTGTATTGTTAATAGTGGCTGATGTAACGGGATATTCAATAAATCAGGAAATGTCCAAAACTGACAAGACAATATATATGTTAGGCCCAAATAACAGAGATAGAAAAACATTGGAAAATAGTAATTTCTTCTGTTTTGACTTAATATTTCCAGTTACAGGACTAATGAGAAGTATGTTGCCACTTGGTCACTCTAGATCACATATATAACTGACCCCTCCAATACACACACCGTCACTGATTAACTACCCCCTGACAGTCTCACTTCCTGGATCATGTCCGCTTTAAGTAGAGACCTCTGAAACATGATGTCATGTATCACTTAGAACAAGATTTACATATATTCTTTCTTTCTGTTATTGCCATTTCCTTTCCCTACTCCTTCTGTGTATATTCTCTTTCAGTTCCCGCCTCATGGGAACTGATCCAGGTACCTCAGGAACAATGTTGTCCAATACATAGGTTTCTGCATGCTTATATATACTTCTTTGTAGATTTGTAGTTTTTTTTTAAACCTCATTCTTTAATGCCTGTGACTGTATCTTCGGGTTAGCTTTTATCCAAGGTCAGTGCCATCGCCTCTGGGGTCTGTTTCTTACCTATCTATACTTTATTGCTTAATGTGTCTGTCACATGACATGTTTCTGACTTCTACATTGTAAAAAAAAAGATTTAAAAAAATCAATTTCTCTTGTCAATTCTTCACTTCTCATTTTTGTGAATATCTGGAATTAAACATAAAAAACATTTTAAAAAAATAAATAAAATTATATTATATATACATTGCCACGAGTGCATACAACACACTGTCATGTCATGTAGGGGTTACTCATCAGACCTTCTACCTGAACTGGCTCTTGGGATTAAATCTCTGTTTTGTTAAGACATAGCAGCTTTAATGGGATAAAATGCAGAGCTGGGATGAGCTGGTAGGTGTTTATCTGCCTCAGCTCAACTCTCTTCTTCTGTTTCTGTGTGTCTGGCTTTGATTTTGTGTGCATATCTCGTTTTCTGGATCAGCCTCACGGCTACAAATATACCAATACCCTTCAAATACTGGAGTTTACATGAGAACAAGTTCAAAGCTGTACAGATACAGAGAAAATACAGCAAAGCTGTAAAACCACATTGAAATATTCCACAATCCAATCATCCCTATTTTATAAATCCTAATTCACAAAGTGTGTTGTCTAATTAGGGTCAGTAAACCAGTTCTGATTTTCCATTAAAACAGCAATTGCAAAAATGTATTTCACCCAAAATACTACAACTCCTATGACGCTTTTTGGCCTAAAGATAGTTCTATGATTTCTGGAGTCCACGGCTAAGACAATTCATACATCCATGCTTAATAATAAACTATGGCTTGAAGCAGTTCTAGATTTTAAGAGGCCTTATGCCCAAAATCAAAATACCGGTAATTTAGAACAGTCTGTACTTAACAGAAGCAATATATTTATGAATACACTAAATAATATCACAGTACTTGTTACATATTTATTGTTTAACATTATATTGTTGTGACCAAATACGAGGTCTGTAACACATTTGTATAGGAGACACATTTACATCCACAGACAGGGGCCCATGGATTAGTTGGGGCCCTAAGCAATTGGTTTAATTGTAGATATAGTAGCAGCACCTACGATAATAGTAGCCTCTGGGCGCTAAGGCTATTTTCTGATATAGCAATGAAGAGCAGTAGGACCTATCCAGATAGTAATTACATTATTAATTATGTTATCATATTTAAAGTGTATTTATTTATTTTTAGGAGTTTTTCAGCATGTGACACCATAACTGGTGTAGCTTTAGAGCAGTGATAGCTCACCTACACAGTCCAGATATTTGTGATTCATATTTCCCATGATGCTCAGCAAACTTAGAGGCTGCCCGAGCATCATGGAGAAGTCGTTTCCAAACACCTGGGATGCCAGGGTTTCATCTGTCATCTTTTGTTCTCAATCACCGGCATTTGTCATTACTAAACAGCGCTGTGGAATATGTTGGCGCCTTATCAGTAAAAATAATAATGATAATAAGGCTATGAAACATTTAATATGGCAACGTCATTCACAGAGAGGTTAAAACATACAAACAGAAATCGGTCCATCCACCAGTGGAATCTGATGATGTCTCCTCTCCCCTTTTAATTAGTTATGGGATTCTACTATCTTCTTCTCCTATCTATGTTGTATCTTCTATTCTGTTTTTATTTGTTTGTTCTAGGTGACCTGTGTGCTTTTTCTGGATGTTAACTAATCTAGAAAATCAAGGACCCTTTACCGAAGTGCATTAATATTTGTGTAACAATGCTAACAAGTAATAATGTTGCCAGGTTGATACAATTACTCACCAAGAAGAAGCAGTTTGACTGTCCTGGCATCTTTCTCAGCATCTTCCTTTAGTTTCTTTTCCAACTCCTTAGAATGTTTCTCTTCAGCGCTTGCTCCGGCTCCCATCTTCCCGTATCCCAAGGGGGGGAGAGAAAAAGTTGCTAAAACGTTTCTCCTGACTATTTAAAGATGGGGGTTCCTGATCGAGGGACGGGGAGTTGCTGTATAAAAACTGTCTGTGTAACCACCACTTGGACTGATGGTGGAATGAGCCCTCTCCCCCCCGACTGGCTCCCAAATCCGATCTGCTCTAATTCCAAACTGGATTTTACAGCCCTTGTTGGTCAGATGACTGTGTGCAGCCTATGCTGGCCAAGGACAGGTATGGGGGCAGAGCAGGTGTAAGAGATGCTGAGCTCAGCTGAAGTGGATAGCTGGACAGATAGGTATCCTTATCCACAGAAGAGGTTTATCTTAAATCTCTATATACGCTGAGTCTAGAGAGGACAGATTTATATTGAGCCATCTGTATCCTGCACAGAGAGTAACTAAACTCTCAAACATAGCCCGAGGGTGTGTTCTTTCCCTATTTACAAATGAAGGGGAAGTAGAAAGAGTACTTACAAAACTGGTGAATTTTAATATTACACTTGTAATCAAAATTATTCAACCCCCATTTAAAATCATGTATATTGTCAACATTTGTAGACTTTCAGCTGTTTGCAATAAACAAATCAAACAAAAGAAACTGAAATAGCTCAATACAATGAATGCTTCAAGTAATTTCCCTAAATTCTACTGAAAATGCAACTTATAATGACTTATCCAGTCTCCAAATTATTCAACCCCTTCATGGCAAGCATCTTTAGTACTTAGTAGAGTACCCTGTTGCTGTTATGACCTGCTGTAAATGAGATGCATAGGCAGATACCAGCTTCTTGCAGTGTTCCTGAGGAATCTTAGCCAATTGCTCATAAACAATGGCCTCCAGCTCAGTAATATTCTTGGGTTTGCAGGCTGCAACTGCCTTCTTCAAATCACATTAGAGATTATCTATGGGGTTCAAGTCAGGTGACTGTGATGGCCACTGTAGAATTTTCCAAGACTTCTTCTGCAACCAAGCATTGGTGGAATTTGAGGTATGCTTGGCATCATTGCCTAGTTGGAAGGTCCAATGGCGCTAAAACGTCCGCTTCCTCACAGATGGCATCAGGGACGGACTGAGAACCCTCAGGGCCCCCGGGCAAAATAAATCAAGGGCCCCCTTACAGGCCCCACCCATACTCTGCAGCAAGCGCCACCCTTGTCCCGCCTCCATGCACCGCCTCCAGCCACACCCTACACAATCTTTAGACACAAGGAACAAAAGGGCAATAAGCCCTTCGAGGCCCCAGCAGAGACTACAATTGAGGGCTAATGGGCCATGGAGGGGGGTCTTTCTAGCGGAGGCTATCTCAGTGTCCTTTAGAGAGTGTGTTAGAAAGAATCCCCTCCAAGGCCCCATTAGAGACTACAATGGAGTCTAATAGGCTTGGAAGGGGGTCTTTCTAACAGAGGCCATCTCAGCGTCCATTAGATATCCCCTGCTGGAAACAGTCGCCTCCAGGCCCCAGTAGAGACTACAATTGAGGGCTAATGGGCCATGGAGGGGATTTCTAGCAGAGGCTATCTCAGTGTCCTTTAGAGAGTGTGTTAGAAAGAATCCCCTCAAGCCCCATTAGATACAATGGAGTCTAATAGGCTTGGAAGGGGGTCTTTCTAACAGAGGGCATCTCAGCGTCCATTAGATATCCCCTGCTGGAAACAGTCGCCTCCAGGCCCCAGTAGAGACTACAATTGAGGGCTAATTGGCCATGGAGGGGATTTCTAGCAGAGGCTATCTCAGTGTTCTTTAGAGAGTGTGTTAGAAAGAATCTCCTCCAGGCCCCATTAGAGAGTACAATGGAGTCTAATGGGGCCTGGAGGGTGGTCTCTCCAACATTCTGGTTCCTATTCACAATATAGCAACACAACATAGCTCGCTGATACCTAGGCCAAGTTGGCTCCTCTTACCTTAATTACTGTTGCTGGCTGGCAGTCTGTGGGCTTGCTTGCTGCGACTGGCAGGCTGTGGGCTTGCTGGCTACTGCCGGCAGGCTGTGGGCTGGCAGGCTGCGGCTTGCTGGCTGCGACTGGCAGGCTGTGGGCTTGCTGGCTGTAAGCCTGTGGCTTGCTGTAGGCCTGTGGGCTGGCTAACTGGCTGGCTACTGGCCAGCCTGTGGGTTGGCTGGCTGGCTACTGGGGCACTTGTAGATTATTTAAAGAAATAATCCATGCACAATAACTACTACTGCTCCAGAGTAAGTAGTCAAACCATTTAAGAACAGTTTGACAACTTACCTGGGATCTGCAGGGATATGGGGCTGTAGTAGGGAATAGGAGCAGTGGTGCAATGTGTGTGAAAGGTTCAGTGTGTGTGGGGGGTGTAGTGTGTGAATGTGTAGGGTGTGTGGGCTGTGTACGTGTGTGGCAATGTTGGTATGGGGGGCTGTGTATGGGGGTCTATGTGTATATGGGTGGGCAGTGTATGTGTGTGAGGCAATGTGTATGGTGTGTATGGGGGCAGTGTGTGAATGTGTATGGTGTGTGTGTGGGGGCAGTGTGTTTATGGGGCTAGAGTTCACTCTCACCACTGCGACCACCAGGAATCCCTGGGGGTCACAGTGTTGAGAGTGAACACTAGACCGTAGCTCCAGAGCTAGAGTTGACTCTCGCAAGAGCGGTAACTTTGCCATGGTAATCGCGGCAACGCTCTGTGCTCGTGCAAGAAGGACCCAGAGGAGCTGCAGGGTGAGCTCCCAGGTCCTCTCTTCCTTCCCTGGTCGCACGGTGCCTGCGGACAGGGGAGGGGGGGCAATTGCCCCGTTGCCCCCCTGGATCCACCAGTGATATATACAGCCCTTCTGTGTGCCTTTTTGTCTCCCCCCATCCCTCTGTATGTTTCTTTCTCCCCCCTCCTTCCCAGTCTCTCTTACCCCTCTGCCTCTTTCTCCCTCTCTTCCACTGTTTTTCTCCCCCCTTTCCCTGTCTCTCTCTCCCCACATCTCTCTTCCTCTCTGTCTCTTTCTCCCCCTCCCCATCTCTTTCTCCCCCTGTGTCTCATTCTTCCCTCTCTGTCTCTTTCTCCCCCTCCCCATCTCTCTATTCCCCCTCTCTCTCCCTGTGTCTCATTCTTCCCTCTCTGTCTCCCCCCTCCCCATCTCTCTATTCCCCCTGTGTCTCATTCTTCCCTCTCTTTCTCCCCCCTCCCCATCTCTCTATTCCCCCTCTTTCTCCCCATGTCTCATTCTTCCCTCTCTGTCTCTGTCTCCCCCTGTGTCTCATTCTTCCCTCTCTTTCTCCCCATCTCTTTATTGCCCCCCTTTCTCCCCCTTCCCCATCTCTATGTCCCCCCTCCCCATCTCTCTATTCCCCCTCTTTCTCCCCCCTCCCCATCTCTCTTTCTCCCCCTCCCCATCTCTCTATTCCCCCTCTTTCTCCCCGTGTCTCATTCTTCCCTCTCTGTCTCTGTCTCCCCCTGTGTCTCATTCTTCCCTCTCTTTCTCCCCATCTCTTTATTGCCCCCGCTTCCCCATCTCTCTATTCCCCCTCTTTCTCCCCCCTCCCCATCTCTGTTCCCCCCCTCTTTCTCCCCCTCCCATATCTCTGTTTCCCCTCTTTCTCCCCTCCCAACTATCTCGTTTCCCCCTCTTACTCCCCTCCCCATGTCTCTGTTTCCCCCTCTTTCTCCCCTCCCCATCTCTCTATTGCCCCTCTTTACTCCAGGTCTGAGGGGGGCCGGCCACGTTCATGCTGGGCCGCGCGCGGCGGGTGGCAGCCTGCGCCCGGTCGGCGGCATTCCTCACTAGCGGCTGAAGGGAGGGAGGGAGGGAGCGTGTGTCTGTCATGCTCCCTGCGGTTTCCCACATCCTGTGCTGCTGGGACACATGCTCCTCCTCCTCCTTCAGCGTTAGTGAGAGGAATGCCGCCGGACCGGCGAGGCTGCAACCCGGTCCGGCGGCTTCAGCATGAAATGCGGCCGGCCCCCTCACAGGGTGCCACCGGACCGGCCACCCGGTGGCACCTTCCTCTCAAGTCCCCAGATGCCGGGCCCCCTGAAGGCAGCCCTGGCGGCGGGCCCCCCTCCCGGCCGGGCCCTCGGACCATGTCTGAAGTGCCCGACCGGTCAGTCCGCCCCTGGATGGCATGATGTGTTCTCCTAGGATTTCCTGACACTTCAATGAATCCATCTTGCCTTCCACACGCTGCAGATTCCAGTGCCAGAGGATGCAAATCAGCCCTAGAGCATCACCGAGCCACCACCATGCTTAGCTGTAGGCAGACTGTTCTTTTCAGCATATGATTTATTCTTCTTCTTCCAGATATAACGCTGATCCATTGGGCCAAAAAGTTCCAGTTTTGTTTCATCACTCCACAGAACAGAATCCCAAAACTTCTGTGGTGTATTTATGTGATTTTGAGCATATTGGAGCGGACTTTTCGTGTGCTTTTGGGTCAGTAGTGGTGTACGTTTGGAGTTCTGGCATGGAAACCTTCTGCGTTTAGTACATGCCTTACTGTACCTACTGAAACCTCAGTGTCTATTGCCACCAAGTCTTGCTGCAGGTATTTTGCAGTCACTGGAAGGTTTTTCACAACCTGCCTTCTCAGAAATCTGGTTGCTATCATTGATTGCTTCCTTGTTTTGCCCCGTCCAAGTAGTGTAACCACTGTTCCTTCAACTTGTGAACTATGGTTCCAAGGGTGTTTTTAGGAACATTCAGTGCCTTCACTATCTTTTTGTATCCTATTCCTTGTTTGTGAAGGGCAATGATCTCTTCTTTTAACTGTGTAAACCGTTCTTTTGACTTAGCCATATTTCTAACATGCAGTCAAATGTGACATTTAATAAACCCCTTTCTGAAGAAAATTAGGAACTGCACTCAAGCTCAACAAACCCCTAGCCAGTTCAGGTATTTCAAGTGTTCCAGCTCAAGCACACCTGGTGCAACTAATGAAGTCCTTGATTAGTTGCAACAGGTGTGCTTGAGACAACATCTGTTTTGCATGTTTGTGCTGTTGTGAGGGATTCTATTCAGTGGGTTGAATCATTTTGAGATTGGAGAAGTCATTCTAAGTTGCATTTTCAGTTAAATTTGGGGAAACCGCTTGAAGCATTTGTTGTGTTGAGTAGGGATGTGCATGAGGAAAATTTTCGGTTCAGTTCGGCATTCCGAAATTCTGGACTTCGGCACTTCAGAACTTTGGCACTTTGACACTTCGGAACTTCGGCACTTCAACACTTCGGCACTTCGGCAACTTCGGAATTTCGGGACTTCGACATTTCGGGACTTCTCTTGCAGCCGCTTAGTAGATAACTCCCTAATTCCCACA